ACCCTAGCATCGTCCCCCAAGAAACCCATGCCAGAATGGACCTCAATTACATCCCATGGGTTATTAGAAATGCCCTCACCGTGGCGCTCGAACCCCTCAACCAAACAACCAAACAGATCAACAAGGACCTAAAAGCCACCATTGAAGTCCTTTCCACCCAAAACGAAACCCTCAAACATACCGTCGACGTCCTGGCCAAACAAATGTTTGAAATAACAAAGAACCAAGACAAAACCTCCGAAAAACTCCACCGCCTCCAACAACAGCTCACCAACCTCTCCGTTAACAGACCTAGCAACCAAGTAGTCAACGAAGGAAGAGCTTCCGCAACCGCCGCCGTCGCCGCCGCCACCATCCCCGCCCCTCCCCCTGCACCCATCAACAAGGTGAATCAGGTCCAACAACCAAAAGGAAAAGGAAAAGAAAAAGAAACACCAATCCCACCAGGACCAAAATCCTATGTATCTATCGCAGCAGGAAACGCCAACCCCGAATACACCATGGTCACGAACAGGAGGAAGCCCAAGCCCAAAGCGGATCCACTATTCAAACCAGAAATTACCAAAATCAACAGGGAAATAGTCATTGAAACAAACAAGGAATCACCAGCCACCCCCTCCGACATCAGAACAAGAATCAACGCAAAAATCGAAAATCCAGACTGCCAGCTGATCACCGACAGGAAAACCTCGAAGAACAACATTGTGCTAGAGACCAAATTCGCTACCCCTGCCTCGAAAGTCTTCGAATACAAACAGGAAATAGAAACAGCCCTAAGAGAACTCAAGGTCCCCTTTGTGGACATCAGGGTCAACTCCAAATGGTCCAAATTCATCGTACATGGAATCCCAACAACAATCAGAGACGGCTATGAAGCAGGACAGGTCATGGCCTCAGAAGTCAGAAGCAACTATGGAACCACATTCGAAATGGCGCAAATCCCCAGATGGCTCAGTAGACCCGAAGCCAGAACAGGGAAAACACACTCGTCAATGATCATCGCACTCCCAGGACAATACACAAAGAACAACCTCGGGCTGAGATACCTCACCTTATTCGACCGGCAATGCAAAATCGACAACTACCTCCCAGCCAACCAGAAACCCTATGCTCCAAATGCTTAGAATACGGCCACCGACACGAAAGATGCTCCCACCAAACTGGGAGATGCGGACACTGTGCAGAGGACCATCAAACAAGAGAACACCCATGCTCAGAATGCTCAGGAGGTACTAGATGTATCCATACACCCATCCGGTGCTATCACTGCAAGGCCCCCCACAAAGCAATAGACGCCAACTGCCCGGAACGCACCAAAGTCCGCATCACAAACAAACTTGGACCAGATACAAACCCAAGCCCACTACCAATACCTATCGTCATCCCGGCCCAAGACCCCCCCCAAGAAGATGCAGCCATGGATAACACCCAATGAGTCACACCAAAAGGACAACGGCTATCGCACAGCAACTGAACTGCGCGAAAAACGAGCTCACAACAAAGTCAGTAGTGGAGGAAGCAGAACAGGACCACAACATACTTTTTCTTTTGTTACAAGAACCATGGAACAATAAAGACGGCCACCCACCGGAATCCCCTCTCTTTTATCTATTCATAGCCAGCAATAAAGGCACTAAAGCCGCTACATACATCAGAAAACACGCCAACCTAAAACCAAAACACCATTACACCCATAACAACTTCATCGTCTCCGTCACGGTGGAAATCCAAAACCAAAAAACACAAATCCTCAACATATACTCACCAGGGCGGAGCGGACCCTTCGCAGAAATCTCCCGACAAATAACCACAATCCAAAATTGTCTCGTCATGGGAGACTTCAACAGCCACCAACAACTATAGTATGGACATAGATCCCATGACTACACCAACACAATCAGAGCAGACAAACCCGGATCCAAGAAACTAAAAAGATTTATTGATCGACAAAAGCTATCCCTACTCAACGAACCAGGCCAATTCACACACTTCCCCAGAAATAATAACAGACCGACCATCATCGATCTAACACTAGTCAAAGGACCAATCCTGGACCATGACGTCCGCTGGAACATCGACCGACATGGAGCAGGATCAGACCACGGGAAAACCATCCTACAACTACGAATAGAGAAGCCCCCTCACATCCCCAGGAGACTATGGCACCGAACGAATTGGGAAAAATTGGAAGAAAATATCTCAGGCCTCCACTTTCCCCCCGAAGCATGGGAAAACCAGAACCACACAAAGCAATCGGTCGACTTCATACTCGAACATATAGACAACCTGATAGACCAAATAACCCCATGGAGCCAAGGACACCTTAAATCTAAAAAATGGTGGACCCCAGAGCTGAAGGAAATTAAATCAACCCTCAACATACTAGAAAGGAAAGCCAGAAACACCCAAAAGGACGAAGACAGGGAATCCTTCAGGAAGACCAGCAGGAAATGGACGGCAGCAATCCGGAAAGCCAAGGCAGAACAAAGGGAAAAAGAACTCATGGAGGCCAAGGGAAGCGCCATTTGGAAACTAATCAACACGGGGAGAAGAAGGGACACTACAATCCCAACTATACAAGGTGAAGAAACGTTTGCAGGGAAGTGCCAAGCTCTAAGAGCCCAACTCTTCCCCACAAATTGGACGTCCCCCGACAACCCCCCACTTCAACTCAGACCCCCCTCTTTTGACCTTAGTGACGATTTCCAGGAAGTAACAACAGAAGAAATTACATCCGCAATCAGATCATGCCCGACACACTCGGCCACCGGACCAGATAACATCCCATACCCGTTTATACAGGCAACAATCAAGGCAAACACCCAACTCCTCCAAGACATGTTCTCGGCCATGCTCCGACATGGAGTCCAACCGGACCGATGGAAAGTGGCGAAATGCATACCGATCCCGAAACCAGGAAAACCCGACTACTCCTCGGCCAAAGCCTACCGACCCATCTCCCTGTTGCAATGCTTCAGCAAAGTACTGGAAAAGATAGTGGCAACAAGACTATGCACCGCCGGATCCATCCTGGAGACCCTTAGCAAAGACCAGTTCGGAGGAATACCAACAATCTCAGCGATCGATACCCTACTAAGAACCCTTACGCCCATACAACAAAACCTCCTAATCAAACGAACAACAGGAACCACCCCGGACAGACCAGCCCTTCTTACAAATGATATACAGGGAGCCTTCAACTGCGTCAACCACCTCCTACTCACAGAAATCATGACCCAACAAAAATTCCCAACATACCTAACCAACTGGTGCAAGGAATTCAACACCAACCGTACACTCCAATTCCAATTTAACCACGAACTGGAACCACCACAACCATATGCCTCAGGACTACCCCAAGACTCCCCCGCTCCCCAGTATTATTTATGATATACGCCGAGGTAATAACAGACCCCACCAACTCCCCCAAAGAAACCAATACCACCTATATCGACGATGATGCACTCGTACAACTCGCAAAGTCCCCCCTCTACATCACCAAAAGACTCAACGGAAGAATGGCGGAAAGGGTCAAGAAAGCAGCACCCCTCAATATCAAATACGAACCCCAGAAATCCGACCTGGTCTTCTTCAAACCCACATCGTCAAACACTCCAACTCCCAGAAACTCGGTAACAATCGCAAAAGAAGAAATCCAACCTAAAGATAGACTCAAATACGTTGGAGCCTGGCTGGACTCAAACCTCTCCTTCCGACCCCACATCGAAGAAACCATCGCCAAAGGCCTTAAAGCCCTAAGCAGAATCAGAAACATCGCACAACTCCCCGGGACAACAGTAAAATCCATCCACCACCTCATCGTCCAGGGCTTCCTCCCCACCATCCTATGGGGATCAGAGGCATAGTGGACTGGAGCCGACCACATCATCCGATCACTATCTCCACTCTACAACGAAGCTGCCAGGATAGTAACAGGCCTACCCCGCTGAACAAAAACCGAAAGACTACTGAAAGAGGCAGCACTCCCGCAACTCGAAAACCTCCTCAACCACAAATCACGAAAATACGGGACGCGCATCCTTCGCCACCCTGCCGACCACCCACTCAACGAAGGAATTATACAGCTCCTCCCCACCAGAATAAAAAACACAAAAGGCACAGGCCTACACCAAATAGCATCACTCATCCTACCCATCCAAGAACCAGGCAACCGCAGAGAGCGATGGATCCAAAACGACACCCTTACTAAACGTATGCTGGATGAATGGAACTCCATCCCATGCACCAATTACCACGAGCCAGGAACCCTTAAAATTCACCCCAAACGAGCAAAACTCCCCCGATCCAAAGCGAAACTCATACATCGCATACGATGCCAAGCCACTAGAATAGACAGACATGCAGCATTCACGGAACCCGAACTCTGCCAATGTGGCTCGGAACAATCCTCCAAACATACCATGATCGACTGCCCGCGATGGGCTCAAATACGAAGGCCACTTATGGATAAAATCCCAGGACCGCACACCTGGGAAAACTGGTTATTCACCAACCTCAACGTAGACCTGATTCTACAATTCGCATCAAAAACCAACATACCCGACTGGTACGAACTGGACGAGGAGGACCCGGAGGAATGATGATAGGTTTCTTTCTTTTCTCTTTCCTTTTCTGTACCTTCCTTTGATCTTCGTTGCTTTCCGTCTTCTTTTCTTTTCTGTCTCCTTTGTTTTTCCTATGTTTATGGCGGTGGATCCGGCGTGCGATAATTCCTGTACTTCAAAGCAATATAAAAAACTATCTATCTATCTATCTTCTGTATTCTCTATCGTAACACTTGTCCGTACCTGTCAGATCATAACAGGTCGGACCACTTCTATATCTACGCTGGTTCCTAATACATACGCTATTACTTCTCTTCTTCACGAAGACCTTCGTACCTCGCTTGACCTCGCTTGACTAAATCAACAGCTCCTACCGTCGCATATCGTACCCTGCGGAATACTCGCTATCACCGCCCCTTGAGAGAATTGCCCTACTCACTTAAATGTCAAGAATAGTGTGTACAATAGATTAATGAGGTAGTTACCTTTGGTAGACTTATTGACGTGTAGTTTTGCATAAATAAGATAACGTAGGATTGAGACATATTGGTCGACAAGAGTTTTCTTTAGATCAGTGATAGATGAATACTCCGCCCCCCCATACAGCGCCTCATATATTTCGCAGCAGCGTATAACCCAACCAAGATACCCTAGGCTGGAGGATATTAGAGCCATCCTCTTGTAGTAAGCCAATCCAAACTAGAGAGACTTGGTTAGAATTTATAGCCGTCGGAAGAAATGATTCTTACATCTAAAAGTAATCTGAAACCTGACCACGCCAGAGCGACAACGTCAGGATGATGTTGTATAGCTATATCCCCAATTGTCGCATATTTTCCCAACTGGGTTAGAAATATTTCTGCATAGTACACCTTTTCTTTTTTGCTATTAGTATAATAAAGCCTTGATTTGTCAATTTTCGTCCTCTGGTCTTCGACATAGCCGATGAGAGAGGTGGCCAGATTGAAGTCTGCGTCCTTCTTTTCCTCCAGCTGCTCGGGATACTCCTTCCGTACCTCCTCAACCGCTTGTCCCCAAAGGGTCGAAGTCCTACAACGTTTAATTAGCTTAGTTAGACGAGTACAAAGTAGATGAGCTCTTACATCCCTCGCCTTTGTGCCCGGGTAGGCGCAGAAGGACTTCCATCTACCATTACCGAGGTAACCGCTTTCTTGCTGGCACTACAAGTGGTATCAGATCTTGGATTATAGCCTACCAACTGATTCATGTCTTCCGACTGTGTAGGTTCCATGATGGGCTCTGAATCTGGAGGAGCGGTCGAACATCTCGGCGAGATCTCATCTGGTTCAGCCGCGGGTGTATCGAGTGTCCGGGCGGTTACACCAATATCATCAATAACTAGAGAACATATCTGAGCCGAAACGAATTGACTAGGTACCGCACGCGTAGTTGGAAAACTCTCTATTGTTGGCTCACTGGCAGAAGGCCCTGCGAGGATCAACAGTGGAGTGGTGGCAGCGGTAGTTGTGTTGGGCTCGTTGATCGTGGTCGGGACATATGTTGGCTCCTCCGGCGGTCCATTTTCGAGTGTGTGAAGCCCATGGGCGCTCAATGATTCGGCGGGCTTTCGGTTGAAAATCTTTCGTAGCTTGGAGAGTACTATACCCATGATTTTGATAAGTTGGTTCCGGGAGGAGCAGAAGGTCAGAATTATTATTATTTAAGTTCTAGTGAAGGCGGTAGTATGTACTACGACCATCGACCTAACTAATAACCCAATTGCTGCGCCCTACGTGTATGCTGAATTAAATCTGACCAGTCATAAGCTGAACAAATGAGCAGTGGTATGTGAATGCACGAAACCTTGACATGCGCAACCCTGACATGCGCAGTGTAGCATGCACGCTGGCCCAATCAGCACAACCCTAATATTAACCAGGGTAATCCATGTAGGGCTTTCCACATGAAAATACCACTCACGGTACGGTATCCCTTGGACGCGTGAGACATTTGGAGAATCTCTCTCATGCATTAGCGTGCCCTACCTAGGAAACGATTTACTATAATAAAGCAGCAACTTGCGAAGGGCATCTCTGAGTATTCCGAAGACCGATAAATGCAGCAAACTGCTTACCCGGACGTTTTCTCAGCAAAATTCTAGATCACATGACTGCCAATTCCCGCTAATGCATGAGAGAGATTCTCCAAATGTCTCACGCGTTGTTGGCCGGCTGTTGTGTTCTCTCTCTGTTTCTCTTCTCAACGACGATTCGAGACGAAAATACGTAGAATGAATAAAACTTTAATTGAGAAAACCGAGAACAAACAGGATGATGATATGTAATGAACAGGAAGATAGCAAGCTAGTTATAAGGTCATACCGCTGCGGACACCTTTACAAAGGGATTGTCCACTTTTACACATTCTGTACTGACTAATGCGTGACAAATCACTTGACAACAAATGTGCCCAACAGCGTCCAAGGGATACAGCGCCGGACAGTCAAAATCAACCCTCATGTTCTTTTCAAGCCAGAAACTAGTCCTAATCGGGTAATAATAATCATCGAATCATCCCAATAGGGTAAGAAGTATCCCAATTAATGTGGCCGCCTTGGCATAAAGCTATTAAAGTTATTATTTCACACCTATGTTTTTTTCAGAGAGGTCATAGTGCAGCCAGTTCTTAATTATTTTAAATCCCCTTTTATGAGGATGTTTACAACCATGATTAGACCCATTTTACAAAAGAACATTATTTTTGGACAAGTGTTGCATTGTTGAAAGTCGATGGGGTGAAGGGGAGTCGGTGGTTGCTCTGGCCGGCTGGTTTTGGCTGTCCGACACCGTACATGTATTCAACGATGAAGATTGCTGAGTGTCTCTGAAGTAGAGCAAAACATTCTAGTGATAATATAGAAGTGGTTCATCGGAGGTCCATGATAATTAGTTGGCTAGTCTATACATCTTGGCATGATTATAGCTTTATATGCAACAGCCATGATTATCGCCGGCCAGGGTTTACCACTTGAGTGATCCGAGGTGTCTATCTAGATAGCCAATCTTCCGAGTTATGGCGGAAACTATCCTCTTCAAAGGAGCAACTACATTGGGTCGTGGAAGCGAGGTCGGCAAACTTGTAGAGGGGACCGTATCATATCCCTTCGTGTGTTTTCACGACCAGGTGCTAATGGGCAGCTTTTACTCAGTAATAAACCTAACCCTCATCCCGTGAGCCTTTTGCTGTAAAGTCACCTTCTGTGACCCCTCCTATACCTTTTTTGGGTGTCTCCTCAGTCTGTAGGTAGCTAGGTTTTTTGAATATCACCACACCGTCGCAGGCCTAATATGTCTCCGATTTTGCTTTGACGAACGAAGGGATATGCCAATCACAGGTATTCCATTCTCTACCTATTCGCCAACGCTGTATGTATTCGCAATCGATCTGTGCTACCTAGAACCACGGGTATCCCTTACTTTACACGCCAGCCCGAATTGAAACACAAACGGCACTGGAGCTCTCGGTAATTTACCTGTCAAACATCTACGCCGAACAGGTACTGGGTATGTACAGGGAGAATTATTGCGGAAGTCAGAACTCAAAGAGTGGGCCTCTTGATCCGCGCTCACTGCAAAAATTTCTTTAAGGGCCAATAGGACTATCGGGTCACGGAAAACCCACTTTCTCAATAATTCTCCCCATCACTGTATTGTTATATTTATATTTCAATCCCGACTGACCGCGTACCGTGTAAGTGACATACCCACCCACCACTTCTTGACCCCACCACCACCGCCATCACCGCCGCCTCTTACCATCATTAACAGCGTCTCGGTTGAGCTTTATACTAATTAAACAGGATTGAGAATGCCTCCACGACCTAGCCGTCGGGATAGGGTGCGGGCATTTTTCACAGAGATTTCCAGTATTCGTTCTAGGTCAAGGACTACCAGCCCAGCACCTCCACCTCCTCATTCTCCTTATCTTCCTCCTCCGACCAGAGTAGTACAGGTGCAGTCTTTACCTTCTCAAAGGTTTCCTCCCGCGTGATAAAAGGAGATAGCTCCATAGTGAAAAAGGCTTAGCTAACTTGATGAATCAATCTAGTCTATCCCCGACACTCCCTGCTCCACCTCCATCTACTTCAATTACAATTGCAAGCCCACCTCCAATAGTTACAATAACGTCTCCATCGACTCTACCAAGCCTAGCTACACCGGCACTACCTCAATCAGTACAATCGCTACCTGTAGTAATCGCCACACCACAACCACAACCACAACCGCCAATATCACCTGGCCTGGCGGAAAATCTTGCTTTCGTAGAGGCGTTGAAGATGCATATTGACACACTATCCCCCGAAGAGCAACTGCAATTTAAAGCTGGCAGCACCACTATCACACCCGAAGCACTGATATCCCAAACCAGAAAATACAATGAGACTCACAACCACACGAGTCGCTCCCGGCAGTGTGCATCACGGGTCGAAGGATTCCTGAAGGCGGTCGATGCATATTTAAAGCCATTATCGATAATGATCGGGCACAACCCTCAGGTCTCATCACTCGTTATCAGGGCCGTAAGACTCACTATGCAGGTATGTGTTTCTACTAAAAAAACCCCCCTCTCTCTCTCTCCCTCACCTGCGCATACATACCCATCTCTACACTGCTGATATCCCACAAATACCTTACATTAGATTAAAATTTACGGAGATGATGGAATTTTTAGAGGGTCATTTAGGGTACCTCGCCCAATACGCAGTAAACTTTAGTCATTCTAAGAAAGTGCGAGAGGTATGGAACAGGATACTCTCGTGCCGGAAATTCGGGGGAAAAACTGATGTGCTGACTACCCCCCTTAGGCTTTATCTTCCGCTTATGGCGATTTATTGAGTTTTTGTACGGGTGCACGGAATGTCTTTGTCGATAGCCAAGGAAACGAGAGTCGTAAGTACTATGAGTCAGGAATATCCGAACCGTTCGCACCGAGGTTTTAGAACTTCCCATCCTAGAACCGCCGGCTGATACACTTAGGTTGGACGTCATTCCGGATTTTCTTGAGGACCACATTAGAACCATTTGAGTAAGGTTTCAATACTCTGAACTCTGATTTCCGCAATCACGTCGATATAGTCATTCGCACGGCTGCCATCACGGAGCACGAGAGGCTACTCTCCAAGGAAATGTTGGAGGCGGAGGAGAAAGAAGGTGAGAATTAACTTGTAATTCCTAATCGCATATGATCAGGTCTAAACCTATCCTTAGACCAACTAAGGCACGAATTGCTGGCCTGGCTCTCGGAGCTAGACTTTGATAAAGACCATGAGCGCATCTATAGCAGGAGGCACGGGGATACTGGAAATTGGCTTATTGACTCCTCTAAGTTCAAAGATTGGGAAGATTCTAAAGAATCCTCATTACTTTGGTGTTACGGAACTCGTGAGACATCTTCTCTCCATTCCCTTGCGCAAAATAACGACGCCAGCTCACAAGCTAACTTATACTAGCTGGCGTTGGAAAATCTATTTTAGCGTTCATCCCCTCTTTTCTTTCCACGTTTATATCTCTGATATGTACTCTCTAAGCCGTTGGGCTGGACCCGAATGCCAACTGTTAGTCCTATATTAGAATGGCCGCTATAGATATATCTTTACCAGATGGCATTTTGGTTCTATCCTGACACTTCAAGTGGTACGTATATATAGAACGGCAATAGTAACAATTAACAGGTCCCTAGTTCTAGAAACAATCTCTGCGAAATATTCGCTAAATAGTCGGATCGGGGTAGCATTAGTATACTTCAACTTTCAAGAGCAGGGGGTTCAGAAATCAATTAAAGTGCTCTCCACAATGATCAAGCAACTCGCCCGCCAGAAGAAAGTACTACCAAAAGAGTTGAAACATTTCTACAAGCAGTACTACCGAGAGGCTAGTTTCCCAACTGAAGGGAAGCTCGACGCACAGCTCGCAGATCTCTCGGCGAGTTTTGATCAAGTTTTTCTTGTCATGGATGCGATGGATGAGTTTGAAGACCGGGAGGGCTTCCTACCAATCATCAGTAGATTTGCACAGGGCTCCTCCTCCATCCACGGTCCGCCCCGGAACGGTTCCACCCTATTCAAAATCTTTGTCACCAGTCGTAGAGAAAAGGATATCGAGAAAACTTTCACTTCATGCAACTTTCCAACAATCCAAATAGAGGCAAAGAAGGTTGACGCTGATATTGAAACCTTCATTCAATACCAGTTGAAGGAAAGATCCGGAGACGTGATCATGGACCAGAAACTAAAAGACAAGATTGCGAAAGCCCTTATCTCCAAGTCGAGTGGAATGTAAGTCGGCCACGTCACTATTATAACCCAACAATGAAAGATGCAGAGTATCCGTGGTTCACGAGGCCGTACAAGTCCGCTGTATGATGGCAAGCCGAGGTATCTCGAGGCCGCGGGACGGGGGGGTACTTCTGTTTGAGGAGAGTCGATATCGATGGCAGATGAGATCCCATGACAGATCTGCAGGGTATTGACCTTGCCCAGCAGTAAATCAGCCATGGGATCGGATCCACAGTTCGGCATTAGTTCACACTCATTGAGCTTTTAAAAATACAAGCCCTCGCTGGCATCGACAAGCAAGTTTCTGCACGGCGGACGATCGCACAGCGAGCTCTAATGTGGGTAGTCAATGCCGGAAGGCCTCTGACGCTTCGCGAACTGGCTTTAGCGGTCTCCATTGAACCAGACTCGAGAAGCCATAAGGTGCTGGAGGCGTATGGGCAACAGGTAGTTCTCGACACCTGTGGCAATCTGCTGGTGGAAAACGATGGGATTGTGCGACCAGTTCATTATACGGTCCAAGAGTTTCTGACCGCCGGCTGCGAGATGAATCAAACGGTTCTCAGTACAGGGAACCCAATCCTTCGCCAGTACCAAAGTAATATTCATCTGCATTCTAAGCTTGCTGAGATATGCCTTCAGTACTTGTGCTTTGAAGAGATAGAATCGTGCAAGAGGATAAAACCCGCCAAGAGGTACGATCCAGAGTATCCCTTTGGATTGTATGCAGCAACATATTGGGATTATCACGTCCAAAGGCTTCCGGACTCTTCTTTACCAGGCGACCTGGCCCGAAGTATTGACAAGTTCCTCGATTCCAAGGGAATTACTCTTACGATCGCTTACCACATGCGTGAAAGCGTATACAGAGGCCAAGCGGTACTTATCAATCCATTGAATTACTGTCTAGCCTTCAACATGCTCCACCTGTACCAGCTGTCACATCGCTTGGATGCATCAGTTGTTGGGGAGGAACACAAAGAGGCACTACATCACGCTGCCGCAAGCGGATCCACAGCTGCGATTGAGATCCTTCTCGGGATGGGATTTTCTGTCCATACGCGTGACACTCAGGACGAATACCCACTCCACTACGCCGCTCGGTCTGGGCGCAGGGCAGCCGTTGAGCTATTGCTGGACAGAGGTGCGGACATCGATGCAGTGAACGACGTACACATGACTGCGCTAGAGACTGTGGCCTGGGAAGGTGATGAGGTCTTGATGCGGGTTCTCTTGGAGAGAGGCGCCGCTATCAACCTCCCAGACGGGAGCAATCGGGGATTCGTCCTGGTCGCCGCGGCCAAGGCAGGGGTTCCGTGCGTAGTGCGGATGCTCTTGGACAGAGGCGCGAATGTCAACTTCACCGGAACCCAGGTAACGCCCTGGCCGTGGCGGCCGAGAAAGGGCACCAAAACATAGTGCAGATGCTCTTGGACAGTGGCGCCGATATCAACTTCGTGGGTGGGGTGCACGACTCTGCCCTAGCCGCCGCGGCCGGGAGGGGGCATCAGAGCATAGTGCGGGTGCTGTTGGACGCCGGCGCGGATGTCAATCTCACGGGTAGTGAACAGGCGACCCCCATAACTGCAGCGGCCTGGGGAGGCACAAAAACATAGTGCAGATGCTCTTGGACAGCGGCGCCAATGTCAATCTCACGGGAGGTAACTGGGGCTCCGCCCTGGCCGCGGCCACCGAGAGAGGAAGCCAAAACATAGTGCGGATTCTCCTGGACAGCGGCGCTGATGTCAACATCACGGACGAAAACCTTGAAAGTGCCCTTGAAGTAGCAGCCAGGCACGGGTACAGAGCCATAGTGCAGCTGCTTTTGGACAGACGCGCTATTCCAGCCGGTACAGAATGAGTCAATGCCATCTAGACTCCTTCCAGGTTGTCAAGACACATCATATTTTTATCCAGCTCTCTCATTTATTCGATCGAGTGATCCTCAACGTATTACAGTAACTTTACCTTTAAATGTCAACGCCTCCCCCCTCGGTCACTCGGGTAATCAAGACCTAGGTTCATTAGTCACAGGAGCGTGGAGGATTTCTTTTATTTTCTTTTTGAGGTTTTAATTTCATTTTATTATCATATTCGACTTTTGCTAAGAAACGAGTTTTATGCAATATACAAGGAATTTCTCAACACTTGTTATGGTGTGTGCACTGTAGTCTGTAGCACGTGGCAGCATATACGACCTATACATCCATAGACTGAGGAGGAAGGTAGGAGCCTAGGACAGTGGGAAGAACACGGTCGAACCTAAGCCGCGGCATTGTCTTACGCCTATGCATCATATGCCCTGAAGCTGTTGTAGGCATCTCACGAACACCGGCAATCAACGAACAACATTAGATTGTTCGCGAAATACGTAGGCAAGCAAGGAACAAGTAGATATAGCGGAATATGGTAGGTAGTTCGCGAACACCAAGCCAGTTATTAGTTCAGATGACTACATGGGAACGATTGAGTCATGCCAGAGGAACGACTGAGCCATGACATAGGAAGGACTGAGACATGAGCTGTTCTGACCGAGTCGTAAGGGCGTCCTATCCACCAGAAAGTATGATTCGGACGCCCTATCCACCATGTACCTGTTTTATCGGATTGCACTGAAAGTGCCGCCCCTCTCACCAGAAGACCCACACCCCACTCAGCAGCGACCACACACACTGGATGCTAAGGTACTCAGAGCCATGTTGAGGGTCTTTACCGTAGCGAGTGCTAGAAGGGTCAACTGGACAGTAGTAATGTGAGAAGTAAGTCTTATGATTGTTATTCCAAGTAACTAGATCGCAGAACTCCTTACAAACTAATTTAAAACAGATGCGGACCCCTCCATCAGTCACCTTCTGCTGCCTGTTATCCAATACCAGTCACCCCTTTCTGATCCCAGTCACGTCCTGAACACAGACTGTTCCAAGCCCTTCCTTCTGTCTGAGCCTTATTCATTACACGGTACCCGAGAAAGCAGGTGCAAGGTTTTTGTTATCTTTTTGAACCCTACGTCGATAGCCAGTGGCAGCTAGCTTTCTATTACCTGCAGTAATTTTATAATTATTAGTACTTACAAGACTACGGAGACGTCAAATTCGCAGCAGGTGACCCGCAGCAGTTGTCGGGCAGCAGGTCATTCGCAATAGTTGACTGGTAGCAAGTAAATCGCAGCACAGCACGGGTTAGGTGACAGGCACAGTTAAGCAGCACCCGTCTTCTACCTGTCCCTTATGGTTGGAGCCCTTCCTGATGAATGGGGTGCTATTTTTAAATTTAATACGATATAACGATTTCCTGGTGGATAGGGCCCCCGATTCGTATGCTCTGCTGGATAGGACGACTTATGGATTGGACAGAGCTCTTTGCCACCACATACAGCCCTTTATAAGCCATAACCTGCCCGATGCTGTGCCGGATTCTAAGTGTTATTCTCTGATGTTATTCTTGGAGAAGATTTCGGGTCCCTGGGATGTTCGTGAACTACCTAAGCATAATATCCGACTACGGTATAGGATTTATTCGTCGCTTGCCTAGGTATTTGATGAACAATTTAGTATTGTTCGTCGATTGCCGGTGTTCGTGGACTGCCAACTAGTAACTAATCTGGCTAGATATTGAGGGTAAAACACCATATATACAGGGCCCTCTTGATCAGACATGGTGCCCAATCTGAACGTAGCTGCGTCAGTCCGGATTGTAGCATAAATCCCCCTGATCACTTTCGATTATCACCTCCGCTTGTTCATTCTCTAGTAGCGCTGGTTAATGAATCGGGTAATGAATCGTTTTACGACGTAAGGTTTATGTGGGAAATGTATCCTGGGAAAGTGACCATCTGTGCTGTAGGCTATGTCCCTAGGAAAGGCATCCGATTTACCTGTAGAAAGGCACCAGAGAAATGAATCGATAGTCTCGTTGGACGAGTTTCTTGAGTACATCTTCCCCAGCACTTTCTTGACAAAAAAAACCGTCTCCTAGCTACTGCCGAAAGTGGTAGTCATATGCGGTACTACTCTGTGTTAAAATAAAAAAGACAAGTAGAGGAACTGAACCTATGCTATTCAGCTAACAAAACCTAGAGTCTATCACTTGAGCCACAAATAATTAAAGTTCATACCTACCTACGCTCATACAGGCTGAACTCATGCGGAAATGCATCATGGAAATGCATCATGGAAATGCACCCCGCAAATACATCACGGAAATGCATCATTGAAATGCATCAAACGGCTTGGGAAATGAATCGTTTCCCAAAAAGGTTTTGCAGTGAAAGGCATCGATTGATTCATTTCCCGACTTACTAGAGATTTATCACTCATAAATATTCGCGAATTTTGATTTGGACTCGACTTCTAAAAGTACTTTGTTCTAAATTCTCAATACATATCACCCGCCGAAAGACTTCCATCCACTAGAAATAGTCGCATAGTTTGGAATACATTCTACCAACATCTTGACAAACATCCCTTTCCATATCACAGTGTAGATACTCTGCGTGACCACTTAGGTGGTCGACTTCCACGAACCCAGCTCATCGAGAGTAATCACCTTGGCATGGTTGTAGACAGTCTTTAGGAACGACAAAGAGTTGTAACTCCCACCTGAAACGAAATCTCCCGCCCATGTAACCCAGTAAGCCCAAGGAGCACCCCCGGATGTCATTAGGTCCGGATCAGGGACCACTCCCACCTCCGCTAACGCAATGACCCTCGATCCCCCGGTTAGTGTCTTCAATGCGTTATACTGGCTTGACTGGGCTGAATGGTCTCCAGCACTGGTGTAGATATCAACCGTCGCAATATCGCAATAACTGTTTCCAGGATACCAATTTGAGTCTGCGGTGTTGCATACCCAGACCATATTGTGAAGTCCGTGATAATTGACCAATCTTGTGTAGACCAAGCTCCATAGAGTCTTGAAGGCAGCAGATCCCTTCGCACCCCACCAGAACCAGGCACCCTCTGGCTCGTGCAGAGGACGGAAGAGGATAGGTACGTTAGCATCTGAAAGCCGTTTAATCTGTACCGCAATGGCGTCGATGTCGCGGAGAAGGAGCTTGTAGTTTGTGCCGGAGGTGCCCTCGTTCAGCGCAGCAGCAACATCAAAGGTTGTGGAATCGGTGTAGAACCCTCGCCACCATTCCTTTCCGGATGTGTTGATAAGGCCCGTTGGGGCGTTCCAGTGCCACACAAAGGTGTTGATTCCACCACGAGCATCCCAAGCAATTGCATCTTCGACAGCGGTGGAGGTTGCTCCGTTCGCGACACGGGATGGGGAGTACTCGATAAAGTCGCTTCCAAGAATTGCAGGGGTCTTTCCAACGTTCTGAGTGACCCAGAGGAGAGAGGCAGGGTCTTGTTGACCAGATAGATAGTAGGATCCGTAAATCTTCTGCATGTACTTAAGGAGAGCTTTAGCGCCTGCTGTGGCTGAACCGTCGATGGGGGAGCTAGTGACAGTGCCGGTGCCGGTGCCGGTGCCAGAACCGGTGTAGGCGATGGTGAATTCATCAACATCGTAGTAGCCCCAGTTGCTCTTCAGACCAACACCGACGGAGCCTATAATTATAATTGACCATCAGTAAAGGCACAAATGGATAGTCCCACCCTCCTCATAGGGAATGTATATACGTACCAGTTGGCATAGTGATTGTTCCAGCAGATATAGTGCACCACCCCGTACACGACGGAAGCGTCAATTCGCCTGATGTTGCGCTATTAACCAGAATAGTCGTCTTCTTCTCGCCGTAGGGGGCGCTGTAGCGAATTGTGAGGCTGTAAGAGCCGGCTTGAGTGATCCATGGCCAAACGGTTACTGTATCGGCATCCGCATCAAAGCCGGTAACGTAACCTGCCCCGTTGTAGCCTGAGGTTGCGGTGCCTGTCGTGACCCCGATAAGAGTTCCTGCTTCAGCTTGGAATGTTTGGGCGACAGTAAGGCCGACCAGGCAAAAGGCGGTGGAGAGTGAGCGCAGCATGATTCAGATGGTCAATAGTGGCGCTGGTACTCCTGGAAATACTCGAAGCTTTAGAGAAGATGGAGATCTATAATCACTACAGGACTTATTGATTTTATATACGCCATCTTAAAAGAGTCATTATGGCTTTGCAATTCATTGAGTATGTGCCAGTAGTGAACATGGCTTTTCACAGTGAGCTCGGCTGGAGAATCGGTCCAGCTCTCCGTTTCCCGTGAGTACTGAAATAATAGATTATCGAGCTTCACCACGATCATTCTCCTGCATCCTACAACCATTGACTATAGAACATAGCTAGTGTTGCCTGCTGTTGGCCATATCGGTATTATTCTTTAGTGCCAATGTTGTTATATTGCGAGTACCATGGCAAGGATCATATATATCATCCGGCTGATTGGTTAAACCTCACAATATATGCACAACCCTAGCTATTCCTTTCATCCGATCAGGGCAACATATAAACACCCATTACTATTCTCCGGATCGTCCATAAAATACTCCGAAGAATCACCCTAGAACATTTCCGAAAAGTCGCGCTGGTCTTGTGGGAGTGGAGCGACCCTTTCACCCGTGGAAGGAGTGCTAGTACCGCCTGCGGAGCATAGTTATAATGAGCTTATCTCAGTTCTTGAAAAAGCCAAAGGTGAGAGAAGAAGCTTAACCAAGCGGGCCGCGATACCGAGAAGAGTCCGCACATGGGTATGTCCGTTCTCTTCCTCAATGAACCCTACCAGTGCACGTGGAGGCCGGAGAAAAGGGCAATATATTCAGTGAAGTCAGATTACCTTCCAACCCGAGAAGTATATAGCTAGTAATTGAAAATAAATTTGTACACCCTAGGCCCGTTCAGACACAAAATTTAGTTAGTCAGTAACATTCACCTCCAAGTATGCCAATCGCCCCAATAGTTATTTCGCCTATGACGAACACACTAGGCTACGAGTATTACACTATATGTTAATTATTCTATATTTATAAATTCCCTCCGTTACCTTCCTCTATTATCTGGTATATAAGCTACATGTCGTGGGCACTCGCAAACCCCGCTCTAAGCACACGATCCAGGGGAAATGTGGGGTAATGGAAGAGTCCGTACCCATGGCTGCATCTGTACCTACCTACATATTGAGCCTTTATAGTCTCCCGGGTTAATCCTTGATTCCCGGGCCATTGAGCTATACTGCTACGCTCGGATTCTTCCGTGAGCTTGTACGACAGAATCCGGATCCTAGGAGCCCATAATACTCCGCATAAGGCCCTAGCTGGGGTGAGAACATCAAATGTATTTCCAGTAGCACCAGCCTATTCGAATAGTATTGAGGTTAATTGCATTCTGGTTATGTTTTACGCGCGCACCACCACTCGACACCAGAGTTACAGAAGGAGAGTGGGTATATAGTACTTACTAACAAGCTTCCATATATTGATAGCCTGCCAGCTTCACGCCATAGCATGCGATATTCATAATTCTTGTACTTGGAATCTATCAGATATTCGGCTGGTTAGTCATATGTGGCTCGAGATAGGATGCACCAATGGCCCAAGGCGCCGGCTGATCGATCAAATTACGACCACATCAAGGCAGTGTATATCTACATGAATAGGATCATGTATTAGATATATGGGGATAGCCATGCATATTAGACTCATCTCGTGAGCTGTCATTAAAGAATAGGCACGAGACTAAGGCAGTCATAGCGGCTCTAGCCAGTGCGACCTGTTATCATAAGAGTTTGGCCGCGATCTTGACATTCACCGGACATCGATCTTGAATAGCCAGTATGTTATGGAGACGTTCTTAATATGTATATGTTCATGCTCATAATGATAATAGATCTTATATATATAAACTTTGGAGGGACAAAATTCAGCGTAGCCAACTTTCAGGTGAGTCGATATATGCCTGTAATTAACCAGAAGCGTTCCCTTGTATCTTCCAACATCTTCTCCCACACATAAATAATTATCGAGCCGTGGACCCGGCCACCCCCTACCTACTGGGCCTGGTGAGCCATTCGAATTAAAAAAGCGACGATGAAAGAGACACGTACATGTAATAACCTAACACATCCAGATTACACACATACAAGCACAGCTAGCTCCAGTCTGTTCCTGTATACACGTATATTCCAATTCTATTATACAGTCGTCCGCCGATATAACGAACGTGCATATTCCAAAATTTTCCGTTCGATACAGCAGATTATTCGGTATAGCAGGCAAGCTTCTATGTGAAATTTAGATTCGGATCACCGAGACCCGTTATAGCAAATTTGTGGCTTTTTTGGCATTCGTTATATCGGCGAACGACTGTATGCTTCTACATGTCCTTCCCAACACCACCTATCTTGCTGATGTTATGGAAGCCCTCGCATAGATCCCGAAGGCCAGATATACTTACCCATCGTAAAGACAGCCTACCCTCAACGGTATATGCAATTATGATTTTGGACAACATATAACTACTCCCCCGAGTCTCACACGATGTAGATCGTACACCTTATATCATTACCTCTACCATCCATGGAAACGAATCAATTGATTCATTTCCCGGGGTCGACGCTTGTGGAAAAGGCATAAAAGATTCATTTCCAAAGCCGAAAATCCCTTTTCTTAATTCATTTCCGCTTATGTACTACCTATTCTGGACAAGGGTGCGTCGTCATCCTAAAATGTCTTTTCTGATGCTTTTTCTTGATGCCTTTTCTTGATGCCTTTTCCTATGCCTTTTCCTATTCCTTTTCCGCCGGGGACCAGAAATGTATTTTCCTAGCGTCAAGGACCCAAAGCTATATACAGAGCTTAATATATCAATCAATAGCGTAGGTGATAAGATGTGGACTGTCTAATCGCAATCCCACAGGTTCAAACCCGACTCCTTTTTTATTTGTTTAGTATAAACTTATAAATAATTTTCGATTATGGGTAATGTGTTTATTAAAGTAACATATGAGACTTAAGATTCATTTCGGGATTCATTTCCCCATAGTAAAAAGATTCATTTCCTTGGTCACTTAATAGACACATTTCCGATGATTCATTCACACCAATGTTTTACGTGAGTATAAGATTCATTTTTTGATTCATTTCAATAGTTGGTAGAGATACAGTGATTTCCATTTTATACGCCCATCGGTTTTTCTCACAACCACTACCGCCCCATAATAAGCAGTATACTCTCATATAGAGACCCTTTATTCTAGATTTTTTATATATCATTCCTATACAATTCTTTCATGAGCGAGAACCCAGATATAGCTCCCGAATTCCCGCTGATAGCCCCTTACCACCCATGCGAGATGGATATCCTCGCTTGGACGACCGGGGACAATTGAAACAATTGTAATAATATTCACCTACCTTATTAACAAATGAGATGAATCTTATGTGATCCCAAACCAGATCAGAATTTCCTCCAATTTGTCTGGAGTACGAAAGCAGGAGCACCAGATTTCTCGGCACCGATCGCGAATAGAGCTTTATTATACTCAATGCGCAAAAAACAGAAACCCTAACCCAGCAGCTATGGCGCTTGGGCTCCAATCGGTCCACGCACGTGATCGAGTGATATTGAATGATCGTCACGTCGATGGCCAGCACTTCAGAGTCGCAGTTAACATCTCAGACTTTCGAGACCGTCGCTAATGATCTCCCCCGATTCCCGAACCCTTTTCATTCTCTCATTGGATCGATGCCGACGCGAGGATCCTAGCACGAGCGGAAGTATCTACTAGTACACCATAATGATGACGTCATATATTCTAGAGGTCCCAATTCGATGACGCCAAATATATATCGCTACTGCAATGTACTGTTGCGGTCGAGTATTGCAGTAAGCTCTGTAGTGTTTCTGTCTCTTCGCACATTAATCCACCGCAACTAATTACCATCATGACTTCTTTATTCTCCTCTTCTTCCTGGGCCTTATCCAAGATCCCAGATCTCTCCCGCAAGGTTTTTCTCGTCACTGGAGGGAGCGCCGGAATTGGCTTTGGAATCGTAACTCAGCTGCTCAAGAATAATCCTGCCAAAATTCTCATCCTCTCGGAAAAGGAACACCATGCAGACCTCGCCATAGATGAGCTCCAGAAATATGGGGATGCGAGCAGAGTCGAATGGGTCAAATGCAATCTTCAGGATCTTAAAGAGGTCGATAGAGTGGCAAAAGGTCTAAAGGAGAAGGAGAAGAGACTGGACTGTCTAGTTTCGAACGCTGGGATTGGTGTCGGGGTTTACAACCTGAGTAGGGACGGCATTGGTATCACTACCCTGACCCCCTGTAGCCTTAATAGTGCTCTGCTAACTGATTTTTTTTTACGGACAGATACCCATTTCCAAGTCAATCTTCTTTCCCAAATGCACCTTATTCTCACGCTTCTCCCCAACATCATCGAAACAGCCAAAGAGAACGCAGAAGCCCGTATTGTACTTCAGTCTTCGGACCTTCATCGAATGGCCCCGTCATCCGTCAAGTTCGCCAGCCTTGACGAGATCAACACTGATATTGGACCCGCGTACCTTTACAACCGAAGCAAACTAGCCCAGATCCTATTCGTCAGAGCGCTGGTACGAAGACTCCAGGATGGAAGCCTTGGCACCTGCCAAACATCAAATGTCTACGTCAATGCTACCCATCCGGGGGCTGTGAGCACGAAGCAACAGGAGCAGGCTGAGGAAGCATACGGCGTCGCCGGAAAGATTGCTGTCGCAGCCGCAAGGCCCTTCATGAAGGATCCAATTACTGATGGTCCTTTGCCGGCACTTTTTGCTGCGACATCACCGGATGTTCCGAAGGAGAATATCAATGGACAATACGTGTGTTTTCCCTTGTCTTTCCCCCTTTCCATATGCTGAGACTAATAGTTGGATAGATTGTGCCTCCTGGAAAGGTGACGGACCCGTCGAGCCAGGCCCAGGATGATGAGATGGGAGAGAGGCTTTGGTCTTTGAGCGAGCAGCTGTTGAAGGAAAAGTTGCAGTAGACTCCGGGAGATTTTCACATTTCTTTCGTACACGATTCCTGATGATCAGCGTATACACAAACACTGGATATAGATATATATGTAACGCATAATGTAAAATTAAGAAGCAGATATAAAATACTTAGCTTTAGCATTTCTTAAATAGCCCAAAGCACGGAGGAATCCCCCCTTAAAGTTTAATTTCACCCATTACACAAAACACAACGCACCATTATATCCATGTCCAACCGGCACAAACCTTTCAGCGGGAACATTCCTCAGCTAAACTTCAGTCCGTCATACCTCTTGCTCGGATGTCGGCAATTCTGAAGTATCTTGCAGTTTGAAATGTTTCTCAATAAATACAAAACGAGGCGTTTCCAGACTTTATCCTGACTTGACATCGAGACGAGCCAAGACAGCGAGAGACAGCCAAGATGCGAGCCTAGGGAAATCTCCCCTTAACCTCGAAACCCATCACAAGACCTCTCAAGTGCACGTATAGGGCATCTTGCGCATTTCGTTAGGATTCTCCTCATGGTTAGGGTTGATATGACCTAAAATGGATTTCTTCGAAATAGTCCCAACATAGTCTTATCTAAGCTTGGAACAAAGTTCATATTTTGTATTCGCTGCAAATTCATAAGAGGCGATCAGTCTTGAGACTTTAAGTAATATGGAGGGTTAGGGCTCATAATCCCAGGAGCGCAATTTTTATATCGAAATTAATTCAATAAAGATTGATGTTCCCCCCCCCCAAAAAAAAACCCCCCCAAAAGAGAGCCGGGAGGGGGGGGAGTTCTCGAGACTTTTACAAAATGATCTGCGTATCGATCTCTAGGCCTTGCATATTCAACTTTACGTTTTATCTTGTCCAAAGTCTCGAGACGAACTCTCGCTGGGTTTTGTCTTAAACCGATGATCACTGACTAGCATACCGGTAAAGAGGGCACAATATGCCCTTTCGATGCTACCGTTTCAGTTAATATACAGTTATTAGCTGTTCGAAAAATCATGAGACAAAATGGTGTAAGTGGCCGAGTGATATTCTATGATGCAGAATTCATGAGTCAAAGCATACCGCCATGCGGATTCAGCAGGTTATCATGAGATATTAGACGTCTTAGGAGTGGCGAAAGAGGCAGGGGTGCAGGCACTAACGCTCTATATCCCAGTTGATTGATTAGAGCAATACATGGCGCAAAATCTCGGGAATAAAGAATTGGCCTGGGCTGCGAGAATACATACTACATCACAGCCATTTGTCAAGACGATGAAAGGCTACGCTTCGAATCACTAGTGGGACTAAGGTTTAACATATAGTGCTAATCTAAAGTCTACTATTTGATCTCAGTCCCATTCGATTCGCTATATATTCCTGATCGAGCCTTAGTGGTATATGATACAGCTAGATCTAGAGTTAATACTCGATCTCGTGATCTCCTCTAAAACTATCTATATTCACCCGGAGAAGGCGTGTAGTCTTTAAAAACTACATATATAATCCACGCCCTATCTGTATTCCTTGTGTGTTGAACCACGGCACGAGGCCAGCCTCTCGCGGAAGCACGAAATTGAGATATGTGTCTATCACAGGTATGGAGCGGTAAATGTGATTTTCCCAACGGTTGATAGGTTATTTACCACCGGTGGTATAAGTACTGAATTTCAGTCCTTGTGCCAGTATAAACACTGAATTTCAATCTGTATGCTGCGCTATACTTCATTAGTAGATCTTCAATCATTAATGCCAACACTTATGAAAGTTCCCCACCGGTGGTGAAATACCTGCCACTGGTGGTGAAATACCTGCCACTGGTGGTAAAATACCTGTCACCAATATGGGGCGGTAAATGTGTCAAAAGTAATTTTACCACCGGTGGTATAAGCATTGAATTTCAGCCCTTGTGCCAGTATCAACACTGAATTTCAGTCTTTATACTGCGCTATACTACATAAGTAAATGTTCAAAATCTTATGAAAATTTCCCACTGGTGGTGAAATTCCCCACCGGTGGACAATGTGCATATATAGTGGCATTATATGGTCCCTTCTGGCCATATATTGGCATTCTATTGCCCATTTTGGCCATATATTGGCGTTCTATGGCCCCTTTTGGCCAAAAGGTCTGTGCTTTTATCATAAAAGCCTGCACTATTTTCACCACCGGTGGTAAAATAATTTACTACCGTTGGTAGAATTACTTTTGACACATTTACCGCTCCATACATAGATGTCCTCGCGCCTTCATATAGACGCAGCGCGTAGACTCAGTCTAATCATCACTACACATCTACTTCTCTCCTTCGCCACTAGACTTGCTCAAGGTTTTAAATTTACGCAATACTATCGATATCATGATAAATCATATGTATTTACATATATGAACACCGGCCATAAATCAACACCCCCGCACGCGTGGGAGAATTGCCGGTCTGGGGGCCACCTGGCTGTCCGGTTGGTGCCGGCAGACCACAACCGGCTGAGTCTCCCCCGAACATTTCGGCCCTCAACGTGGACGGGGTCGAGCACATGAGCTCAATCTAGAGGAGTTTGATTTCATGCTCGGCGAGGACTCGCAGATCGGACTCTGGGGGTAGAAAAGAGACGGGACGTGGGGCGGTTGTTATGTTGGAATTGTCCTAATACTCATATAAGTGTCAGTATATATGTCAACACGTAGCCACATGACACAGAGACTATTCTAGGCACAACATCTTTGTATAAATAAGGGCTCTGTATTATAATCAAGCAAGCCAATTGAGAAAGTCACAGTCTTCCGCATTTATTATTCTTTACTATTTATTTCCAACATATTACTGGCTTCAGGATCCGAGTGATGCGCTGTGAAGAAGACTTGATCACCCATTATCGACATTACACAAAAGCCATTCAATTTCATGTTTAATCCATTCCTACTTTTTTACGCATCAATTCAAAATCTACTTGATAGCATCTATTTCATACCGGCGTTGTCGCACTGTGCAAGCCTGTAACTATCATGACCGGACACGTAGCCATCCACCGAATCTCCCAAGGTTAGCTGTCAGTGTTTTCCTGCCCACCGCACACCGACACCGGCAACCCTAACCTCCCCACCGCCGCGCCGACATCCACCTGAAGCCGACTCTCGCCGCAAGACACCCAACAACACACACACACAAGCTGTCCTCCACCAAGTCAGCAACAACCAGGCCCAGAGCTGGACCCTACCGCAGACATTCAGGTCCCCTCCCTCCTCCCTCCCCCTCCAGGCCCAGACACGCGCTGACCCTTAACCTGTTAACACCCGCGCATCTATCTGACCAGCAGTTAACACCTCCCCGGCAAACCCCTTAATCTCAACCCCCAGCAGCACTCCCCAACCCCGCGATCGCACGGCCCGCGATCCCCGTAAGGCCACATGGCATCTGCATCCATCCCCAGCCTTCGATAGACAGCGTGTGGGGTCGGCGGCCAGCGCATCGGGGGAGATAAGGATGGGATGGGAGGGGAGGGGAGGGGAGGGGAGATGGGACGAATCGAGGGCTGGAATGTACGGCTGCAGGTATCCGTGATATGATAAGGCTCGGGGAGTCGACCCGGGTTGTTATCAACTGTGGATACGAGTGCTGGCTGTTGATTGACCCGGTTGATGAAGTGGACGATCGAGTGAGATGGAAAGAGACAGAGACAGAGATGAGATGGATGATCGTGGACCTCTGCTGATAGGAAGAATACTATCACTCCCCAGCCAGCCATCATGCCCATTCCAATCCCCCATTCCAATCCCCCATTCCAATCCCCCATTCCAATCCCCCATTCCAATCCCCATCCCCATCCCATCCATCTCCATCTCCATCTCCATCTCCATCTCCATCACCCTCTTATCTCTCCTGTAGTGCCGCCCCACCGCTTATTTACACCGCCCGATAGCCACCATCCCATCCGATGCCTTCCCATCCCCTCCCTCCCTCCCTCCCTCCCTAGGGCCCTTCCCTCCCATCCCTCCCCCCCAACAAAAGCATACCGAAACCCGACGTGATACCAACCCGAACTCTGTTTATCCGGAAAGTGTCGAGCCCCCGGTACAGCACCGTATCGCATCGCGTCGCATCCTTCAAAGCAGTAAAAGATCAGTAGCCCCAGAGCAGGGCGCGCTTATCTGTGCTGCACTGATAGATAACAACGCCCCCAAGGAGTGAGGGCGAGATCAGAGATAAGCAATCAGCCCTCCCTCCCCTCACCCCGGGCAAGACAGAAGAGACCGACAGAGACGGACATGTTCGCGAGCAGACGTATGTAGCCGGTTTTCTTGGATTCAGTGTGCAGCAGCGAAAAGCAAGATAACGGGGGCATAGATTCATTAAATACAAGTGCAGCCCCCATCTTATCATTCCCCCCATTTTCTAGTGTTTGTCTACGCGATGATCAACCGTAAAGATAAGAGACTGTGCTGGGTGTGGGTGGTTGCGGTGTGTCTTGCTGGTTACCAAATGACAACCGCTAATCGAATCCATCACCTCACTCTTTTTCTCTTATCTCTCCCTCTCTCACTTCCACCCCCCCAAGTAAGTAATCCACCACACAGCGCCGACCACCTTATCTCGAAAAACTTCCGGAGGGTTTTCTTTTCCCTCCTGCCTGCCAGCCCTTCCCCAGATACGGGAGGGAGGGAAGGGAAGGAAGGGAGCATCGAGATAGGCGGAGAATTAAACGAGGGGAGATCTACGTAGACCCAGGTGCCCGGGAAAATCTTAATTTCGTATGTAGCCTCTCTCTCTCTGAAGCAGAGGATTCGAATATTCGTTCCTGACATCTACACACAACGGTCGCAATCACGACTTCTTGGCACTCTCCGAGCCTCACTTGCTTACACGTGCACACGAACAATTACAATTGTTCTTCACCCCCCCCCCCCCCCTTTTTTTCCTCTCTCGCGCTACATATCCCCTTTCGGAGTCCTTTCTCCAGCCCACAGGCAAGGCAGTCGCAAGAGAGAAGGCAAAGCCTGCTGCATTTAATTAGCCGCAGGAAGCAATTCGTTTAAGCTTCCAAGGCCAGATGGATGGATGTATGGATCTCGGTTGTCCTCGGCAAACATCCCCCCAAAAGCAAAAAGGGCATCACGTTCACGGGCTTCCCAGCTGAAACGGAAGCGGATGAAGCCATCGTGAGATGAACAATTAACCTCACCTCCAGCTAGCCTCGCTCTTTGTTTGCAATTGGTTTTGCCGCGGCCATCACAGGGCTGCCGCACACAGAAGGTGGCCGGAGCGTGGACCTGTGGTCGCCGGTGGGTGACCTTGTGGGGTAGGATTGTGGTGGTGGGTTAGGGTTGGTCAGTGTGGTTGTTCAAGATGCACACACACAGATGTGGTGGCCACATGACGGTGGTCAGATTTGCCTCAGATTAAACAGCTCGGCGGAGATGCAGTAGCAGCGCACTCGCCAATTGACCGAGTAGATGTTGCAATTGAAGTAGTAGTACACAGGTAGAGCATGTAGCAGTTAGGTACACAACAAACAACACGGAGCAAAAGAGGTCAGCTGCAATGGCTGCGATTGGGCGTTAGAAGATTCGAGGTAACATCGTGACCCTTTTTTCCTTCCCTCTTCTCCTTCTGGTGGAAACGAATGCAACAAAGCGTAAGCTAGAGTCGAGAGGCAGAGCAAAAATTTCTTTTTTGCCTTCCCTTCGTTCGTTTGGACGTTCTGCTCGGGAGCGCTTACCGCATGCTGTGTGTGGGTGTGATGGGGAGAGTTACAAAGCAAGTATTTTCCAGACCTGCTCTATTTCGGTGGATGGATGGATGGGATGGCAGTTGGGTCTTGGTTTGCTTCTAGAGTGCCCACATCGTCGGTTTTTTCTTGCCACTACCCAGCTAGACTAGAGCCTTGGCTAGTGTGGATCACATGATCGGCTACTCGAGTCACGACACTCAACGTTGAGGTTAATAATAATGAGGACTTGAATTCAAGGTCAACATGAAGCTAGGGTGGCTGGTAGGTCGTAGTAGCAAGTAACGACTCTACATGATACTCAAACACCCCCCCCCCCCTTGCTCTATGCTTTACGTTTGGAACATCCTCAAAGGCAAGCGATATTCCTTTTTGCGGGAGCGGTAGATTTTTCCTCGTCGTTTTCAAACCGGCCTGCAGAAAAGGAAGGGAAAAAATAATTGTGATGTGCTTCAGATCATGGTGGATGATGCGTGATCTTCGGTGTGCTTGAAAGGGATGCGAGAAACGTCGCGTAAGACGGAAGTGTATTTCTCACACCGTGCACAGCAGCAATGTTGGCAGCACAACAAAGAACAGAGTGAGAAGGGTCGTGAAGCCGCCAGACCTCGGAATTGAATTGGATAGACTGGCGGATAGCTCGGAATTCGAATGCCGAATATATAACTCGAGAGATAATTATATATGGTTTTTCTGCTACATACGTACTCCAAAGAGAGCTCTGTGATACTAGTAATCATGGCCGCGGGTGAATTGAGTGCTTGGTCCATTACCTACAAGAATGGTGGTTAATATCCCAAACGACCACGACCAGCTAGCTACATAGTTCTATGAAGTGGAGCTCATTAGTTGATACAGCAACCTCAACACCTCCTGCAGCAAATATTTCGAGCACCCAAGAGGCGTGGTGATACCCAGTATCAATACTGCCCTTACGTGGACCGACGTTGCACCGCTTGTATATACAATTGTGGAAGATCATGCTGTGAGGGCCAGTACAATTCCTCAACACGGGACACATATGCCAAGATACTTGGCTTGTCCAAGCGTTATATATGTCATTCTCACGATGTCTTTCTTTGGCTAGGAAGTGAAAGTCCACGTCCAGAAACCTCAGAGAGAGAGGAGGATAAATTTTCACCCACGTGGACCTAGAACTTTCCCTCACCCAAAGCACTGACCTTCTTGAACGCTCAGGTGATGGGCAGCACCGAGAGCAGGCCAACTGAGCTTTTTTTTTTAGGTAATTCTCCTGCATCGTCCCCTAGGGATCCACGGATTTTCCAGTAAAGAGGGAAGGCGCACACCGAATCCTTGGTAGGGCTTAGCAAAGTATGGGGTAAGTTTCCGTTGTTGTGGTTGTATTGGACGGGGTCACAACCGGTGGAAGGGTCACGGCTGCCACACACCGAGACAGAGGGAACAGGGTCCCCGCGTAGGGACTCCCGTTAACGGCATAACATGTTAACCACCACCAACAAGGCCCCAATTACTCGACATCGCATCATACTCGTGCTTAACCTCGTCTTTTTTTCCCTTTTCCTTCTTTTTTTCTTTTTTTCTTTTAATTGGGACCTGCTGGTCCTGCAGCTACTAAACTCCCTTGCTGCACATGGATTGCGGTATTACGTTTTTAACCGCAAGAGAGAAAGGAAGATGGAGCATCGTGATCAGGTCTTGCCAGAAATGAATCATCGCTACCCCATCCAGGGGCAACCTTTGGGACTCCACTGGTAGAGTAGGTAGGATTGAAGATGATAGCTCCACGGCCCGTGAGGAAGCTATATAAGCATATGCCCACCGGGAGCTGGAATGAAAGTATCATACACATACATCATCAATACCGTTTGATATATATACCTATCATCCCATATATATACATCCATAGCAGCTATCACCCATATCCCACAAGCACAAACAGACAAAGAGCCCAAGGTTCGAAAAACCAAACAACAATGCCGTCATTCGAAGACCTCCCCTTCGAGATTCTCTCGCAGATCCTCACGCTCGCCGCCGAGCTCAACGTCAACGAAGAAGCCACATACACATACGGCCTGACACAGGCACCTCGATCAAACCAGCGTCATCCCCTCCAACGCTACGTCCGCGGCCGTGTCCCTACAGATGTCCTGCGCTGGAACACCGTAAACTCATACAGACTTGTCAATTCACGATGGCACCACTGGGCGCTATCATACGCCCTCAAGGATGTCTACGTACGGCGGTGGAGAGGCGGTGAACAGTGAGTACTCCTCTACTCAAGCTACTTCTTTACAATACTGACCCAATTGCTACAGATGGGGCAAGGAATCGTTCAGAGAAGCCGACAAGAGCTCGCAGACCCCCGGGTTCGCCCCCGTCGTCTTCCAGGACCCCTACAAATCCATCAAGTCCACCGCGAAGCTCTTCACCGACTACCCCCAGATCACCGCCCACATCCGCCGGCTATGGTTCAACGGTATCTACCAGCACGACACCAACAAGTACATCTTCCAGATCCTACACAATGCCGTCAACGTGCGCAATGTCGTTGTTCCATGGACCACGCTGCGCTTCGGGACGGAGGCAGAGTGGCAGCGATTGATGTCATTCCCACGTCTGACATCGCTCGAGCTGCTCACCATTGGCCTGCGCGAGAGCTCAGTCACGAACCCAGCAAACAACACCGACCACGCTGTGCTGAGGACGGGCAATGGCTTGAACTTTAGCGGGCTGAAGAGATTCAAGATCTTTGGTGACTCAAACCTCAACCCCATCACGGACGAGGACCTCTACTACATTTCACGAACTGCCACAAACCTCGAAGAGATCCACATCACCGGTGCATCATCAATCACAATCAAGGGTATGTCTATTCTGTCTACTATTCTATCTCAGGGTTAGGGTTCAATTGATACTAACTTCCATTTCTACAGGTGTCGCCGCATTGGTCGCCAGCTCCTTCCAAACACTCAAGCTCCTCGAGTTCACCCCTCTAACGGACGAAGGCTTCAGCCACCCCAGCTCCGACGCCGTTCACCCGCACCTGCACATCTGCTCGCTCATCGCGTCATGCCCGCGTCTCAAGGACCTCGCCATCACAGTACCCGCCTGCTGCCCGGAGATGTTCTCACGCCCCTCAGTCGCCTGGCAGGAGACAGCACGCATCCGCGTCGCTGGCCGCGGCAACTGCAACCCCGCCGGGCTCCCGCTCGACATGAACATCGAGGGCTTCATCCACACGCTCGAGTCCGCGCGCGACCTGGTATCGCCGGCGGCGCGCAAGGGGCGCGGAGAGCTCGACATCGAGATCGCGGTCGGGAACTGGCTGTTTGATGTCAAGACAGGCTTCGTGCACGGTAACTTCCTGGAGGCCAAGAAGGCGTCGGAGATGCTATGGGCGCCCGAGGAGTTCCCGACGACGAAGGGCCCGTATGGGCATACGGGGCTGTATGGCGATGTCGAGGATGTCAAGGGCGAGTGGTCGTGCGTGCCTTCAAGAGACTTCTTTGAGGCGATGCGGTGGGGTCTGGTGAGGTTTGATAACTAGGCTGGTGGCGGAATTGCGTCATTGTGGATGTAAAAGTGGAATTTTTTGATTGATTGGGCTTGGGCTGTGGCGTTTGTAAAAAAAAAAAGGATTTTTTTCTTTCTTTCTTTCTTGCGATGAGCTTGGCTGGATTGCACTAACTATGTACTTGTTTCCTTGTAATATTTTTTCTTCTTTTCTTCTCTCGCTATGCTTTGTATTTTTTGTGGGAAACAGTATTACTAGTATTATTGTTATCTTTTTCCTTTACTCTACTCGACGTCTGTACTTTTAGTTAAGCTTATGATGGAATAATGATGAATGATGGTGGTGCTGCTCAACACCTGATTGGCCCGATTTCTGTTGGTTTCTTTTTGCTAATAATGCATATCACTGCCGCATGCCTACTATTCTCTTACAAATATCCAAGACTTTTTGCGACATGCGATTTTTTCAAAAAAAACAGGCGATGATGATGATTCATAGTACCTACCACCATTGCCAAGTTTGTATATTCTGAAGTGTATTTTGAAGTGCACTCCTCGGTGGTGTGTACTTAGCTACAATACCGTAGAGTAGCTCGAGTAGAATCGGAATCCCTCATAGAGCAGTGGCAGTGCTCACCTAACAACTAGCGGAATGATCAACACTTTTTTTTTTTCTTCCACGCCAGCCAGCCAGAAGTTTCTTTGTCTGCCTGTCTGTTTCGGCCCATCGGATAGTCTACAAATGGTTCACACACAAAAAAGAGGCGCTGCATGAAAATCTCGGTACAGTCCACTTCCCCACGAGCGGCGTTTTGAGGCGTCCGCCGGCGCCGACAATACCGAGCGCGGGCCAAGAGTCCAGGGCGTTATGAATTCAAGGTCCAGCGTGGAGTTAGGTTTCTAGACCTGCCTTAGTTAACACCACCGACCGACACGTGGAGGAGGGAGTTTGTAATTACAGAAATAGTAGAGCAACTCTTTGACCCTACTATGCACAGCCTGAAACACCTAGAATTTGGTATATGAGTAGATTTTTTTGTGGCCAGTGCACGATCATACATATGTGAAAAGCTGGAACTCGAGTCGTACCTTATCCCCGGCACCAGTATCAGAATCTGTACCGGCCGTGATCCAAATCATTGCCCGTGCCCTCCATGGAAGCAGCAATATCAGGATTAATTGTCCGCGCCGATGCTCAATCCCTCCCACACGTGGATCCATCATTCGCCCATATTATCGAGGTTTTATGTGCCATATAGCAAGTACACGTGGAGTTCTCATTCGCCCGTGCTGTGGTTACGTACGGACTTGGAGTTGAATTCAGAGCCGTAACTACACCATGGCCCAAGCACGACTGTTAACTGGCTGCTCTCGCCATTTGTGTTAATAATTAACCATCTCTTGGGTGCATATGTATTCGCTTACCTCTACTGGCCCGCGCGGTTCTTGGCCGGTTAATTTGGTGGAGTGTGTGCTTGACCTGCCTAAAGTGTGTGTGTTTGCGGCAGTGCTAAAAATAGCACTTGCTTTAGTAACCTTGGAGGAAACATGAAGCCTAGAACTCTGTTGTAGAGTAGAGAAAAGAATATACCTGCTCTGTCTACAACTACATGTATGCAAGCGCTTTTTCGGCAATGCAGTTTGGCGGGTGAGTGGAACGGAGCATCGAGATTGCTTAGGTACAGATGAAAAAAATCCTCTTCATAGCGCCACAGGTGTGAGTAATAATTAAGCATTCCACGCGGTACGTAGGAGGGTGCTTTTTTAATGCCGATTCTTCGGTACACATGAGCAAAAATAAAACTAGTATGTACCTGCCAGCATTATTACTCGGTACTCTGGGAGTGGTCATATCATTTTTCTTGACTATTTACTTTGTCCTGACTAGGCAGTACAGGTCAACCTCACTATGAACATGTTCAAGCACTTCCAAGTACGATTGGGACAAAGGTACATGTATGTAGGTACAAATGCTACATGACCAGTGACATAGGTCATCCGCTGCAGGTCATCTTGTGTATAATGCCAATATCATGACATGCAGAATCATCAGATTCACATAACTAATGCCAACTATCATGCCGGCCACCACAAGCGAGTGATCGTGAGGAGTTAAGCATACACATCCGAGGTCAATCCTTTTAGGTACCGAGAGCTTGAAAAAAATTCAAAAGTGGGTAGTTATGCATTTGAAGAGATTTGCGAGTGATGGCTTGGAGAAAGAAAAGATTGCAAGCGCTGCTGGGACCGTGGTTACACAGGTGAGTAATGATATCTAATGCCAATTTATGGAACGATGGTTACACGGTGAGGATATAAGCATAAACAGCCAGGGATAAGGCTATTGTTACGCGAGGGAGCGGTTAGATATCATTGGCTATATGTCGCAGTAAGTACTCTACTGTGATAAAACTTTATCTTAACTACGCCGTGACTCTTATTCTACTCCCTACCTATAGCCACATGCCTATAATACGCCCTATCAATCGGCGCTAGATTCACCATGTAGACGGCCGATGATGTATCTTTCCTTGGAGACAATGCGCTTGTAATCCGGATGGCATGGATCAAGCTTTTTCGTTTCTCCACACAGGCGCTTGTATCTTCTTCTGTGGGCCCACATTCAGCTTTGCATAAATTCAAAAATCCCTAGAAAGTTACTCCTAACCTTATTCGACCCTCTTTCTTCATACTTAGTCATTTGTGCAGCGCTTGTATCTCCAACATTGGAATATGGTCCCACAATCACCACTTCCGGGGGAGTCCCGCATGGGATTTTGGTCAGCTTGTATCTTTTTATATCACGACTCCAGCAGAGAAACTGTGTTTTGAGAAATATCATGACCTTGTTACTGCATGAAAGCGCTGAGCTGTGCCATGGGGATGAAACTCATTAAGTTTCCACGATACTTTTGTCCTCCTTGAGAAAGGTTGTGGTGATATTTCATGATCTGAAAATGCTATAAAATGTCGACGAAATCGCCATTGGATAAGATCTCTCTACTCACTCACTCACCCACCCAGTATCCTATCATCGATATCTAAGATACACAGGTTGTTTTTCATCTCATCTCCCCATCACACCCGATCAATCGCACAGAAAACCAATCATCATGCTTCTCCTCTCCCTCCTCCTCAGCACTCTCACCATTGGTGCTACCACCGCCCAGAGCTGCAACCCCCCCGACGTAACCTGGAATAGCATCGACATTTTCTTCTCACTACAAGTCCAAAACGCCAGCTACCCCTCCATCGACCTACAACACCTAACCCTCACGCCTAATGGGGGCACCGATCAGCACATCTATCTCACCCCAACCCCGTCGCTCGCAACAAACACCTTCCAGCTTCAAGGCAGCACGCTGATCAATAGTACTTCATTGCATGCTGTAGTTTCCGGTCAAAACGACGCTGGAGATGGCTCGCGGAATATCTTCTTTACAGAGCGGACGCAGCAGCTGGCGGCGTTAGATGCGAGGTTTGGGTGTTCGCCGGTTGTGGACGGGGAGATGCAGGTGGAGTTTGTGTTGGTGGATGGTGCAGGATTGTGTGTGAGGCCGGCATCAGGTAATAGGTGGGAATTGAGGTATAAGCCCGTGGGGGTGGCAGGTATGTTTCCTTCCTTTCATTATTTTGTGGGTAGTGCTAGAGCGGCTTTGGCTAATCATTGTGATAGCACCGTTATGTGTGGATGTGACTTTGGCGTCGGATCCGCCGTTGCCTTTGTAAGTAGCGTATGGGAGGCATCTCTAGGAGGAAAGGGTTTTGTTTATATTTAGGTTGGAAGACGGTTGAATTCGATATTTTTGACTCCATTGGTTGTGACGAGTGATATATTATGATAGTGAAATTCGAACCCAAACATTGATCTCACATTCGAAAAGTGTAGAGCACTGTTGCGTGAGCTACATGTATACTAATTCCAGTAACATTCATTATAATTGATTGATTTATTGACTAAGACAACCACCAGAATAACAGGGCGAATTCATTTCATATGTGGGTGAATTATCACACTGCAGTCGAGATCTAGTGTAGTTTTCGCAAGTTAATAAATGATCATCTAAACTCAGAAATCCGGAGAAGTAATACCTAATAATGATGTTGTAGGTGTATTTTCATACAAAGTAAATCAGGGTATAGAATGTTTTATTATCTTCAATTATCACTCGATAACCCGGTTCTCGTCGAGGTGATTTTTCTGATTTTGGGTACCCTATCCCTTAAGCTGTCACAAAATGCTAACCCCCTAAAAAAAAGTAAATTCGGTGTGGCTTTACTAACAGACCCCGTTATCTCCCATACAAATTTAATTCCTCTGTTATAGGGGGGCCAGAATCGACAGCTTAAGGGATACTGGTATATCGTTTTCAACATAAGTGAGGTCTACCGCAAAAGTTGGAGCGTTGCACCCAGGTGTTAAATAAGATCCTGGTAAGTTTCTCTCACCAAAAACTGAAGGATTCGCCACAGTTCGAGCAAAAATTGGTGCTTTTTACATACCAGGATCTTCTCTAACGCCCGGGTGCAACGCTCCAAATCTTGCGGTAGTGCAATAAAATTCCGGGGAAAGCGGTTTGGCAGGGTAGTTGGGTTTCTCAGTTACCCCGGTAGGGGATTTGACATCGAATTCAGGGTTTTTGGCATAGCAACCAGACCTAAAAGGACTTTTGGTAAACACACCACACCCTCCAGGTAGGTTATTGGTCAACCACAATCACCAAAAGAAAATACCGAATGGGTCTGGGAACGAGACTAGACTCCTACCTTAAACTGCTATACGTATATGCATACCCCCTATCTCTGGCCCCGCGTAAATAACACTACATGATGATACAAGTATCGGGGATCGAGAAAGAAAAAATTAGGATGAAAAGGAAGCGAGATAGAAACAAATGAATGAGTACTGAGAATATAAATAAAATCGGCAGAGGTTTTTAAAGTGGCGGACCGGACATGACAGAGTGTTGACATGATGTGTTCGAACACGGTTTCAGTATCATGTGAAAAGCCAGATATTCGATATTTCTGTTTTGACCGCATACATATATATCTCAGATTAGAATAAAGTTTATTTATTCATTGTAATTATTTTTCCCATGCACCGAGGGTATTTCCGACGAGTGACATAATAACCATGATCTGTTTTACAATCATTGGAAACATCTCGATATATCAACCGACCAGAACAAAGGCCTTTACTACATAAGACACCCCGACAGAACCCAGGATTAGGTGTCATCCAAATGGGACGACTAATTCCGTACCACTTGTCACATGTAAAACTTTAATTTCGATCCATGGGCCGTACAACTCGTTGAAAAAAGAACTATCAGGTCCACCCCTTAGAAGCCGGCATTGTGGAAGCTGAGGGGAGTTCCCACAGCCCCCCCCCCCCCCCCCCCCCACAGATCCCAGAGCTCCTCCCCCCCCGCCTTTTTTTTTGTTTAATTCATTAATTGATCCTTAGCTTCAAGTGGTTGAAAAGTCTCGAAGCTGCGGGCTCTATATGGTTGCCGTGGCAACCGGTTCCTAGCAACCTGTCTCCATGAGTATATATCTCTGAGGCGGCCGGCCGGCGATCCTCCATGCGCGGTAAATCCCATCACAAACTATCACTCCGGCTCAATTATTTGATTATATAATCAAAAATATCCAAAATTCGCCTTCAACTAAAACCTGCGGCCAACAGCGTAATACGGGTCCCTTCCTTCCTCCTCTACCTCCGGCCTCCTTTTTTCTCCTGCACGGTTCTAGGCCTGTCAACCCAATCCACCACCCGTCCCGCCGTGTCCCTGAATCCATCCATCTATTCCCCTTGCAGCAACAACTCTTCCCATACCCCCGGATCCCCCTCATCTCTTCCCTTCACCATCCCCATCCAGGTCCTTCCAATCCGCTGGTCGTTCCCATTTATTCGCAGATCACTATCCATTCCCAGATTACCGCCCATCAACCATCAACCGCACCCCTTCCATCTTCCATCCCATCCCATCCTTCCATCCCTCCCATCCACCGTCACCCTACGTCAGGCACCTGCCGATCGTTAAAACCGTTTAACATCTTCCCCCTCCAGGTCACCCCTCTGTGATCGAGTCCTCTGTCCCCAATTCTCGATTCCCTATCTTCATGACATCACTCTCACGACCTCGTGCCTGTAACTTCAGAGAACGCCACCAATGCAATGGCTAATTGATAACGTCACAACTAAGAAAATATTTTTTTCTTTGCGAGGCTCAATACCGGTGGGCTATATAAGTATGCCTTATGTAAGCGGTCGAGACCCCGTATGTAGGCGATGTTGAGGCTCTTCGGTAAGCCGGTTGGCGTACATGGCATAAAGTAGGCCTAGGTACATGTACTCTCACGACCCCCCCCCCCAAACAGAAAACAGAACGAAGAAAGTAAAGAAAGAAAGAAAGAAAGAAAGGAAGGAAGAAAGAAATAAGGGAAACCACAAGCTCTTAAGAACCATTCTCATACCCGAGAAACTCCCGCGGAATTCCCAATATGTTCATGCGATAACTAACACTCACACCCCACACATACAAACCCTAACCCAAGTTCCTTTCCGATACTCCGCGAGGAATTCCGATAGAGGATCGGTGTTCCATATTTTTTTTCTTCTTCCTTTTGATGATGCTGTTGCTCCTGATTGGGCCGGAATGGAGTTTAGTAGGTATGAGGAGAGCTCGGACTGGTCTGCGAACAGATTCTTTTTTTATTTTCTATTTTTGTGGGGTTCCTTGGGTTGTGTTGGGTTCGGATTCGTAAGTTGGTTCGCTGCGACGGTATGTACCTTTTTTTAAATTTCCTGATCAGTGATGGAAGTTTTTTATCGGACTTCAGGGCGGAGTTACAAACATGTGGGCTTTGGTACGTATTTTCAGAAATTGAGATCCTACGCAACCTTCCTAAGGCATAAGGAAGTAGACGAAGGAGAAGAAGGACCGGTCAGTTTACCTGAGACGAGACCGTTCGCGGACTTGGCCGGCGACGAGCAATAGGCAGGCCAGACGAGCGAGACTCGTACTCACGATATAGCCCTCAGTGTGCAGAATGGCCTAATCATGACCAATACGCTCCCACGAGCGCTAACCAGCTGGGCCTTAAATTGGAATTGTGATTGTTAGTTTTTTCGTCTGTCTGTTTCTAAACATATACCCAATTAACCGGCATCGAGTGCGAAAACACCCCACGAGTGACAGAACATGAATTGAAGTACCTACCCCTAATATTCCTAATACGACAAACCCAACCCACGTCCCCCCTCCAAGATAGATCTGCCCCAATTCCGGGCACCGATATCTTCAGCCTCCGCACGTTCCACTTCTTGCGCGTGCTCGCTACGTGCCTAAATATACCCAATTGCAAATGGGCCGTGTAGGAGAGAAGGCCGATCCACGCAGCTGCCGTGGCCTTCGCAACGGAGATGTGGGGGGTGATAGGATCGCCGCATATAGGGACATAAGGAATGTGGAGGTTTGTTCTTTTATATGAAGTGTTACCTAGAAAGGAGGGGAGAATGTGAGAATGGGGGAATTGATAGACGTACGGAGGTGTTGTAACTACCTATGGGTTTTGGATTTTAATTGTTTTAATTATGAGCTCTCTCCCCCTTCCTTCCTTCTTCCTTCTTTCTCTGTTCTTCTTCTTCTTCTTCTCTCTCTTCATCCCCCCATTCCAAACACACCCACCAACACCCCCAGCTCAAGACCGCCCCATGCCATATGCCATGCCGTAGGCCATGGCCATCACCAACCGCGGTTCGGTTATCCCCCCGACCCACGCACACCCGCACAACTCTCCGCCACAAGTACAGGCAAAAAAAAAAAAAAAAAAAGGTCAGTCTACCTCAAAGCAGTATCAAAGCTACAACCCATCCACCCCGCCGCCGGCCGGAGGAGCTCCGGCCCTCCCTCAATTCCCCCCATTTCCCCATCCCTCTGGCCCGGGGCACATTAGACCGAGGTTGATTCACGATCGATGGGGTGGTGGTGTTGTGCTGTGCTGTCTATATATATATATACATATCGCTCGCCTGAAGTTGTCTTTTCTGTGGGGAGGGGGTTTTTCTTTGTGGGTATGCGCATATGCGATTTTGGGAATTTGGGATCTTTTCCCCTTCATCTTGAATTCTTTGTTTCTTTAATTCGTACAGACTTCGTCACCACGATCCTAATCTTTGCAATCTGCTTGTTTACAAACTATTCTTTTCCTCTTTTTTTTTTTATCATGCTCTTTTGCACATGGACTGGACTGCTTGATTGAACTGACTACTATTTCAGCTTCTACATACATCGATCGTTTTCCGCTTTCCCGTTTCCACCGTCATCCAAGCCTTCCTTCCGGCATTTCCCCTTCGTCTATGGGTTGGTATAAGACACGCTCACAAGCTATAGTTACAAGAAACAATATAAAAAAAAGATAGGGAGAAGTCCAAAGAAAAATCCGAAGCCTACAAAGGAAAAGGTGACAAATAGAAAGAGTAACAAAAGAAAGAAGGGGTTTGTGGAGGGCATATAAATACATCAAAAAATATCCACAAAAATATCCACAGAATGAAGAAAAGATCTATATCGGGGGGTACTAATAACTAATATGGCAGCTGCGGTGACAGAAAATCAAATATACCCATGTGTACTGGATAGTATTGTCCGTTCATTTCGTACATTTGAGGCCCTAGCGCCTGCGGATACATTGCCTCGGGCGTGCTCCCCACCGACGACGTACTCGACGGCGGTCCCATCTGGCTTGGATGCGGCGAGTAAGCGTGATGCTGCTGTTGCTGTTGCTGTTGCTGTTGCTGCATATACATCTGCTGCTGCTGTTGGGGGTGTCCGTGCATCATTGAGCTCGCCGGTGAGTACGGCGGCATGCCGTCTCTCAGCCGTGGGTCCACTGGAGGGAGATGCATACTGTTTTGTTGGTGCTGGAGCGGCGCTTGGATCTGGTACGAGGAGTTATCCCAGAGACGGGAGTCGTCAAAGGGGCTGCTAGAATTCGACAGCTCGATGCATTTTCGTCTCATCTTCTCGAGGCCAGCCGCAACGTGGTGGATAATATGCTGCTCACCGACACGCTTTTCGTTGAGCATGTTTATGACGCGGTTGACCTGTTCCCAGACTTGGTCTGGTTCGTAGGGAGAGAAACCGATGCCACGCCAGCGAGCAGTGACTTTGAGGAGGAAGACGGCAGCAAAGGCAATCATTGTTGTCATGTAGAGGGGGACACCAACAAGGGATTCCCGGATGTCGGAGACATCGAGGACTATTGAGAGGACCTGGAAGGCGGAGTGGATGGCGATTGTGGCATGATCTTTGCGGACAGCGGAGGGGTTGTTGATGGTAGATGTGGAGGCACCACGGAGTGAGAGGGAGTTGACCTGGAGTCTTGCAAAGTTGTAGTGCAGGTCGACGCCTTGGTTTGGATAATCGCCGACTTTTATGTTCCGCCCTGCATTGTTCGTATTGTTATTATTACTAGAGCTTTGATTTTGATTTTGATGATTGTGGTTATTATCATTGTAGCAGCCGTCGTTATTATCATACCGGCGGCTCGCAGAAATATTATTGAACGTGTTGGAGGAGGAGGAGAAGTAGGAGGACGGCGGTGGTGGTATGTTACCTAGTTTGCTCATCCATCTTGCCCGCCACTGATCAAGCTGCTTGTTGAACTCGGCCAGCTCCTTCAGGTTGTCGTCCGAGATCTCCTTTTCGGCTTCTGCCTCGTAGTAATTGTAAACCCGCGTGAGCACCACAAACAGCGAGACCTGACTGCACACTCGACTATCGCCCTCGATGGCCTGTTTGGACGCCACAAACATCTCCCACTCCCGCATTGGCTCAGTGTCGTGTATTACTGGGGGTCGGCCGTATGCGATTGAGAAATGGTGATCACAAACATAGAGTAAATACCATAGTCGTGCCCGTTCAAAGTGTTCTTGTGACCCAGCAAGTGCTTTCCGAAACGACTGGTGGATGCCCAGCTCCGTAGCAATACGTACGGCGTGCCCAGAGAGCTTCCAAGAGAGGTCATGGAGCCAGAAGGCACCGATGCAGAGGGCTCGGACGTCGTCCAATTCATGGCGGCGGTCAAACATGGATGAGGACACGAGGTTGAGGAACTCCTGGTAGCAGGTTTTGTACAGATGGTGATGTTGAGGCAGGTAGAGAGAGGCTACGGTGAAGATCGCAGAAGAGAGCAGGGAAGAGGATGCTCTTACGGATTCCAGGGTGTTATGAGTCAATGCGATGCCGTACAGATAGTGATTGAGAGAATCTCGGAATCTACAATATTTCCCCCAATTTCGTTAGAACATCCACGTACTTGGCCCAGTCATGTCATCTCCCTCACCTCCACCACCACCTCCGCTACCCCCTTGATGGGGTAGCAGCGGCGGCGGCAGCGGAGGTAGAAGTAGCTGACCATTATGATCTACGATCGGTGCATACATTTCAAAAAGCTCCTCCCCATCCTGCTGCGTGATGACCCCCCTTGATATGAAATCACCGCTCATCTCTGACAGATGCCGATACCTTTCCCCGCCGGCCCTCTGAGTGCGCAGGCCCCGGAACTTTGTCACCTCGTAGAGCGAGCCCATTGGGTTCGAGACCAGTGTGCTTCCTACATGATCATGAGGTTCCTGGGACCCTTCTCTTTCTGTGGCATTGCTTTCCCGGCGAAGGTCATCCATACCCGCCGTTCCTACAGCTAATAATCCCCCATGTCCTCCATGTATTCCCCCATGCCCATGTATACTACTATTATTATTATCGTCGTGCTCCATCTTTATCCTCCCCAGCGGCAGCCGTGTAGATGAGTGTGGGTGAGCGCCTGCAATGGCATTCCGGTGCTCAGTGGAGGTTGTAGAAGCTGCGGGCGAGGTGGCGCGCCTATCGTACTCCGACAACTTTCCAAGTCCCAGTTTCGACAGAATGACGTCCACAGCACTTTGTAGCTGGACCGTGTCTTCGCGCATCTGGTGTTTCCATCTGCAAGATTGTCAGTACATGATCGCCCCCCAAAACAGATAGGAAACGAGAAAATCACATTCCGGAAAAACCATATTCCGAGTGGCGGTTTATGATGGGATAGGTTATGAATGGTGATGGGGGTGGGTGGGGGTGGGGGTGGGGGAGAGAAAAAAGGGACGAGGGAATAATTACTCCACATCTTCATCCAGGATCGTCTGCAAACTCCTATTGACCACACAGTCCAACTTCATTTTTTTACATCGGACACACGTCGACTCTCCCTCCTCAAAGTCGCACCTGATTTTTTGTTTCTTACACGCTGAGCACGCGCGCACCTTTCTGCTAATGGTCGGGATGCGGCATCCCTTCCCCGCAAGATCATTGAAGATCGACGGGACATTATTATTGCTGGGCGAGCTAGCATTGGATGTTGACGAGGGCCTGCCCTTCTTTGTAGGCATGTCGGGGAACCCAGAAGCATCGCTGGCATCGTCGAACGGCCGCTTCATTGATTGTGGACTGGTAGACATATTCGGGGGTGATGATGGGGGGGTGGTGGGAAAAAACGAACGGAAGGCCACAACAGCAGCGAGAGGGGGGGGGGGGGTGGAATTGGTGGTTGACGGGGGAGTTGGGCCTAGTGGGTGAGGTAGCGTCGACTGTCTGTGTGATGGCGGGGGTGGAGAATGGATGATTGGGGAGGGGGGGGGGGGGGGGGTGGACTCTCTTTTATTTGGTTTGGGAGATGCAGTCGGGGGTGAGTATGTGTATGTGTATATATATCTATGTCTAAATATATATAGCGGATAGTAGGGGTCGAATCGAAGCCAGTCGGTGTCGGTGTAGTAGTAGCTGGTGGTAGATACTCTAGCAGTGAACCATAGGGTTGATGAGGTCCGTTGCAGTGATAGTAGTAATTGTTGTCGTCGTCAGTCCTTTGAGGAGAAACAACATGGGCGAGATTGACTTATTAAAAAGGCTATGGTGGTATCGCAAAGCTTTCAGACGGGCCGGACCTAGAATGGGCGAAAGCAGGTCTGTAGCATTTTGCAGTAACCATGATGCAGCCAGGCCACACAGGTATGTAGTGATTCTTCCTGTCTGGCTGAGGAGGAGGAGGGTGGTTAGCATCAGATTAGCGTCGTGTTGGGTACTAGTTTGCTGGGTTATGTGATGTATGATGGTGTGTGTACGGTATTGATGTATGTGTAATGTATGTATAAAATGTATGTATGTATGAAAATGAAAATTGTGAAGGTGGGATACGAAATTATTATTATTACTATTATTCCTTCAATCGACAAACAGGGTTTGAATGCATTGGCGGAACACTTCTGTGAACAGCAGCAGGAAGAGAGCGGGCGGAGATAGGGGATCAGTACCAGCCTCAATCTCATCTATCTGATCTCGAGAACCGTCTTGTCTCTTGTCTGGTTTCATTTCGCACACATGTAGAGAGGGTATGTAGCTAGCTGCAGAGTTAGTCCAGAGAGGTCCAAAGTTGTGTTTCTCTTTTTTCATTCCTCACATCACCAACCATCATCCGTACCATTCCCACCTAGCTACTGCACGACATGCAGAGAGGTGGGACCTCCATGGATCCAAGCAGAGTGTATCGCTGCCTGCTAGGAGGGGGGAGGGAGGGGGGTGGATGGTGGTCCTGGATAGTGGATGATGATGGTGGGCGGTGGGCGGTGGTGAGTGGTGTATAGTGGAGATGCCCAAGCCGCTCGCTTTACTGGGCAGAGGAGCAGGGGTGGCTCGCGGAGAGTCGGGCGGTCCTGCAGCTGGACCTGCCGTGTAACCACATCCATGTCTGAGATTCTGAATTTCTGTTATTCTCTACACTAGAGCCGATAAGTTCCACAGTTCGTAGGTTCGTAACAGTTCTTCAGCAGGTACACACATCCTAGGTCATCATCACTCGAACGAGAAAAGAAGGGTAGAAGAAAAAGGTTTTGTCCCAGAAGCCTCAATTGGGATTATTGATTGCTTGTAGGTATTTGCTCGCACCCTTGCAATTTACCAGAATAAGGTGCTCCGGCTTCACTCTAACTACTCTAGCTCTACTAACTCAAAACCACCCTCCCTCCTTCCCCCTCCTAGCTCCCTCCCTCCATCCCTCCTTCTCACCAACCACCCCCCCCCCCCGGGGCCAGTTCTTCCCCTGCCATTAGAAACCGTAGGTTAATTACTTGGCGTCCTTATTACTATTATTTCTTTGTGAGTGGTGGTTATTTACTTTCCTCTTTACATTTCTCGATCTCTTCTTTTCTTTTTTTCTCTCTCTAGCTCTTCCTCCTGGCGAAATATTGATCTCCAGGGCTCTACGAGCCGGATGGGGAATTCCGCACAATAACGTGGCGGCACAAACCCCTGGCGCACCCACGCCCTGGCCCTGGCCTTGGTCTACCCTGGCCCCTGGGATTAACGCATGGATAAAACGGTAGCCGTTACCCCAAAGTGACGAGTCCCGCGTGTTCCATGCTGCGCGCGATTGATAATTTGTTTGAAAGCGATTTGCTTTTGAGCGAGAAGACTGTCAGTCAACGGAGGTAAGATAGTAGATAGGAAGGAGTAGGAGGGGCCGGAGTCGGAGGTGGTGGTGGTGGTGATTCAGAGTCCGAACGAGTTCAACGATAGATATCCTGTTTTGTTTTTTTGTTCTTTTTGGATCTGCTTTATGGGCTAGGTGGGTGAGGTAACTGAGTAAATGGGTGAGTGAGTAAGTGAGTGAAGTGTGAGGTGTGATGTGTGAGGTGAGGTGAGTGTGGCAATTATTCTGAGCAGACCGGCCGTCAATGAGGATATTATGGGGTGTAAACTACTATAGCAATAGTGCTTCCTTGTATGTGAGTACATATTGTTGAAACATGTCCTCAAAAATACAACTAGCTGTCAGTAATGGACGACGACCTGAGCTCGTCTCGCCTCGACTCAACTTCTTTCTTTCTTGAACCCCCTTCCCCAATCCTAATTCAGCTCAAAACGAGTTCATGTAGTTAATGGGTAATAATAGTAGATACATGTAGTACCAAGATGGGCGTTTCCGTTGATGCTGCCTAGCCGTCCCTACATGAAGGAAAAAAACTCATTAAGCCCGTATTGAACAAATTTAAGCCTGGAACAACTTCATATGGGAGGGAGTAGTAGGGCTTCGGTAGAGGTCGTAACTGAGTGCATAGCATACTCAATCTACACTTTGACAGCCTGCAACGTGCCTAAATCAATTGTGTATCTTGCAACTCCTGACCAATTGGAGGTGGTTTCACTCCATGTCGTCAAGTGGCGAATTCGATATCATCCTATTATTTTTCTTTGCTTCTTCTTATGTGCAGAAAGTTTACATTTTCTCTCTCTTCTCTCTTTTTTTCTTTTTCGCTTTCTCTAGCTTCCTTCTCTGGCCCTTCCATAGCCATGATGCGCGGCCATTTTGCAGCAGCTAGGAGGCGTTCCCTTTTTTCCCGTGCCACCCGAAGCTGTAGCTCGCGGCTCCACAACATGGCAATTATAACTATTGCAGTACTCGTAATTTCATAGCATTTCCGAACACGACCATTATTGCATGAAATACAAAGAGGTGGATTTGGCGCTTTTTTGTATGGTATGCAATAGCAGTCGTGTTCGGAAACGTCGAGTAGAGTACTCTACATAGGTAGATGTACATACTTACACCTACATGCGATAGGTAATAATTGCAATTCACCCGGTACAGCACCCACACATGTAATATTATGTCCCTCTCTAAACCGTAGATCTTCAATTGGGAATTCCCCTGAAACAGAGACATTATATCTCTCTCCCCTCCTCCTCCTCGATCTCCCTCATTCTCACCGTACTGTCCCGGCCAAAAGGAATATTCTCTCCCCCACGACTAAACCGCCGGGCGCCCGTCGGCAACTCGGTAATGCACTTCTTACCGCTGGTAAATATTAAAACGATCGGGGGAGAATCAATGGATGGCTGGATGGGATAAAACGACTGCTAAGACAGAACGCGACGTATGAATATAACCACCGTTGGTGAGGGTGAAATATTTTTTTCTTTGCCAGGTGAGACAGAGAGTATTCTAGGTAGGTAGTCAGTACTGAACTGCACACACGCACATCACATACATACTCTAGGTAAGCCGCACACAGATTGAACTCGACCTGTCATGGAGACCGTTTAACATGGATCATGGGAGGAGCGGAGGGATACATGTAGTAGAGCTATGACTTATTCTGGTAGCAGATTTCGCTGGTCTTATTAGACCTAAAGCTCTTAGAGAATAGAGTACCGTGGTGCGTAACATCTTTTTTCGGTCAGCGTAGATGGAGTAACTTGTTCCAAAATAGGTGATAGATTCGAGTGTGTAGAGTACTAGTAAAGTACTCTACTTTACATCGGCTGGCTGGCTGGTCCAGTAATGTCCTCTATCTACTTACATATCACCGATCATCGGTACCGAGGGCCAGGGCAGGATGCATGACATCACAAAGTCTCACGCTCACGCACAAAAAAAAAAAAAAAAAAAGAAACGAGGGGGAAGGTGTGAAAACTCTCTGTGGAATTCCAGGTTCAGCCTCCTCCACACCACACCATCCTTTTTTCGATCCCCCTCCAAGCATTGTTTCTCCCGCAGGTGACACAACCGACAGAAAACGTACTGCACGTCCATCCGAATCTGATCAGAGCGGTAGCTTAGTCTCCCCCCTCCTGTCCAGATCGTTCTTCTTACTCGTCAGTACTCTAGCCAGAACCCCGGGTGTCACTCAACAAAAAGTGGGGACACTCATCATCGATATCGTACTCTAGAGTACAAATGGGACACTCTGGTGGAAATGCACAGATTGCAGTCAGATTTTAAACCGAAAGGGTCGGAACACCAGAAATAGAAGGGGGCGGACACATGCGTTTTTCTAGCTTCCTTCCATGCTGCTTCTATGCATGATCCCTCCCCCACCAGTTAGATTTACTATTACTTGGCTTTTATAATAATATTTGAATTCTAACTAATAGTGACAGACCCACTATCTACTTGATCTACTTTCGGATCTCGGTCGCCAAGTACTGGTAGTGTCGTATTGTGTTTTTTTTCAGCAGCATACCAGTCGTAAGTCAATCACCTCAGCTCACTCGTACAGCTACGAGGTTATAATTAACTACATGTACTTAGCCCCTTCTTCTCAAAATAAAAAAGTGTACTCGCGATCTTTCCCGCTTTCACTCGGCTGATGGTACTGAATCTCAGCCACGGGAGGTATCTTGCAGGGGTACCTATGTATCTCCCACCCTAGAAGGTATCATGATGTTTTTGACGTTAACTTAAAATACACATATATATAGGATTGCGGGAACACAACCAGGATCTGGACATATTCCTGTAACACCCACCTACACTGTGACGAAAGAGCGGGGTTCGGGGACAGTTGCTGAGAATAGGGTCGGTCGGTGTTGGGGATGCTGAATGATTGGGTCTCTTCATCATGTCATCTCAGGCCATCCCATTACCATATCCCCTTTCCCCCGGATTAGAGTAGACACCCTTGACGCTGCAAATAAAAACTAGACATTCAAGACAGTCGGGGGAGAGTCGGCACATCAAAAGGATATCTTCAAGGTGCCATATGTAAGGAGGTGTCTTACTCACCCAAGAGCTGTGTCTTACCTCTGTCCGTGCCAAGGTTCGCCCTCGAGCTAACGGAACTTATGTTCAATCATTCCGGCTCACTAACAAGAACCAACACCTTGGGCTCTTCTATGGGCCTGAATGAGCAATGGCCTCAGACGATCGTACTCTGATTCCAGACACTTCCCGAGCGGCAATAACGTTTCAAACCAACGGGCTTCTAAATGAGGTTTAATTTGTCTCGAAATCTGCGGAGACTAAGCAGTTGAAACCTCGATACTTACTAGTGCTTGACAGCAGATATCCGTGATTTCCATCACTCATAGATCTCGACCGCCTACTAATTGATCATTGCAGAAGCTAACATTATTAATCAACCAATCAAATATCCTAAACAAAATTACATATCTTACATATCTTTCTTTCGGAAACTAAGGATTCATTTCCGTCATTCCCGCGGAGATTTCCGCAAGATCTCATGTACAGCAGATATTATGCGTTTCCAGTCATTGGCCTTGACCAAGCTTCGCGGTCTGCCCCACGTGCAACACGAGCTGAAACATATAACCGCATATCATATAGGGATGCCCTAAGTTTAAACTGCCGATAGCGATATCGGAGGTTTTGAAAGAGCTTAACCTCACGACGGCCTTCTCAGCGAAACTACAAGAGAAAGCCCTAGCGATTGTTACGATTAGATCAACCACCACCACGAACCATATCCGATGTGTGGACTGAAATTAAAGTAAGGATGTTATTAGGTATTGGGCCTGATCTAGAGTTAATGACGACAATGGAGCTGACCTGGATTACATATTTGGGTTTACCAAAACCAGCAACAAGTAGTTCAAGCGGTGCCCTTCCAGGCCCTATTCTTGCTTACTTGGGACATTTAGTCATATTCCTCTCTCTCGCTTGCGTTTGTATCCTCGAAATGATCGTGGGCGCCATGCACAACCGCGGCTGAAGCTCAAGGGTTAGAAAAACGTGAAACGCTCACATCGCAGCAGCCCTGAATTCCTGCTACATGTGCATACAGTTTGGGTTGGGGGTATATCTCCGGACCCGTACAATTGGTTTACCGTTGACTGCGCGTAAGGCAACGATGGATCCTTGAAGTGATGCTCTTTTTGACACTCGCAACAAATAAAACGTAGAGCTACGGCGGCAGAAGCTAGGTATATCCTTAAAATACGATCATTCTGATATCGTTTTTTGTGGGCAGTGTTGTAGGCAGCGCACCACCAAGGTACCTACGTCGGCGTACCAGGATTTAGCTTAACTAGGGAGGGCCGGAAATACAGCATCCGACCAGCTGTTGGTTTTCACGAGAATATACCCCCGTGGGGGTGGAGGAAGAAAAAGTGGAGATATCAGAATTCAGAAAATCCTAGTGGTATATCGGTTGATTCACCGAGTACTTGGGTTTGGGCACCCCGCGAAAGGAGCTCGCGTTTAACTCCATGATTCAGATATCGCTACTAAGCCCAACTAACTAACTAACTGCTTCCTGATGTCGACTCTACGTATGGTATCTTTATAGAAATAGTTACATATATCAGAGGAATTTATGACACTATATTTACCTTCCAGGGTAAGGTTGAAGGTCCTTGCACCACCGAAGTTCACAGCTCCCGTGCGACATCAAGCACACGTGAATGCCATGCCATGGCCCATCGATGACCCGCTGATACCCGTACACCCGTGTCTAGAAAATTCCCGGATCCCGCACCATAACAACCTCAACAACCACATATTTAATAGACATGAAATTGGAATTATGGCATAATTAGATAGTAAAGAAATGAAATATAAAAAACTACTATTTTGTGTGGCCCCCATTTGCCTCATAACTCTGATTCACCCTGGGCATACTATGAACTCAAGATACATCAAAGGTTTCTTGGGGGATATTTTCCCCACTCCTCAACAGCAGCTCTCTATAACTCATCTACACTATGAGGCCTTCTCTGCCTCTTGTGCCATCTTTTCCTCAACTTATGGCGCGAGAAGGCATAGGGGGTGGGTGTGTCAACTTCAGAGGAACTTTTTTTGTATGGGAATTAGAGAAAATTCCACCATTAGGCTAGGCGCTAGTACCATTATGAGAGTAGATCTCCCAATTTCTATAGATTGATTGGCTGTAAACGCCGAAGTTTACACACCTACCCACCATAGCTTCTCGAGCCATAGATTTAAGAAAACCCCCTGGGTTTCGTGCTGGTGTTTGGTCGTGGTCTGGTTGCTATGGTGCAGGATCCGGGAATTTTCTAGACACGGGTGTACTACTCGCGTGTAGGGAAAAGAACCAGAAGGTGCAGATGCGTATTTTTTATGGCAGATCAGCGCCACTCCATACAAATAATCCCTGTTTCGTCACTTGCATTTTCTGGTTCTTTATGCTGTACGCGAGTATACTCGGGGCAGGCAAAAAGTACCGGACAATGCAAGTTTTGTCCCTGGGCTTTTTTTGCAGTAGTTCACGCCTAGCACGCGCGCCCATTGGTGAACCAAAAACCTGCATTGTCCGGTACTTTTTACCTGCCCTGGGTATGTGCCTACAAACGGCGGATCATGTTGGTAGGGTCCATATACTTCTTCGAGTAATACAACAAGAGATAGCAGATCCCAATGCCCATCTCATCGCATCCATTCCTCTTTCCAACAGACCAACCAATTATGAAAGTCCGCAAAGGGCAAAGATTTACCGGGAGCTAGGTCTTTTGCTTATGCACTGGCCGACGTATTACCGACATGCATATGCCGGTTATGAGAATCTACCACCCCAGTTCCGATTTACAGTGGGATGAACCATTGTTGAAAATTGTTCATGATCATGATGGATGGGGGAGAAGTTGAGAGAGTGAGTACTACCTACGAGTATGCGCTGTAGGAGGATCGTCGCTCATTTCACCATTTGCTCCGGATATAATTTTCCGGTTGGATGGCAGTGGTACTATTAATTATCCTCAGCCCGGAAAACCTCAGTTTTCCGTGCTGCACATGTACTCTGGTACAAGGGTTAGAACCAGAACATGCCATGAGGTTATTTGTATGGCAGAGCGGCGCCACTCCATACAAATAATCCCAGTCTCTTCACTTGCATGTTCTGGTTCTTATTGCTACACCCGAGTACGTACAGGTGGGGGTTTAATGCTCCAAATGGCGCAAATCCATACGTATTCAGAATCTGTATGTAGATATGTGCAGTCTTTCTTTTCAGGCCTTCCTTGTTAAAAATTTGAGCCCCTTACCTGGCCATAACGGGAGGGAGTTTGACATGGTCTGTGCTCTCTATTAAAACAAGTTACTCTATATGCCTCTACCACGTACCACGGAACAGACCAGTAGCGAGGTGAGGCTGGATAGCGTACATAGGTATATGTCGGTAATGATTACTGCACAACTCTTTGAGCATGCATATGGTAGGCCAGCATCCCAAGCATCGACAAAACAGAAATGTCGATAGTACTATATTGGCACTTTTAAGCTTTACCGACTTGGACCAGAATTTCTATTCAGAGAGATTGGCGCATGTGGTAGTGGGTCTTAATAGGCAGGCTTTGGCCTAAACATAGTCAGAACTAACTGTTTGAGTAGGCCCTCTATTGCTACTGAAGTACCGCGACCCAATGAGACCCAGTATATCCAGTATGTACCAAAACCCCAGAAACTTAGCTTGAGGACGGGGCAAGTGATCTAGTTTTATTGTCAATTTACCACTACGTCGGGACAACAGCCTCTAAATTACCTTTGAGGGTATACATGAGGGATAGTGATACTGCTTTGGGGAAGGGGAGACCCTGCCTTGTGATCATCGTGGTTTCTTGGTTCGAGGGGTAGGCCGTTTTTCTGGTGTTGCTGCTTCATGGTTTGAGCGAACCCTTCCATCCCCATCTTTGCGGAGAAGAATCTCGACAAACAGGTACATGGTGTGGAAGATGGTGAATTCAGGAAAGGGGCATATTTTCATTTCCAGTACATAACAGCTACGGCTAGTTAACTACTCAGTATATAGCTAGCGAGGTCTCAAACAAGGGAGACGAGATCGCGAAACAAACCGATGCGCAGACATTTCAACTCACCGATATTCACCGATATATAATTCGGATGCCCTTCATGAAGGGAATGGCACGCGAGTCTGTTAATGTTGCCCGCCTTGCCACCCTATTCATATCAAAAACGGTAAAATCCGGGGATACCATGGGAGGAGGGTTCTGCAAACTGTGAATTAATGGAGTTTATGATTGGCGTGCCCCCAGCAGCACGCAACCCAGAATGTGGCACTGGTAACGGACGTATAGTATGTACCTGGTTCAAGGAGCGGACGAAGCCTAGGATCACCGCCGCAACAACAACGTGCCAGCCCACTCGCTCGCTATCGAGGCTTGCAAAACTCGGGTTTCTTATCGACGAGATGGTAATTGCTATTATGTAAATTGACGGATTTTGGATGGAACCGAGCAAGAGCTGACGTTTCATTTGGAAAGATACCCACTTGCATACCATAGATGTAGGGCTTGTAAACTTTTTTTTTTTTTTTTTTTTTTTTTTGCTGGGAATAGTGTGCGTCGGAGGAAAGGGAAAGTCATACATGATACATCAATGAAGTTGAGTGCTTACAACAGCTGCTTCAGGTCTCAAAGCACCCAGAGGACTGGGAATGTTTTGAGGGAGTTTATTCAAGAACCTGTTTGAAGTTTTTTTTTCCCCTCTGGTTCTTGTGGCGGCGGAGTAATGTTTAACCGTAAACGTAAGCATTGGCCGTATTAGGAGCGCTCTCCGACCACTTGCTTCGAGAATTTTACTACGTCTGCACAAGAAGGGGGGTGGGTGGGGAGAGAATTGATCAATGCCTACAAGCCTAGTCTCTCGCCATATGGTTTCGATCTAAATTAACTGCCCTGCATAGTATATGCCGGCACAGAGTCGTCCGCAGACAACAAAGCAGTATGAGCGGGAAAAGCCTCCATACGCATGCATGAACGTTAGATCAACCATTCTGCAAGCATAGTCGATAAAAACGACAGCTTTTCTTTCTTCTATTACCTTACCTATCCAGGATGTTACCTGTTCTTGTACTGCGTTTTTGATATAGCTCCAACTAAAACTGCTTAAGGACGACCCTCCGCACATACCAAGTCACTCGGAACACCCTGCCTCACCTCGTGCACACGCTCCGTGTCGAAAGTTCGAGCTGAACAGAATCTGCTAGTTTCAATACTATTAGGAACGTCGTACCGACATATGTCAAACATAAATAGACTATAGAAGATCGTGAAACTTTACACGAAGGGCGTCCAGTGCAGCCAACTAGGGTCTGAGAGATGTTTTATTTGGGAGATTGATACAAACATCGCTAGCGGGAGAAATAATGTCAGCCCCCACGTCGTGTATATATCTACCTTAATTTTCTTTCCCTAGGTAACGAAAACGTACGTACCTTACACCTCAAGGGGGTTTCTAAGTTAACGAGATCTCACCTCTAATGAAATTTCTATCCTGATAGATATTGCACTGGCCTCCCCCGCTACCTGATCCCTGTGTTTTCTCTCTAAAGCTTTAATAAGGCAACTGCCGTCAACCTCGTATAATATCAATGGCCACATACAGGAAAGATTTCCCTATTTTAGGTACCTCGGTGCTGTGATAGTTAATTTGAATGTGAGTGATTAACGATGATTCTTGGCAACGGACATATACCGAATAATTGTTCGTTTTCCGATAACGCTGAAATTCCGTGATATCACGAGGGAGTTTAGAGCTACAGTGGCGTGTATTAATGACGGATATCGAAAGTGAAGACGGAGAAAACCGCACGAGTGTCAGGATCAACAAAGGGAGAATATAATTCTCTAACTGTTCAGCTTGCCCGGTTCCTGTCAATATGTCTCGGAGGATATACCCCCTGTCCCCCGCAAACTGATATCGTATTCATCGAAAGCACTTGTTTTTACTGTACTAATAGGCTATACTGCGAGTGTCAATGATTTCGACAAGTCTAGCCTAGCAACCGGCTATATCTAGCCAAAGTCTGCGACAAAATTCACATTTGGGCTATATAGCGATGCTTGTTTTCGGTCTAACTACCATCTTAATATATGCCCTGGTTTTGTCATTTTTAGCTCCTGTTTAAGCATATTTTTACGCACCAAGGCGCATTGACAGGTGAGGAGTACGTACTTAGGGCCTCGGGAGGGATATTTGAACGCCTCGCATTGAGAATATACAACTGACGTAACTACACTCGTATCAATCTGCCTCTTGAACCAATACCGCGGCAAAGATATCCCTGGTTACGGGCTCAGCTGGAAGACTGCCTTGATAAATCTCAATATAGTACGTGGCTCACGATCATTCTGATGTCTTGGTAGACAGACTGATCTAATTCGAAATCAACATCAAATCAAAATAAATAACAACCGACACACATACATGCACTGCACCTCATCCCTAGCTATATTGCCACTCCTATTTACCAGATCACTCATATTAGCTATCTTTTGGGTCGGGCCCGGGGGGATATGCGTCTTCGTCCCCGTCGCTTAGAACTGAGTTCGGGAATTCAAGGCGTTTTTGAGGGAAAACCCCCGCTGAGACACGAAGCAATAGATAGCAAGAGGCCGGGTACCTGGGTGTTGGTACCCAAGATACCTACTACGGGTAACAGCTGGTTAATTTGGGGATTTTCGGGCTGGATATAGGGAGTGAGTGATTGGGGGTGATGCTTGGCGCTCGGTAATATGTGGCTCTCGCGGCCGAGAACTTACGTATAGTCTTTCAGTCTTTGAAGAGAGTCTCTACGGCCGAGAGACTTGGGCGTGAGGTATTTTTCGTTCGCGAGTTGTGTGTTTGAAAGTATGTCGGCCGAAAAGTTGATCCCATGAGGTGCCAATGATCTTGATTGGACGGCCCATGATCAAGTTATCCGGTTTTTCTTGGCCTGGTATTACGTGGTCTGGGATATGGAGAGTAGGAGTGGGAACAGGATGAGTGCGTCAGCGAAGCAGGCAGGATGCTTTCTGGCTTCTTCGTGGGCCTTCACTCTTTTCCACACTTTGACGAAACAACCTCCTACTCCCAAAGGTCACCCCCAAATTTTATCTGGACATTTGGAATAACCCAGCTCCTACTCAGTGCTTACACCTACTATCTCCCAAGCCCAGTAATACCGCATTTCATGTCATCATTTCGTTCGAATCAGAGTTTCATCACGATCCCCCGGCCTATGGTGAACTCTACCTGACTCGGGGTGACGATGACTGTGATAAATGACAGTATTGCTTTCTTCCAACAATACAGAGAAGATTAATTTCTCCCGGTAATTCTTTCAAGCCCTACGATGATGATAGAGGCTTGATAATTAGGGAAGTTTGCGGTTTCAAACGCCTTAACCGAAGCCTCTCATCCTCTGGGTAGGCTTGAGTGTATATTCCGCGCCTTGCTGCATGAGACTATTCTACACAGTGTCTCCCACTTATCTGTAAGTTTGTATTTGTGGTAGATCCCCTCTGGAGACGATCAGACACCCCAAGGACAAAGGCAGGTCGGTGCTGAACAAGGTAAACAAATGTTTTCGAGACAGTTGTATCACCAACAAATCATAATAGAACCTCGAGACTATAGGTTTTGTGCGAAGTAGAACCGGCTTGGGACTTAGAACTTTATACGGGTTGGAAGAGGTCAAAAAATGTCTGGCCTGTCATTTCCTTGTCATTTGAATTGTTCGTCAGTCGGTGTCGTTGAAAGTTTTCCCCGATAGTCCTAAGGTGCACCTGCCAATTGAACTACCAGTATAGACCTACTAGTAACTTGCGATAGATCGGTGGTCTAGATCTAGTCGACATTCCACCAGTAGTACCATGAAATACCAAATGTCGCAATGAGGGACGGGCAATTAATACCTTGAACCATAAACTTCGAACAACTGGATCACAAACATCGAGTTGTGGCATCTACCCTCGTATACCTAAATGTAGTCATAGCCAAGTGGAAATTATACTATAATAGTAGTTTTATATAGATTTAGTATTCAGATCGAGTGAAACTAACATTTCTTTTGCTATTTGGTTTATTTATGCCTGCTGAAAACCGCAATTACAATGAGCCTTGAGCTTGAGGTATTTTCCACTTACACAGGCCTAGATCGAAAAAGCCTGCAGGATGTGATAGACTATAGACACCCTTATGGATACCTATATTCACTTCTCGTATAGTTAGGGAGACCTCTGGTCGTTTTCGGATTGAGGTAAAGCCTCTAATGGCCAGCTCAAGGGATGATTTCTGGTAAAGATTTCCTATGCCATCAATTGCATCTAGATCTTACTGCTTAACGCAGTCTTGAACGCATTAAGCATCAGCTGATCGATCTGTGGTCCCATCCCATACCATAATAAGACCAAATACTGAATGCCTAGAATAAGCTCTAATTTGAGGGCACATTTTTCTCATTCAATTTGCAACTCCCGATCGCTAACAACCGCTATAAGCCCCTTCGAGTAGAGGATATGCAGATCCAGATTTCAACTCATGAGTCTCATTCTAAAGAACGGTTAGCTATATAGGATGTGCACCTTGATCCCAGCTACGTCAAGTTAGAGCGCACTTACCACCAAGCGCGCCGCCTTGTCACAGCTTGCTGCCCATATACCTGCTTACTACCTGAGGGGGCTGCCAAATCCCGAGTCTCGATGCTTGCAACACAACGGGTCAAGCTTTTAAGCCGGTGCATATGTCTCCGCACCACAAACAAGGTAAGACAGCGACAAACTCCTTCACCCCCGACACAGACGCATGATTTCATGCACGTTTACCCCTTACTACGCGAATAAAATATAGTCGTTCACCGTCAGCGGATGAACACTGACAATCGGTAATTCATAGGGGTTTCGATCGTGGCTCGGGTAGTCTGGTCTGCGTGATCTCTACCTTCTTGTTATTTTTGTTGGCCCGATTTGCCCTTTCCTTCAGCATGCGTCGAGTGGCGGTGAACAGCTGTAGGGATTCACAAATTCTTGTATATTTCTCTCTGTTTCTCGGGTCCTTCATGGTGTGCTCTGGACCGCTTGAATGCAGCAGTTGCGGACTGAATCGGCTTTCTTTAGGATGGTTTGTTTTTTTCAGTGCAACGCGTGCTGATCGAGCGAACAGGCTTTCTGGGGTCGTCGATCTTTTTAAAACGACGGCACTCAGTGCGAGGGGATTATTTGTTGAATTTAGATCTGGGCACAGTCTTTGGTTGCTCGGGTACGTTTGTACATACCTACCGCGAACGTGAAAGAGACGATGTGGTATATATCCCATACACCGGTACGCCGGTTAAGACAATCTTAGGGCCAACAAACCAACAGTGTGACCAATTAAGCATTGGGTTCCCTCCCCGACCGGCTTTTTGTACGTAAAGCAGTTGATTTAGATAACACTTATCATGATTCAATTCTCTTGATCAATATTAGATCTCTCGTATTCTCGTAAGATTTGCGCTTCTCGTAGTGCCTTCATCATTCCCAGCTGCATATAAACCTGTCTCATCTGAAGAAATGAGTTTTGTGTGAGAAAGTCTCTGGGGTGGGAATGCTGGAAATTTCTTCTACGCCACATATATCTGCACGGTTGTCTAGCGCATTGGGAACCAAAGAGAAGTAATCAATTACTCCAATGAGGAACCGAGTGATACTATTGGATTCAATATATTTATTTATATCGGCGTTTTCACTCCCCGAGTTTCCCCTACGGACGCCTCTCATCCCCTATACCGGCCCAAATCTTGGCCCGATGTAGATATAGGTCCAAGCCGGAGGTTTCGCCAAGAAATTTACGCGTATTGTTTCCTATTAGGGACTCGTAAGGTAGTGTGTACCGAGTGATACCTTGTGATTTCAATTCAATCAACGGCGACACTACCGTTGCTCGAATGGATAGACGAATATATAAGTCTTACAAGTAGTTTCCGGCCTTCGGCCGGTACTATATGTATATCAATCAGTCCAGTATACAGGTAAACCACTTTGCGGCTTATTTCTCTATTTACCTGTCAGTCGGGGCTCTCAGGCCGCTGCATGGCCCTCGACCCCTCCTGGCAGGCAAAGTCCATCACTATATCTAGATCTGCTCTGGTCAATATGTGCCTTTTCTGATATCCCCGATATATCAATGGATAGGTCAGACAATTTCTCCAATTAAAACTACAGGTATATCCCCATTAACAGCCACCAAGCCGCTAAAATCGAACTACTAATCGATTCCTAGAACCAGTAGAAACCTTATTAACACTCTAACAACACTCAGCACAATACCCTATGTTAATATCCAACACAACGTGTTTCAAGCGAAACAAAAACATCCCCCAACGAACCAATCAGAAGACTATAAAAGCACACTGCATATGCAGGTTATAATTATATACCTATTAGATGATAGAAATTATAAGATAAGCTTAAAGGTTGACGTGCCCTCTTAGTTCATGGCGCAAAGCTCGAGAGATGTAGAAACTCGAAAGCATCCGCATAATACATTCCCTACACATAAATCTAGTCGTGACTATAAGATATACTCTATCAATGTAGATCGAAGGACTTCGGATATCTGATTACATAACCAAGTAAACAGAGTGATAGCCTATGACTTAGGTGCTATCTGAATTATCCAACTAAGGTAGGCAAATGCTATAGTTAAGCTGAAGATGATTGTGATTCGAGTAAATCTCTAAGGAATCTTCATAGACTGCCCATATAACCGTATGTCTTTGCTTGAAACTGAAGCAATAATTGGCTAGTGTAGTCGACGAGCCCAATCGAGTCGAGTTTGAGGATTGGCTCGAGGAGCTCGTTGATTTGCGAGGCCTGCTCTGCTCGACTCGTGAGATCACCTGTGCCCGTGAGGGAACTCGAGTCCCCCAAAAAATATGTTTAATACCCTACATAGTGCCTAATCAGGCAAAGTACTGAAAATGATATTTGCGAAAAACAGGTCTTCGGTTCCAATTTGACATAGTAGCCTTTGATCTATCAACATATGCTAAGATCATATATGACTAAAAGGCTTGAGCAACTCGAGTCGATTTTTATCAAGTGCTCGTGAAAGCTCTGCTCGTGGCCCCTCCTGCTCGTCCTTGCTCGAGTACAAAGCTCGAGCCGTGAACTCGAGCGGACTCGACTCGTCGACCACACTATAATTGGCCCAAGATGTATCCGGCTTTAGTTCTCTGCTTCCATTACGCGGTATTGAGATAGGTTACATACTTATGTATTCAAGAGATGCCCGATGATAGCATTCTTTCTCCCAAACAACAGGTAAGTTGAGCCGAGATATACATAGACATACATGTACCCTGTCGAAGTTTATCTGCGAATCTGGGCTAGACTAGTCTTCATAATTTGTGCGATTCATAGGCCTAAACGAGGCTGTACGACGATTTTAGTTGGTCCATTTCAGAATACGTAGTAGTTCTATAGTAGAAGGAATCCAAATATTCATTGGCCTTTTGACGAAGAATGGAGGGCTGTAGTTAAAAAAGCATTTAACACGCACCATCCGGCTCGGTCGAGAGTAATACTACACTCTATAGATGTTATAGAGTGTGCGGACAAGGCTCCTTCCGACGAAACTTGGAAAGTGGCTGTGTTCTAGCCATGAAATGTCCTCGGTATAAATAATATTCTGATTACTCATCATGCTATTTGAAACACCCTGATGACCGTGAACGGAACAAGAAATTGCCGGTTAGATTAGGTAAATACCAACGAGATAATAAACGATTTCAGATTGATAACCCTCGATAGGATGACTTGTTCGCCTTGAGCTGTCTAGCACGCCACACCTATATCTCTTGAATTAATACCGTAGATGGAGTGTTACTGTAGGCGCACATCCAAAGAAAAAGAAAGAACCATTGAGACAGACCAAGTCCACTCTGACTCAAATACAGCCAGACTTCCCTATGTAGAAATACACTGATTGGACCAAAGGCCTCGTGACTACGACCTCGGTGACGCAATAAATCCCTCAGGTATCTGTATGGTTTGTGGAAAGAATGGCCTGCAGCTAGCCTCCATAGATCCAGATAGGGATAAGGATACTGTACGTAGTATTATTAATTTCGGATTGTGCATGCTAATATAATGCATGTAGCTGGCACATTCCTTATTACAGACGTTAGATATGTCCGGAGCCTTCAAGGATAGAGCAATTTCGGAGATAGAACCGGACTATTCACTAATGGCCCGTCACACTCATCCATTCGTAGCAAGACTAGTCCGCCAGTGAATGACCTGGGAAAGTTCCACTTAATAATGCGTTAAGCTTGAGTAGCTTACGGGCTGCATACCATTAATAAATTATTAATCAATCAATGTTAAGCGTGAGTTTTATCAGTATTGAGATTTTTTTTTCATCTGTTTTTCCCTATAGTAAAGTGGATAAGATATTTTAGAGACTGCCACTATATTTATTTTTATTTCGCAAACCTACACACCAAAATAAGTAGAAGTCGAAACCTACTTTTATGACTCATGGAATGCATATATTCCATGATCGAAGTCAAGCCTATAAATTTTAGCAAAACATAGAAGGACTGACGTTGTGAGAATTGCTTCATTTGAAGGATCCATTGATGTATATATCCTCTTGAGTGTCAGAATCGTTGGTAAACCCTGGTGAAATTTTTTTGTTATCGTTATAATGATTTTGGTTGGTAATAGAAAATGCTAAAGTACTAAAATGTGGTTGTAGTTAAAAATCGTTAAGCTGAATTTTCTCTAGGCCATTCACTGGTAGAATAGACTTACTGCAAGTGTACCTAGTGATTAAAATACTTAATATCTCGCTTCTACCCATAAAGTAAGAAGTCAACGACTTGAGAAATTTTGCGAGTGATCCCCGGTGATTCATCTTGCAGGGCCAGGCATCTATAAACCGTAAGGGATAATTCCCTCAGGCCATCTTCCAGTTTCCAGAATGACTGAAGAGACCCCGGATAAAAATATAGGAAGTCCGTAGAGATAGAGTGATAGGTCTTACCGTAAAGAAACCGCGCACACATCAGTATCGATTACTATCCCACATGGCAAACTCAACGGATACGATGAAAATTTATTAGTCCTCTCCATGAAATCAAAAAGAAAAAAGAAAAAAAAATATATAAAACAATAATAACCCTAACCCATCAAAAATCACCCAACCTTCCACCGTCGGCAACCTCCCATCATCGACAATCGACTCCCACCAATTGATGCATCTACAAAACCAACAAACTCGACAAATACCTTCGACTTTAATTCATTTCCGGCCATGAGAACAGACTCCGCCAGGCAGTAGCGAGAGATAAACATAACCGAGTGATATCTCATGTCCACACTTTCTACCGAGACCTCACCATTGAAAATCTCATGGCTATCTTTACATATAGGTAGACGAACTGAAATGACCCCACGAGCTGGTTAGTTACTACTTAACTTCATGGAAAGGTTGAATATTTCATAATTTGTTGTTTGTTGCTCCATTCCTGTGCAGGAACGGTGATAAAGGATCGATGGACTGACTACATCTCTACAGAGCCACTTAAACTACATCAGTGATTCGGCTATTCCACGCCTTCACACATCCTTGGTGGGACCGATGGTGTGTATTCTACCCCCCCCCCCCCCCATCTATCCTATCCTCTTCATCCTCCATCGCGGAGCCACGATTACTACATGTGCCTAGTCCCTCAAGTAGCTTGGCTTCCCCTCCTTACCCTCCGCACCATTACCTCCGCTGCATCAAATCATAACCAGAAACGATACACCACACATTACCAAGGGGCCCCTACCATCCCCCAAGCTCGTCTCACACCTAATAACTACTACACTACAACAGCCACCGTTACGCATAACGCATCACTCCCACTATTCCTCACGCACCACTCCCGCACTAGCTACATACTACTTCCACAGGGTTAGGGTTCCCATTACAGCTATCAATGATCAAAAAAACCACTCCCACTCCCACGCCACAGCTAACCACAACAGCGACCACAACACCGCCATTTCACATCCCTGTGAATCACCAAGACATAGCTCACGTTATCACGGCACAGCCAAAGAACGATATATAGCAGCTACCAGATGCCTATTTAATTTTTTCCACAAACTACATACGTACGTATCCACCTCATAAAACCATTAATCTTCCCCTCACCACCACACCACCGCCCTATGTATAAAAAAAGGTAGAAATAAAAATCCGTAAAGAAAAAGCCGTATTCTATCCGCTCCCACAAAGAAAGTCCAGAAAAGAAACCAACAAAAAAGAAGAATATAAATAAGGAAGGGTATGATAAATCGCCCCCCAGTCCCCCCACCACAAACCAGCCCGAAAAGGACCCGTCGAATCATGCATCAAAAACATATAACCGTCTATTTTCAACATAAAAACAAAGGAAACCCGCACCACTCTCCACCGAACAAAGATTTAGCGTCTTGCAAAGTTGAGATATCTCGACTATAATGGATGTTAGTGAGCTGTCCAAATAATCATGAAAAAGGATGAATGATAACTTACCCCTACAAACAGAATAATCAAGTTCGACACACAGAAAGCAATGAGAATACCCATGTCCCTCCATCGGTTATCGTATGAAAGCGTCAAAGGTGAGTAAAACTCGTCTCCGACACTGTAAGCACAGTAATCGCAAGATCCGGTCGCAGTCAAGTTCCTGATGTACCCGGGAGCAGCGGCCATGAACTTGCCAACATAGCTCTCGCAAGTCTCGCCGCTTGGGATCGAGAACGTGTTGTACTCGAGCTCCGCGCAGGTGACAGGAAGGTCGTGAAGCTCAGTGACGATCATACCACCAATGAGGCGGGTGAAGGGATCGAGCTCGTACAACCAGGACCTCCAGAACTTGGGCATGTTGGGCTTGGGAATCGTGACACCACAGAAAAGAGCGAAGGTGATGATGATGAACGGGTTAAGGAGCGAGGCCAAGAACGCGTTGGGGGTCAGCGCGGCAATCATCTGAGCGAGCGTAACAGAGAACATCTCGGTGATGAGGACCATGAGGAACTGGTAGCCGGCGCGGCCGGAAACAGTGCTGAAACCGGGAGGGAAGTAGAGGCAGACGTAGAAACCAACGGCACAGATGATGCTGTAGGGGAGCTCGGCGACGACCATGGACAATGCGAAGGCGAATTGACCGTACATCTTTGATGACTGCTCACGGTAGAAAATCAGACGTGCCATATCGTACTTGGGCTCAACCTGGGCGAGAATGAGCGACGGCAAGATGGTGACCTGGAAGAGAACGAAGACACGGTACTGGAGGCCGGAGCGGGAATTATCGAGCTGCAAGAAAACAAGACCGGTGAGAAGAGCAATGGCGACGTGGTTGAAGAGACGGGTAAAGCCATAGTTGGGAGTACGCCAGAAAGAAAGGTTAGTACGCTTCATGACCATGCTGATCTGGAAACCAAGAGGTGTAGCGTATTCCTTCTCATCGACAACCGGGTTGTTCCCAACATCTGCAATACGCTCATCCTTCATGCGCACAATCTCAGCCTTGACGTTTGCGAGTTCCTCAGATGTCCTCCAGATGTCTGCCCAATCACGGTTTCCAATACGGGGAGCCTGACCAGCACCGATGGCATCCAACATCCATTCAGCAGGGTTAGCAGTAGGGGGGCAGTGGGCACCGTGCTTGCGGAAGTACGACAAGAGAACCTCAGCATCCTTTCCGATATCACCAAAGTAGACACAGTTACCACCACGCTGCAACATCAAAAGACGGTCAAAGTTCTCGAAGAGGGAGGCGTTCGGCTGATGGATGGTGCACAGAATAGCTTGACCGGCCTTGGCCAACTTCCTCAGGAAACGGACAATGTTGAAGGCGGACTGGGAGTCGAGACCAGAGGTAGGTTCATCCAAGAAGAGCAAGAGTTGGGGCTTAGCGGCAAGTTCGACACCGATAGTAACACGCTTGCGCTCCTCGACAGCCAAACCGGAAGTAGGGTCACCAATGATAGCATCCGCAATGTTCTCCATCTCCAAAAGCGCGATAACCTCCTCGACATAAGCATCCTTCTCCTCCTTGGAAACCTCATATGGCTGGCGAAGATAAGCAGAGAACCTGAGTGCCTCTCTGACGGTCTGGGTGGGCTCGTGAGTGTCCAATTGTTCGGCGTAAGAAGTTCCTCTCTGGAAAGCAGTACCCTTGGGCATACCATCAACAAGAACATCACCAGTAATCACGCCAATACTCTTCCTGCTAGCCAATACATCCAAAAGCGTAGTTTTACCAGCACCAGAAGCACCCATGAGCGCAGTCAACTGACCAGGCTTGACATATCCGAAAATCTCGTTCAACAGGCGGAGCTGACCACCCGGAACAGGGACCTCGTAGACCAGATTCTCCCAGGTAAGGACTGATTTTGACTCAATATTAAGACCAGAATCATCAGCGGCGGACTCAGTCTTCTGGCGTCTCCGCTGCTTCTTTTCCTCGAGCTTCTCGTTGAGTGACTTGCGCTCAGCGTTCTCCTTGGCGTAGAATGTGACAGTCTTTCCACCGGCTCCGAAAGAGAAGTACTCTCCGAGAAGGGCGTTGGCTGCAAGGAAGGCTGCGATCAAAACGACAATGATACCAAAGTTGCGCCAGAGATCCTTGGGCTGGTAGTTGAAGGAGAGCGAGATGTAAGAGCCACCATCGATCTGGTCAGAACCAGGCGTGGAACCAAGAAGAGTGCAGGTCTGGTAAAGAAGGTTGTTGTAGCTGGAACCAGAGGGAACAAGCGACTCGGCGCCACAGGTGAGCGTCAAACGCTTGAACTCGTTCATCATGAGTGCCGCGAAACCAAGACCAAGACCGTTGATGTAGAAGATCCATGAGACCCACTTGCCCTGAGCAGGGTAGGGAATCATATATCCGGAAGTCAAGACAAAGAGTGTGATAATGATGGCCGCAAACTTCATGGCATAATCGAAATCAGGGCAGACACAACCGACAGTTCTGAAGAAGAGTGTCATAGCCAAGTACCCAGAGATGATAATCAAGAAGAAGGTGAAGAAAGCGCCAGCATCCCGAACAAGGCCACACATGAAGTAGACAATGATACTGAACACCATGATCTGCGCCGACGCAAAAATCAGATCGACTCCAATCTGCGCAATCCATAATGCCGACGGCCGATGAAACGTGTATGCCTTGTGCTTGTTGACAATTTGCCGACCCATCATAGTAGAAGCGAGCTCAGAGAAGGCCTGGAAAGCGTTGAACAGAAGTGCAACAAACAGAAGACCACCACGAGTGAAGGCACCAGCAGAAGTTTTCGGGAGATCGAGATAGAGAGTACCAAGGACGATAGCAATAATAATAGAAGTGATCCAGGAAACAGTAAGAGAGAACTTGTCCTGCCACTTGAGCAAGAACTGCCTCTGAGCGAGCGCCCAGACCTGTGAGTAGAAGGGAATGGTGTAGACGGAAGTCTTGTTGGCACCCTTGCGCTTCTCCTCAGTGACAGCAACCTCAAAGTCCTCGTAGCTCTCGGCACGGAGCTGCTCACGGTACTGCTCCATTTCCTGGTTGAGGCGGATGTAGTGGGGAGACTTGTGAAAAGCCTCTTCAAGAGCCTGCGGGTTGGAAGGAACATCACGTTCGCTGCGGCCGGGGGCATATTCACGCTCGAACTCGTCGGTACACCCAGTCAAGTAGTCGGGGGTGGTCTGACGAGGGCGGGGCAAGAAACCGAGACCCTCAAAGTAGGCACGACCCTGGTCAGCAGGACCAAAGAAGACCTCCTTTCCGGCATCGATAACAAGGACCTTGTCGAACTGGGAGTAGATATTCTCGGAGGCCTGGTAGAGTGAGACGAAGGTGGTGGTCTTGTAGATGTTGGTCATGATACGGAGGGACTTGACATAGTCGAGCGCAGTCGAGGCATCGAGACCACGAGTTGAGTTATCCCAGCAGCAGATGGTTCCCTTGGTAATCATCATCTCGGCGATAGAGACACGCTTCCTCTCACCACCAGAGACACCACGAACGAATGCGTTACCGACAATGGTGTCGATGGTGTGCTCGATGTTGAACATCTTGAGGAGCAGCTTGATGATCTTGTCCTTGAACTCTGCCTTTGACATTCCCGCGGGCCTCTTGCCGGGGGTCTTGGTGTCCAGCGCAAAGCCGAGAGTCTGCCCAACAGTCAAGGTGGGGTGGTGAACGTCGTCCTCCTCGTTGTAGACAGCCTCTCCTCTATACCTCTTGGCGAATGTATCTGCGCTGAACTTTCCATAGAGAACCTCGCCGTCGACCTTTGTGTATCCTGAGCGCTGGTTGGAAATGACCTTCAAAAAGGTTGTGCACCCGGATCCAGGACGTCCGAGGACAAGAACCATTTCACCGGGCTTGACAACACCACGGAAGCCATTGAGAATGTCGAATTCACGACCCTTCTTGTTGAGACCAAGGATGGAGGATGCGGTTGCGAAAACATTGAAGAAGCCGATAACTGCGTCGGGAAAGGTTGAAATGAAGTTCTTGACACCGCCGATACCAGATACTGTGAGGTCTTGCCAGATGACACCTATTATTGCCGAATACTGATTAGCAACTACTCAAAACTACTCATAACAATACCAACACCACAACCACAGCCACCAGAAAGAATAATCAAACATACCAATGTGCTTCGGCCTAATTCCTGCAGCTCTCTCCTCACTCTCATCACCCCTCAAATGCCCCTCCAAATCAAACTGCTGCGCCGCGGCCTCCTCCTCCGCAAACTTCTCCGGATCACCACCCTTGTGGCTCTGGGTCCTCGACAGTCTGCGCGAGTGCCTACTCGTCGTCTTTGACAGTCCCGACAGCTGCCTACTCAGCTCCTGAAAGTCCGCTTCGGCGGCGGCAACGTCGACGCCATGACCCAAATTTGAGTCTCCACGCGGGTTCTGCTGGCGGCTGGTCTCAATGTCGTCGACGATTGTGTCGCCCGAGGTTGAAGTTGCCGTTGAGTGCGGTGGCAGTTCCGACATGATTGCTGCGGGTGGGGGCGTGTGAAGTTGTCCTATGCTGGTGGTAATTGTTGCTGGTTATATATATATATGTGGTGTGTGGTATATATATAAATGTGGTTGTGAATTATTAGGGGTGGTAGTTGATTTAGGTAGCTGATAGAGGTATTTGGCTATTCTCCCCGGGTATTAAAGAGTGAACGAGTTGGATTTCAATTAAATAAAATAAGTGATAGGAATTAGATGGAGAACCAAAACCACCTATCTGCAATGCAATAGAAGCAAAGAATGGAAAGATGAAGTAGGAAGGAAAGGGAAATCGACAAGAAGGAGGGCGAAGAGGTTATCTATATGTAGAGCATGGCCATAGTCCTCGTACGGGGGGGTTGTGAGAAACAGTCATACTGGGGGTGTGGTACGGGGGATACGGGGGGTTCCAGACTTTCTTGCCCCCAGAAGCGAGAGAATTTACCAAGCACATCCACATCCATATCCATAGTGGGCTCTATTTTTTTTTGATGAGATTTGATCTAACAATTCGGGAACACCACATCCGAAGCCCCAAGGAAGAAGAAGCGGGAAAAGAGGCTGGCTGCATGCATGCAAGGTAGAATAGCTGTATGAAGGGCATGTAGTTAGACTGCGGGCGGCTTTCGGCCAATCATCTCTAGCTTGGCTTGGTGTGGGTAGGGTTGATAATTAGTAGGGGACCCTTGCTGACTTATGATTCGGGAAGGGTTTTATCGGCCGCAAGAGAAGAATCAATCGAACACACACCAACCTGCATGAGTAGTGATATCCACCATGAGTAACAATCTCTCTTCCACCACACCCAGAAAAGCATAGTGGTAGTCATACCCAATATTACACATCCCACTGTACCTGAGTCAACCAACCAAAGCTAACCCCCCATGATCAACCTCATACATCCATACACTCCCATGGCCCATAGAACGGAGCTTCTATGATCCGCAATAGCTACATCTTACCTACCACATACATGCACATACACACAAGTACATACATACAAAGGGACGTAACCCACCCGCGCCAATCTAACGTTCTCAATTGTTCCTGTAACAGATCTCGGGATATCAGATTTCCGGGAGTGACATCTGGATAACGGAAAATTCCCTTCCCTGGGGGGTTTCAGAGGTCAATTGGGAGGTATATGGCAGCTCTATGCATATTAACTGAGTTTATTATAATTCGTATTCCTACATACAGGTAGGTATCTACATACCAATTGATTGAGCGCATTCGTTGTTGGCCCGTGGTCAAAGCTCCTACTTCATCAATTGCTTTTGATAGTGACCAATGTCAAGCTGTCCCAAATCCAGAATTCCAATCCCGATCCCTCAGCTTGATAACCGGTTATCTCCCACACACGCACACATGCCCACCTGTAAACAAAGCAAAGCAGCCACAAACGTCACTAGCGCGCACCACGGATAATTCCTATCCGTGTTTCATAAGGCGGCGAAGCTTTTTCTCTCTGCTGAGTCGGAAGTTTCCCTGCCCTAAGCCCAAAACATACCCAGCGGCCAAAAATCTCCCCGGCGCGGCGATGACATACAGGCATTCGTGGAGCGAAGTCTGCCCGACGGGCACGGGAAATGGGGAGGGGTGGGGTTGCTGTAAAAGTACGTAACTCGAGGCGCATGGACCAGGGGGACCAGGGAGAGGTTGACATTTCGCCTAAGAAGTATCTATTTTTCTATGCCTCCTCCTCCTCCTCCTCCTCCTCCTCGGCTCATGCTGTATGTAGGTAGGTGTAGACGGACAGATATCGGGCACTCTATTTCTCGTGTGGCTGTTGTGCTCTGTAGATCCAATTTACAGATTGATTCTACCTCCCTTCCACAGAGATACGTAGAAAACCTGCTGCTGCACAAAACATCTGACCTTTTTCGTAGCTCTGGTATATAGCTGGCACCCTACCTAGAATACTAGCACCGTCCCAAAGAGCATAAGTACCTTGATTTTTCCCTTCAGCTTAATTTCTTCCAGCTTCGACAGCTCCACCCATTCATGACGAAGCATCATAGATTCAGGGTCCAAAGAGAAGGCAAAAAAAAGAAGAAGCTTCTTCGGAATCACTTCTATCCGCTATGCTCAGGTAAGAATTAACAAGGGCGTTGTAACGACGTTGGTTGATTCGTAATCGCTTGGCACCAAAACCCCCATCGGATGTCGGATACGGCGCATCCGTCAACCCTACCTTATTTCGACCTTGTTACGGTTGCGGCGAAAGGCCAAGACTCAAATTTTATCTGAGAGCCGCTTACGGTACCGTATCTGCTGTAGCGCCTCTTTTTGCTTATCTGCGGTCTCTCTCTTTCTGTCTGCCCTGTTCTGTTTGATGATGAGGGAGTGCTGATGAAGGGTAGGGGTTTCCTTGTCTGTAACATTCCCTTGAACTGCTGCTACTGTCTGCAGTCTTCTTCGGGAGGACGAATGGAAGCCCAAAGAAGCCCCTTATTCCACCCCCCCCCCCCCCTCCATTCGCCCCTTTCCTGATATCTTGCAATTGATGATATAAGATCCTATCGCGGCCATCCATCCACCCACCCAGGTACTCTGCCAGTGTTAAAATCATTGCTCATTTGTCCGTCAGAAAGATGTGATGATAACCCACTCCCAATCCCACCCACTGTACTGCGTTATTCCACCACTTCTCGTTCCAATGCCTTGTTTCCTCCCGCATAAACACCTCTCTACTGCACATCAATTACCGTGCAGCATTGGCAGTGGCATTGTACTAGAGCGTAGCCAATCGGCAAAGTTCCCCCTCCACATTCTTTAATGTTACAGTTCGTCATGATCACCCCACCCACTCACGCCTCCGATGACTCTTCCGGCTGTTCATGTAACGTTGAAATAAGAATAAGGTGCAATTCCGTGCCTGTGGTGTGTCATGATGTTATTGCACAAAGGGAAGGAAAACGAGATTCAGATCCAGTTGAGATGGACAGGGTTGGCACTGGAGAGATGGGAGATAATCTAGATAGACGGAATCCGGATGGGGCTGTTCCACTTTCCTGCCCCAAGGTGAATATAATTAGAGTAAACAAAAAGTGACTTGTGTCTGCATACCAACTACAAAGCCTACCTGTCGGCTTCGACCCGAGCGCCCTCTAGAGACTATATTCCTTTGGACTGTCAACAAGGGTTTCATGCACTCAGGTTCCTGTCCCCATGTAGCTCATGTAGCCAGCTCGTCGACTTCGCACATGCTGTTGGTTCGCTGCCTTTGCTCGGTTGAGGTTGAAGCATGTGCCCAGTACTTAGTGAACACTGAAAACTCATATCGCTCCCACCAAGGCGGCCATTGAAGATCAAGTATAGACACCGCTTACTCCATGTAGTAACAGCTGTGTCCGAGCTCGAGTAATGGCGTTCACGGGAACCAGGTAATCTACTGGTTCTGAAGAGGGAAGGAGAACGGGTTCGATTGATTGTGGGTATTGATCCTTGTAGTTAATGAAAGTTTCACGCCCCAAGAGTAGATGGCGAGTGAGTTTCTTTCGACGTGTCCTTCACTGGAGACGAGCAAGCATGCCTCGGCCTAATCACGAACCTGCCGGATAAAAGGCTAAACCACCAAAACCCCAAGTCAATGCTAAAAAAGTGCCATGGAGTTTCTGCTTTACAATCAATTGCTCTTCTCGTGCCTCAGATATCGCCAACAATGTTTCCAATTGCGCCAAACCTATAGTACGATTCGCATATCTATCAGAATCCGTTAGTCTTCCCCGACGACAATTAATTTAAGACCGCGCAACTCCGTATCCCCATGCAGCCCATCTGCACCTCCGATCAGACATCTTCAATTACTCATCCAGCTGCAGTACTATAAACTAATTGTATCTACATGCATGCCGTATCCCTCCAAGAAATACTAGTCCCTAACGTAGAGTATGTCGCACTCACCCTAACTTCCTATCGCGGTATTACTCATTATCAACAATTGTCCCTGCCTGCGGTGGAAACAGAAACATTACTCCACAGACCTTCTTCCCCACGGCACCACAAGTATCCGGGTAAGGCCACTCTCGGAATACAAGCTTCCTGTGCATGCGCTAATCCAACCACAATCCGACCCCAACCCTTACCCTGAGCTGATATGCCAGCCGGCAGCGATCATTTCCAACAACCGCCGATACCAAAACACCAAGACAAAATATTAATGCACTCTCTTTTCAATTGATGACTCAAAATCATAGATTCTTCGTATTACATAAATGCACCACTATCCATTACTATGAATGACACAGCAGCCATAGGTCTCATTTATGCACTTTATTACTCATACGTGCGATATATATGCAGCCGGCCGGAATATCCCACGAACTGAGTCCACACAGAGCGACCTGGTCGGTCGGAAACGGAGCGTGGGTGTATCCGCACGGAATGCCGCTTTTAGGATCATAACCCTAGCCCTGATGGGAAAGGAGCTGAAGTCGGTTTTGATTTGATTGATTGGTGTGATAGGTACACTTAAAGTGTGTTTTATGCTTTTTTGAAAGTCATCATGAAAACTTAATTGACGTGATATTGAAACCTGGGTTTTCATATGTGAATGACAACCTTATTATGAAAATGTCGCAAAGCCACCGCCCCGTGAGTTGTTGCTTGACTCAGCTTTGACTCTGAGAACGCCCGCGGACCGCGATTCATGCGCATGTTGGCGATGAAAGCGGGAGGCATTGCTATCCGAGAGTAGACATATGTGAGAGAGTGTGATGTCTTGAATTGGTGTAGTAGTAAGATATGGATTGTGGTCGATACGACCCCGTAATTGAGTTAAGCAGTACTGAAAGATCAGCTACGGTCTGATAGGACTAGTAGACGGAAACAATTATACCGAGCGACTTTAAGCATTCAACTCAATTCGTACTCGACCTTCCGGTATAATTGGTAGTGAAGCATGTCACAGCACTCGGCTTCGTTTGTAATAATCATGAAATGTCACTCGATTTTTACCAACTTTGCATACAGTAGTTTTCACCGACGGAGAAGCGATATAACGAGTAATTCTTATAATACGTGCACTTAGTTACCTAGTAGAGTACGGAGTAAGCAAATCAATACCCTCCTAGTCTGGCAAGCGTCCCCTGATAACATCACGGCCTACGAGCACATATATTGTGCAAAAACACCCGATAGGTATAATTGTACCCAGGGGTACCCAAAAGTGATGCAACGGCTTGGAAATATAGGGTGAGGTCTTAGTGAATTCGCAACCACCTTACATGTAATTTCTTTCATTTTGATGTGATTGATGAATTCTTCATACTCTCTTTACTTTACATACTATATATCGCTGCTTCGTTAAAGTCAAAGTTGGGTTGCATGTGGTTGAAATCGTGAGTAGTAAATTGAGTCGTTGCATCACTTTCCGGCACCCCTATACAAGTACTCTCCCAACCCTGCCCAAAACACCTAAATACCCGATTCAATAAGATCCCACCGCTTCACACTTGAGCTGTCAACAGGTCCCATTTAAACGTTCTGCGCGTGCTCACGATGAATAATCATACCCAACCCTCCACAATTAAGGCCTTGATAACGATGGATAAAGGGATAGGTAGATAGGCCAAACAACACAACGTTTCCCGCAATCAACACCCCTGTCCTGTCAATGACAGGTCGCTAATATCAGTCGAGTGACTGCTAATGATTGCGCACACTGCCGATCTAACCGCCAACCCTAACCCACCCGAACTGTCACCAAAAACGAACCCTGCCGCTCCACTCCGGTGTTTCTAAATATCCGATTTGAAGGCTTAATTGTTTCACGATAACGATATTATCTTATCCATCCATCCATGGTGTAGCCAATCGTCTTATTACGGCTGGCTGGGTAGCCCCTGACGGGAATGAGCTAGCTTGCTCGAGAGCCGGAAATCAAATACCTTTTCTAATGGCCATTGAGCGGAAATGTGCCGTTAGGCTGGGGCATATATAGGTACAAGTATCTCTCTGTGGTCCACCTGAGCTTTTCACTGTGTCCATTTGACCCTGAACCTCTCTGTCCCCAGCCATTCCAGCTCGCTTCGAGTCCTTCTATCAGTACAATTGCTGCGTTCTTCAACAGCCCACACGGATACCTTTTTGGTAGCAAATAGTAGCGATACATCGCTTCTCTAAACGACCGCCGGCCTGAACACCAACGTCCTCCCCAAGGTAGTCAAAACATACCTAAATCCTCCATCCACTCATGCACCCAATCCGGCCAAACCGTAGACTGTCGTGATAATGATAGTCCGTCCTACAAATCATCTGCAATGATTACTCACTGTACAGCGCGGCCCGGACTTAGTCCCTATGCAGCGTACGTTTCAATCAATTGCAGCTCCACTCCGGATCGATTCCTAACCACCACACCACCTTCGAATTACTGCCAAGAATCCCACTGAGCAAGAAACCGTATTATCATATATCCACACACGCAGAAAAAAGTTTCGTTTCGGCGCGGTGTTCCCTCATATCTAGGTAGCTCGCTGTGCATCGTAAACGGAACTCCACTGCCCACCCCAGTCCTAGGAACCCTGCACCCTATTTCCCTAGAGTATGGCTCGAGAAGCTGTGGGGGGTAGGTGTGTAAACTTCGGCGTTTTTTTAAAGAATCAGCCTATCAAACCTATAGAAATTGGCCATAATGGTACTAGCGCCTAGACTAACCCTGGCATTTTCTCAGATTCCCATACAAACGAAATTCCTCTGAAGTTGACACACCCGCCCTCTAGGCCTTCTCGCGCCATACAGCCCCAGGCTTTCGTGCGCGCCAATAAGCTTACATACCACGCAGCCAGCCCGTAGATCCCCACGGCACATCAGTGAGTAATCAGGCAGATATATTACTCTACTATCTTATCCTTCCTTCCATCCTTCCTTCTAGCTAGTAGTTTCAATCACCTAATCGCACCCCTCGCAGCCGTGATCTCAGTGATATGATATTATTCTCTCTCCCGGCTTGGGCTGGTGCCGAGACCGTGGGCCCCTATTTTTGGTGGGTGTCGGCCCGTGCGTTGGTTTTCGGGATCGGGATGCCGTGGCAGACCCCTTTTCGCTGATGCCGAGTCAACCCTCTTTTCGGTTCTGCAATGTGAATCATTGGTGTTTTCTCCAGTGATCTATGAATAGAGCCCATGATGATCGTGCCGACCGTAGTGAAAAGTAGTAGTAGTCTGCTGGAATCAGAACCGTCTCTGGCGTGAAAGAAGAAAAAAATCTCTTATTTCCCCTTTTTTCCCCATCAAAGGTGTTCTCAATTCCGAACCCATAAGCGTCCGTAGTTCAATACCTAAATAATCCGCAAACCGACCGAGGTGTTATCGTTGCCGAAGCCACTGCCGTCCTGAGACGGGGCGCGGGGGATGGGCCCGATAACGTACAATACCGTAACCCTAATCTTCCCACACAATTTGAGATAGTCGTAGCTAGTGATCATTGACCGTCTTTCCTAAGCTGCATCCAGGTAAAATATCCCCAATAATTCTGGAATATGTTCCGTCCACCACTACCACCACCACCACTGCTAGTATTGTGTGTCGAAAGCGAAGAAATATGGCAGTCGTCCCCTTGTATCAGGTGGGAACGTGGTGTAGGTAGCTGTTGTAGAGGTCAACGTGGTGGGGGGGGGGGGGGGCGGCGCGGGAGTTTGTAGTGGATAGAGACCAATACTCGATGGCCCAACATACCCAGAATTCAACTCCAAGCTGATGTCTGCCCCAACACCCACGATTCCTAATGCCACAAGTGGAAACCCCGGCCTAGAACTCCATCATTAGTACCCACGATCGATCGGTATCCACCAAGACGGCCATTGTTTGACCTCTGTCGCTCCCGAATCAGGCCGAACCCCATAAACAAAACCCACCCAACCCACTTCCATGCGCGAGCGAGCGAGCAGCTCTTATATATCCAGCTAGAATGATGTACATTCACGTCACTCTCTCACAAGAGCAACATGCAGAAAAGAAAAACAACACAAATTGATCACCGGTCCGGGTGTTTTACTCATGAGGAATGTGTACTCCGTCGGAAATGAAACATCTGCAAATCGATCAGAGGGAAGAAAAAGCACCGTCACGCCAGGGTACGTAGCTAGGTACATACATGTATAGTTAATCGGGATATCGAAAAGCGCTCACATGCATTATCACTGGAGGGAGACTTCCGCGCACGAAGATCATCAGAGGATTCTTTGTGATCTGATGCGATCGGAGCTTTTGTGAACGATGGCGTGTGCAGCTGGTATTACGAGTTATGGATCTTGGGAATGTAGCGATCTCATAGCTTGGACGTTGAGGTGTATATGTATGTATCTATATCACGGAATATTTTGTGCAGCTAGGTTATGTATACGTACCCGATACGGCTGATGCTGCCTGTCCGACGTCCTTCTGTGAGCTTGGAGGAGGAGGAGGAGGAAGAATTTGTGTCTCTATCCATTGATCCAAAGTACTCAGCTACATCATGTATTTCACCAGCACTCATTCTTGTCCCCCATCACGCTCCATCACTCGAGTCCTCTGTTTGGATGTTGCAATCCCAATTGAGCTTAAATCAGTTCCTCAATCCCGAATTTACGGTAACAACCGTTTTCTGTAAAAGGAGGATGCCGCCCCTAAACAACTCGCAATTCCCCAACCGCGTAATAGCAGCTACATTTAAGCCAAATCTCACGACTGACACGCAAATAACACAAAGTACCCATGAGAGCTAAAACATCGTGTATTGCCATAGAACATCTCTAGCTCTGGCAATTGCAGTGCCGCGCTATGACCACCCAGTTGACATTGACCCATTCTGCCATGCATGCGAGCAACGTGCGAACAAGAGCCCCCCCAAACCAAAGAAACGGTATCTCCGCTTAACTAACCTTAACTTGCTCGTAGCCTTCCTCCAACAGCACTGATCCCCTCCTATGTATCCTCTCCATCTCGCCCCCCCCCCCCCCCCCCTTTTTTTTTTTACCGGGTGCTCTGCCCTATTGGCACAGGAACAGAACTCCAACTCTAGGTCTGGCTCGTCTTCGATGCGCTCACTTCGGTCTGTCTCCCAACGACGCTTGAGGCTTGCCTCCAGTGGCTCGAGAGGGAAACTGCACCGCCGGCGCACAACTCCTATTTTTTTGTTCACGAGGTCTGTGAGAAACAACCCTCAAGCTCGAGCTGCCGTATGGGAAAAGGTACTGAAGACGTGTAGGTAAAGTGTCTACATGACAAATGCGGTGTTGTCGCGGGAAGAGAAAGACATGCGTTGTCTAGCCCTATGCACACTTGAACTCATGAACTTGCGAAATGCGAACAGGATCTTCCTATGATTCAACAGAAAGGATAAACAAACTATGCAAGATCCGATTCTCAACCGTTTTTTCCCCATTTCGCCATCGAAGATCAAGAGGGTTTGGGAACGAGAGGGAGAAAAAAAAAAAAGGAGCTTTCCCAACTGCTTTGGTGTGGGGCAAACTGACGACGGTATTGAAGCCATTCGGAATCGGAGATGAGGCGAGTGCAGATCTTCAATGCCGAGAGGGGGACCCGTGTGTCTAAAATGTCTTGCCCGGCGACTCCCGTTCGGCGGCACGGGGGACACGCTCAATCAGCGCTCAACCACCGTTGATCAGGTACCGTTTTCGGCGCATCGAAATGATCTATGGGTTTGCTATGCTGTCTGAGAAAGTAAAAAAGAACAATTACCAACTACTGCAGGAACGAGCATGTCTAAGCTTCTTTTTGCGGGTTCCTGAGCGACCTTCAAAGCTCCCAACGAACAGTCCTTCGGGGAGGGAATATATAGTGAGTGACTTCTCCCCCGAATCTATTTCCTTCGTTCCTCATCAGCTTCAATCCAGCTCGACCACTCCACACTCTTTATTCCACCCCCCCCCTCGAGGTTCGCTCTTTACTGACCTCTTATCATTTTCCAAAAATATAGACACTCTTTTTCTATACTTTCGCTTTCTATTACACATTCAAAAAGTATTTTTTATTACTCAACAACCTAAATATAATCTTTAAAGATGCGTTACTCTATGGTATTGGCAGCTATTGTCTGCGCAACAACTTTCGTTTCCGCCGCGCCCTTGCCCCACGCCCCCGACGTCGCTCTCCCTTGTATTGATGACTGTGTCAAGAACCTCGTGGGAAACAACGTCGAGAACAACACCGAGGGCCTCCAAGATCTTCCAAGCGGATCTGATGTTCCTAGCGGTGGGGCTCCTGCCGTCCCCAACGGCGGTCTCCCGTCGGCACCAACTGCTCCGGGTTTCCCTCACCCAGATGGCGGGATGCCTTCTCTCCCAGGATCCCCTGTAGCACCCGGTTCACCCGAGTCTGTGAACACTCCTCATGCGCCTAACGTCCCGGGTAGTCCCCACAATGGCCTTCCATCAGCACCAACTGCTCCAGGTCTCCCCCACCCTGAAGGTGGCCTCCCAACCGGCGGTCTCCCAACCGGCGGTCTCCCAACCGGCGGTCTCCCAACCGGCGGTCTCCCAACCGGCGGTGTCCCAACCGGCGGTGTCCCAACCGGCGGTGTCCCAACCGGCGGTGTCCCAACCGGCGGTGACAGTGGTGCTCCTTCGGCCCCAGGCCTGGATGGCATGCCTGGCCAGTCCAACGAGTCCAATGGCATTAACGTTGTACAGATCAACACTGCCGGTGAACTTGTTTCCGCCCCTACCGATGGTCTCTCCGGACTTCCAATTGGCGGTGCCCCCGGACTCCCATCCGGCGGTGATTCCGATGAGGGTCACGACGGCCCCGTCACCACCCCCGGCGACGACGAGGGCGATGACAGTGACCACGAGGGTGACGAGAGCGATCACGAGGGTGACGAGAGCGATCACGAGGGTGACGACAGTGATCACGAGGGTGAAGACAGTGATCACGAGGGTGACGATGAGGGTGACGATGAGGGCGACGATGAGGGTGTTACCATCCCTGGTAACAACAGCGAGGACGGTGACGAGCCTTCCGGCCATGGAGCTCCCTCAGTTCCTGGAGCTCCCTCGGTTCCTGGAGCTCCCTCAGCTCCCGGAGCTCCCTCAGTTCCCGGAGCTCCCTCAGCTCCCGGAGCTCCCTCAGTTCCCGGAGCTCCCTCAGCTCCCTCAGCTCCCTCAGCTCCCTCAGCTCCCTCAGCTCCCTCAGCTCCCTCAGCTCCCTCAGCTCCCTCAGCTCCCTCAGCTCCCTCAGTTCCCTCAGCTCCCTCAGCTGGTTCTCCCCCAGGCCCAGCCGGCCCTGTGGATGGCGGAGACTCCCCGTCTCATCCCGGTGCTCCCTCAGTCCCATATACTCCATCCACTGATGCTAATCCAGCCCCATCCACCCCTGAGCACCCTGTAACTGGTGGAAACACACCATCTATGCCTGAAGGCGGTGATGTCACTCACCCAGATTTCGGCCAGACCAACGAAAGTGATGGCGTCAACGTTATCCAGTTCAACAACGCTGGTGGGCTCGTCGATATCCCAGGTGCTCCTTCTGCTGGTGGCCTCTCATCTGGCGGTGATCACCCATCCGGTGATGACCACCCATCTGGTGATGACCACCCATCTGGTGATGACCACCCATCCGGTGGTGCTCCTTCGGTCCCTGGTGCTCCTTCGGTCCCTGGTGCTCCTTCGGCCCCTGGTGCTCCTTCGGTCCCTGGTGCTCCTTCGGCCCCTGGTGCTCCTTCGGTCCCTGGTGCTCCTTCGGCCCCTGGTGCTCCCTCGGCCCCTGGTGCCTCCGACCCAACTTCAGGGCTCCCCCACATTGAGAACCCTGTTCCCTGTGTTGGCGAGTGCGTCGGAAAGGCCATTGACGGCGCTCACACTCCTGGTGCCCCATCTGCCCTCACCGTAAGTTCTATCCATCTAGTGTGCGATGCTTGAATCATACTAATATGGATACAGCCGCCGATGCCATTCCTGACAAGGAGCTCTCCGTTGCCGACTGCAGAGACAACAAAGTTGTTTCCGTTAAGAAGGAGGGTCACGAGGTTGAGGGTGAGGTTGTAGGATACGAGGTTGAGGGTGAGGGCAAGCACGAGCACGTCGATGCCGAGGGTGCCGCTAAGGATGCTAAGAAGGCTGCCACTGGTGACATCCACGAGGATAAGGAGGTTGATGCTGGTACCGCTGAGGCTGAGTTCGAGAACCACAACAACGATGACTAGATTGTCTGTCGTGATTGAGTCGCATCATTTTGTGTATTATTTTCCCTATGTCCTAGGTTGAAAGATCTAATGGTTGTTTTGTAATCACTTGCACTTTTTTTATGTGGAATAGTTCTCACAGTCTTTTTTGTTGTTTGCTATTTTTTTCTTCGATTCGTGTATTATTTTTAGTGGAATTGAGCGAGCTTGAAGGTTGATTATTAGACATGAAATTCAGTTAAATTTGTCCTCAAACCTTTTTTTGCAGCTCTGGGTCTTGTCACTAATTATTAATTGTTTCTACTTGTGTTGTTGCTGGTCATCGTGATGTTCTTGTCAACAATCAGAATGAAGCCAACATTTAGTTTGGGTTATACCAATAGTCTTACTCCCGAGAGCTCAATGAAGCTGCTTAGTGCTATGCCAAGAATACTACATAACCATATTCTTCCAAATGAACAAAATAAGGTGCCATAGATCGAAATACACATAGACGGGCAGCTAGGAGCTTTTTTAAACATTGAAGCGACCAAAAGAAGATGCAATTGCGATCCTATAGTCCGATTTTGTATTTTCCGCTCCGGACATACAACCTATATATATACATAATCTTGAGATTGGTAATGATCATTCTGACAACTAATTGTAAAAGTTACAGGGATTCTCATAAATTAATTAACTACATGGATCTCTCACTCAATTCCACAGGCCGATCCCAGAAATTGTCGAGATCTGTAGTTCTTCTCTGAGGAAAAATTACAGGCACCAACAGAGCCAAGGACCAAGATAGCCAAGAAATGAGAGTCCAACAGTGCTAATGTGGGTCATTCCCGGCTCCTCCTCTGATTCATGCTGCTCCTGGAGGAGAAGGCGAAAGATAAAAGACCCGGTGTCACGTACTGGTTGTTGCTCCTCGCTCTCCTGTAGCTGGAAGAGCAAGGACTAGTATGAGTGGAAGCGGTGTGCGGCAGGCAGTTCCTGGACCATGAGACGACCACTCAAGCGCTAACTACCTGCTTGCTCTCTTATGAAAGAAAGAGTTGGAGTAGGAATAAAGAGACCTTGTATAGCGGTTAAGAGTTGGTGCCAAGCCCGCTTTCGCCTAGAACTTTCTCGATAGGTACTTATATAAGGCTTATTTTGAGGGCTGGCCGGGGTACGATAAAGTATAAACAACAGGGCAGTTGTTAGTTTAAACTTCACACTGCAATTTAACAGATAAAAAAGCTTCTAGGTACGGCGAGAACATAAGCTTAGACAATTGGTGGTGGTGGGATGCGTTTTATAATTATCCCCAGGCCCAGGAATACCGGGAGAGTTATCAGATTAATGGATGATCTAGCGAGTGATATCTTATGATATATATGATCATTACAACAGTTATGAAGCTAAATTTAGGAGTACGACAAGGAATTTTTCGGAGGTTTGGGATACATAGCTGAAACATTGAGCAGGAATGCATGAGATGTCGTCTGAAGAGTCGAAAAACGGCTGGCTCCCCGGCGAAACATATGCTGCCAATTAGAAAACATGAGTTTTAAACATTGAGTACTCTACTCGGATCGATAGACTGAGCGATGGGCGCCTTCCCCTCCACCAGAACAACCCCTCATAGGAACGTAGCCAAATCTACATAGGAATGGAAATACAGACACCTTACCAGATATCTCGATGGGTGCACCCGGATCGATGGTAAACTGGTCTGGACCCCACACATGGGTAATTTACCCTGGTAAATCTGCCTCTTATAGGTATAATTAAGTTCAGAGCTATTATCGCTTTCAGATAGTATTGGGGGATTTGAAAATTACCACAGTGGAAATGTATTCGGAAATACATTGACCTTTTTTAATGATGAAGCATGCATAGGGCATACCCCGCCCGACCCTCCCGCCGAAAGAAATGCTATACCCAACTCATACGCGCAAGGAAAAGGAAGGATAATAATCCATTCCCCTTACAGCTATCACTCTCAGCGCAGCTACACTTACTTTCCATCGATATTTCATTCCTTCTCGATAACATCCGGCCCCGGCAACAAAGCTGACCATATTATATACCTGATCCACGAAATCAGTTATCTCCTCTTACATTAGCTGCAATAAAACATTCCTCGAAACCTGAGCGGTTTTTTTTCCAAGAACCATTTTCTCGATGGATTCCCCAGGTGGAGGTAATGCTGTGATAAAAGGTGATTTTGTATGCAGGCCTGCATGGTGGCTGGATGTTGTTAATTTCCTCGTTCTCAACCTCGGGCTCCACGCATTGACAGTTAAACACGCGCCTGGGGCGGGAATATTTCATAAGACTGTCAATATCATCAACTCTATTCTCTTACCTTATTCCGGCATTGGTAGTGCACTGGCCACCATATCCTGGTGCATTGTGGGCTATGAAAAACACCCTTTGGATGTTGCTAAGAGGGCAGGCGCATTGTGCATTGTGCAGCCTGGGCCCTATGCGCCTATTCTGTAATAATATATGAACTCTTCTAGGATTAGTTAACATGGGCTAATTGTATGTGTTACTAGGCCGGAAATAGTGCCAGCGGTGGTCGATATTCACGGCCAGCATCCGGTGCCACCCGCAAGCATCTGGAGTCAGTTAAAGACTTATTGGCTGCCGAAACATAAACCATTATATTCATCACCAAGAGCTCCTTGTCACTTGGTAGAAGTTCCTATGTATTTCAAGCCCAAAAATTTAGACTATCGAATAAAAGAGGATCTTCATGCTCAGATCCCGCAGTCCCAGTTAAACCTCTCTTGCAACCATCCTATCCTCAAAATCATTGCAGCAGTTCTCCAAACGCTTTATGGATCATATGAACTCTTCAGAGCACGCGAATCCCAGCTCGAGAGGTACGGTTTTGCAGCGTATTCTTTATCGATCATACCATATATAATCATGTCTCTTGTTAATCTGATGGCCGCATTAATCGAACCTGAATATCCTACGATGTACCTTGTATATTACGGAGGCGAGACAGAGCCCGAAGGAGGAGACACATGTAATGTCATTGGTGATGACTTGGATGAGGATGGGGTGTATTTGCTTTTACTGGAACTCATGGGTATCATAGTTTAAATAAAAGGGAAGGTGTGAAATCTCCCATGAGTTGATCTTGCTTTAGAATCTAGAAAAAATCATGAAGAACCAGACATTAATACATTAATGCGGGACATAAAGACACTAGCCACCATTTTCATGGATACCAGGGGGGAATAACAGGTGCAGTTGGGAAAGTTTATGGGAAGGTGCCGAGGACCCTGGGTGAAAGGTGGAGTGGGAAGGTACGTATGGAAATTTCTACTTTATAATTTATTCATAAACTCAAAGCGGAAAGGGTGCTGTACTTCGGGTAGAGTATAGGCACACGTTAGGTAATTTCCAGCTGTTGGTTAGGTAAAGAATAATAGGTGTGCCGGGAGGCGGACACCCTCATACCGTATGATATATATAGTACAGTGCTTTTTCCAAGATATGTAAACAGGAGAGATTCTGGCGGCGCTGACACAAGTGTTCCTAATTAAAGTGCGATTATATGGCTGACAAAGCTGGCCATGGATCTTTTCTAACTCTCGGTTTTTTCGAGATCGTAGCACCACTAGCTTTAATCGCTGCTCCATACGTCGTTATCCAACTGTTGACGGGCTTCAAATACGGTGATCACGGTACTACAAGTCAACGAACTTGGCTGATGTCTTGGCTTGTATTCGGTCAAATCTTCGGCTTTCCTAAAAAACGCAATCAGAGAGACTCTTTCATGAGGGCCTTCACCGATTCCCCGGTTTATGACGAACCCTCCAGTTTCCAGGAAAGACTAAGAAATCTATACTCCGGCTCTATAACCCCGGAGTCGCTGGTGTTTGAACTCCTTACGACACACGTTTTTTCTATTGCTACCTTTGGTGGACTCGTGGTTGTTTCGAAGATGATAATGCAAGAGGAGGTTTGCATGAAGATCTGAGCATTATATATTGTTAAGGCTGAGAAGGAGAAGATATTTTATTGTCTTGCAAAAACTGCCCGAAAAACTCAATTACACACCTGTCGTCAAATTTAGCATGCTTTTGCGGGTAGTATATGGAAGCTTGAGAAGAGCTAAGCTGTGTGGTGTGTAGAAATAGAAAGGGACTGACGGTATTGAATATTTGACTCTTTTTTTTTCCCCTTCTTTCTGCCTTTCTCCTTCGTCCTTTGTCCCTCTGTTTGCACAAGTCATCTATTTCCGTTCTCTTTTTATCTATTTGGTATCTGTTAACGAAAATCTCTATTCCAAACGGGATGTATGTTTATCCTGGGCTATCAGTTGCTTCATATATACATGTATTCATATGATAATGAGACGTTGAAGTTGTGCTTCAATTATTAATCAAATGTATACATACGTAAATACTAATTTTCAAATGGCACTGAGAAACTGTGATATTGCGACCGACCTTGGAAACGCCGGGTGTGAGGAGAAGGGTATTATTCCAATGGTGTTGAATGTACCTCATAGAAGATTTTACGAAAATCGCCCTTAGCAATAAACGCTAATAATTAGGCTTAAATCCAGGACGTCCGTCTTAGACAGTGCCCGCACACGTACACATGTACGGCGCTTGTCCGTTTTCGAATTTTTCCTACACGTTCGCATCATGGCCTTATCATATAAACCGGAACGACTAGGATACCTCATGATCAAATCAGCTACCGGCCAGAAAAGTAGGAAGCCAAGAAAATCGGGGTGTTCTGTGCTCATGGGAAGTAAATATTTACCTTAGCTGGAGATTAAAGGCGCCGCGATTTGTACCATGAATTTCTAAAATAAATTAGAACTCAGTCATGGCGTAAGTAAAAGCTAGCTCTATAGTGATATCGATATCGGAGACTAAGTGTGGTAATCAAGAGACATAGGTGTGTAAACTCAATACCCTGTATATGTATATACTTAGTAGTTATCTAAACGCCACATTGAATCGCATGCATAGCGAAATCAGATTATGCATAGTAAAACTGTGTCCGATGGGATATCTTGTGTTAAACTCGCCTTATATACCAACGGACCAGTCACGGACGTTTTTGAATATCAGTATTTATGCCTAATCGATTATCCCCCGCACTTCCAGGAGTGAATGTCATCCCCGGAACAAGAAATGAGCAAGATCTTGTCTCGTTTCGTCTCGTCTGACCCACACCGCAGGTATTATAGGGGTCTTCAGATAGGCGTTCACCCATTATCGATGGCGTGATCTAAACGAGCTCTCAATCTTCTCAACGATGTCTTGAATGCCAGATATCGATGTTCCTCCTTCGGGCTATTCTTGCTGGGAGATTTGGTTCCCTGTGGTGCGTCTGTGTGGGGCCCCTGATCATGATGTTATCAGGTAAACGTAAATGTTGATTACCGATCCAATACTGTCTAAAAGGTTCGAGAAAATGTACCTTTTACATAGTACTGGATCGAATATCCACCTTACTTTGAGAAAAGAAACCATAATATAACTGTAAAAAGAAAGAAAAAGAGGGTGGGGAGTGAATGGTACCGAATGCGTTATAACGATCTCATCCCATATAGCTGGTTATTATCCCCGTTATCTTCTATGAACTGGTATTCTAGAATACTGCGTGCACTACATGCGTATGCTAGCAGCTATTAGTCAGGAGAATATCTCCTATATGTCTTGTGGAAACAAGAAGGTCCCTTCGACACACCTACTTTACCTACTAGCTAGAACAAACGGCCATCATCCGAAATCTTGTTAATTAACGAGATGAAAAAAAGAAAGATTATGTCTCGTTTCGTCTCGTCTCGGAGGCATATCTGGGTCATCATTTGATTAGATCTTCTAGCAATTTGATAGGCGTTTTTAGCGTGCAATCCATATCATATCAGTGACACAATGACCCCCAAGCACTAGAATCGATAGGGCACGAGCCATGCACCTGCGCCTGTGTAAATTAGATTTTGCATTTGGGAAGAAAATTCATGGAGCCAGATACTCACTCGTCTAGCTGTTTAAATAATAATCAGAAAGCCTCCTCTCTGGAGAACGAAATATTGTATGTGCACGGATATCCTAGGTAGATACAGAGAGCTCTTTGCACTAGCTCGCCCGCCACCGGTGGGAGGCCAGTAAACTGACCTCTAATGCAGCTTGGTCACAGTTGGATCCCCATCTACTTTACACTTGCTCCCCTTTCCACACCAAGACAGCCACCTCTCAACCCACGAACCATCGTGCGAGAAACTAAAACGGCTCCTCTAGTGCCACTCAGGTCCCATCTCACGCCCTACCACCTACAGCGTATCTACCGTCGGCAAGTCTCCCCTAGCGTCCGTACCCTCTTTACCCCAAGCGCATCAATTCTCGGTTAGCAAGAGACGAAATGAGCAAGATCTTGTCTCGTTTCGTCTCGTTTGACGCGGGTCTCGGGACAACCAACCAGGATCAGTGCTCTTGTCGAACGACGACCGCGCGCGCACCAAAAAAGTTGTTTCTGGTGCTGTGACGTTCTCTCCCAAGGATGAGTGCTCCTGTCAAAACCTGTGTGTGGAAGAAAAAAAATTGTGTTTTGTCTTAGTTGGGTCCCCGGGACATGAACAACACGAACTGAACTCTTGCCTTGAAGAAAATGATGTTTCTAAGACAGTCAAAACTCATTTTTCCCATCCCCAACGGCGGGTTGCTGCAACCCACACACGATCACTGCAATGCTCGTGTTAAAATAAAATAAAAATGGAGTTTGGTCGTTGGCTGTCTAAGACGTTCTGAGGGAGAAACAGTCTTATTGGAAAGTGCCAAAATCAATTTTTTCCCCCAACGGCGGTGTCATGCAATGGGTAGTGACAGTCGGCACCCGTGCACTGTCTCGGATTTCGGCTTTCCCTTAGTTATGCAGTGCCAAGGACCTTTGAGCTGCTATAATTATATTTCTGTGGAGGCTTCTAGAGTATGTAACGTCAATTCAAGAGGCGAAATTAATACGTGCATGAAGCTCGCGATCGATCAGGGGTTGGCTAAACGAAATGGTACAAAAACGGCCTTCTGGATTTCTAGTGCAGGTGGGAGATGAGGTAAATTTGGAATAGGGTTTGACACAATTTAGATTCTCCTATACTGTACGCATCCTAGACGATACTGAGCGTTTTCAGTAAGGGTTAAGAATTTGGTGAGGAGGAATGAAGATGAAGAATGATTATCTAAAGGGTGTTACTGGAATACCCCCACGATGAGGCGGTATCATTTATTGAGCGGGCTGATCATATGACCGTCGAATTCAGCTGTAGAGCCATAGGATGCTCCTCTCCAGCCTGGGCAGATAACTAAATAAACCTCTCCTTTCCAGTAAAGTCTTCAGCCACCATAACGAGCGCGGGAAATCTAGGCCAGTTTATGTACAACCTATGGATGATAGTAATATACCCCTAGTATCTACCACTGCCCCATGCGTGCATGCAGGCAGAATATATATAGACCAAAAACAGCTGGGGTACCGGGATTGCATAATTTAAGTTGATCACGAATTGCGACAGCCAAGTTCAAAGTCTGGAATGAACTATTCAGTCGCCCGCTAGTTTGCGTGCGACTGGGTTTGTGTGGTGTTCTATATGAACGCCTCCTATGATTTCAATCGCAATATGCAATTCGCAGATCTGTAAATTGGGCATTTAAGCTTCCGAGGCGCTGGAGGAGGTAATGAACCCCACAAGCAGTATCTCACCCGTGGGCCAATCCTAGACTGATTACTGGGATCTAGACTTGCGAAATTGGATGTTAATATAGGCGCGCAGGCATTCCCACCCGGTAGATGGCCCAGGCCAGTGGATGCTCAACCTGCCGGGCCCAAGATAACTCCACGGCCACAGATACTAGATATCTATATTACCCAGTGAAGATAATGGCCTGACAGGAACCTAGGCCAATAGATACCATCTGTAGGGATTGGGAATGTTCTAGATTGCTGCTTATTCCATATATCCTGTCTTTGTAGCCTTGTGATCGCCATTGACAGGTATTAATATTCGCGAAAGACTGCAAGGATGCAACTTCAAACTCTATTATTCGCAATTTGAATCGATAGGACCACTTGGTACGTAGGCGATCAATTAATTGATCAAGTCCCCAGAGTATGGTAAGCACCCCAGATACTACAGGCATGAACATGTTGTGATATATATATAGCCATCTAGACGCATCCATATGGCTATAGGTACTTACCATATATAACTCGCCCTCCCCCAATGGCATCATCCGTCTTTTGTGCTTCAGATCGACATCCCAGGATAGGAGTCCATTGATCTGATCTAACTAACCTAACCCTACCGAAACAACGATCTCATGAGGTCAACCAAACAAACATGCCAACTAGCAATCGGCGAAACATGTTTTCATCCCCGCTGTTATTTCTTGCGAGTAGGTATCGGAAATGAGGGTGGTGAACAACCCATGTTATAACAGATAGTAGTGGGCTGAGCCCAATGTTAGCACCCTTGTCTAGCACGGAAAAGATTAACTACTCCGTACTAGCTAGTAGACCACTCATCCACGGTCAAAGGAGTTGTTCCTGCAGCTGTCACACTATCGCGAATAGTAGTCACGCAGGATGAGGATTAGATGAGGTACCTAGCAGAAGAGTAACATCAAGTCTACCTACTCCGACTTGTAGTGAGTAACACGAGTACTGCCTCCCTGCCTACTCAGCACTCGCTCATTCGTCCACTCACCCACAACCACCCCTGTCTGTGCAATGCAAATCTCCGTCCCGCGGCTTTGTCCACACAGGCTATTCCATACCAAGAACTGAACCCTTGTCCTGGTTGTTAATCCCCACTCCACGCACAGGTACCGGTTAACTCCCTTTTTCTTTCTTCTTCTGCTTGTTTGCTCCTCGGTAGGGCAGGCGGGTAGGCATTGACTTTGGTGTCTACGCTCATCATCCCACGTCCAAGCCCACCCCTTCGTGAGATCTTTGCTCTTAACACTCTCATCACCACCTCCACACTCATTTACCTATCCATTCATTCACCTATTCACCCATACACTCCTTTAACCAAACAGTCAGTAGGAATCCTCCGCAAGCCATGGATCCGAAATCACCACAGTCCTTACCTTCACCTACCTCACCTTCTTCGCCTTCCTCATCCTCAGGTTCTTCGTCTTCGCCCTCTTCGCCCTCTTTGCCTTTCTTGCCTTCAACGCCACCTGCCACGTCTTTACCCACACCCCCTAACTCATCGCCTATAAATCCGATCGCAAAACGTGATCTTCGACTGATTAGGGGTGCAAAATCCAAGGTTTGTTTATTTATCCTTATTTTTTCACATTTATCACATCGAGGCTGACAAATAAACATAGCGTCCAGTAACACAGCTCCTCTCCTCGCCATGGAATTATCAACCCCCGCGCCTTCAAACGCAAATCCATACGCCCCAAGACCTTTATATTGCGGTCAATAGAGCCCGGCACTACGATGGTCATGCTCCCTCACTCAATCCATCACCGGCCACTACAAATCCTACGTTTCTTCCGTACTCTGGTAATTTTGTCCTTGACGCATCATTCGCACTGCCATCTGACAGGCAGCCACTTCTTGAGAAGATTCGTCAGCTGCAGCAACGGCAGAAAGCAGAATGCGCAGAGTTGGCGAAGAAGTTGGTCGATTTGATCCAGAAAGTGGACGGGTATGAGTACGTGAAGCTTGGGAATGGATCGCAGTTGAGCGGGCTGAAGACGGTGGTGGGGTGGTATTTCCATTTCGTATGCTCGGCATCGAAAGAGTGCTGTCCAAGTAAGTCCAAATCTATGAGGAAATACAGTTTTTTGAAATTGATACTAATGGTTGTTCAGAGAGCAATAGTATTAGTAATCGCGACTGTAAAGGGAGTATATATGTATCAATGTCGACAGAAAGGGTATACATATACTATACGCATCGGGACTTGCACGAGCCTGCAACACCACGCGGGTTTGAAATGGCATTCGAGAGTCTGCCGGCGGAGGTCAAGGTACAGGATAGCGGGGTGCTTATGGCTATGCAGCAATTGGAGGGAATTGAGCGGGAAGTAGATGTGGAGAGTGAGTCGTCGGTAGGGTCGGATCAATCAGGGGAGACTGAGAAGGGTCGTGGGTAAAACCCAAGAAAGAGGCGGAAGGAGCAGGAAAGGAAAAACTGGTTGATATACAGCAGCTGGAAGGCGGCAGAGCAGAAGGACAACTAAGCCTCGACCAGCTAGAAGGTGGTGGGCGGGAAGGACAGTTAAATCTCGAGCAGCTGGAAGGAGGCCGGTCAGAAGGACAGCTCGATATCCGGCAATTAGAGGAGAATGGACCTGAGGGGCAACTGGATATCGGCCAACTGGACAATATATCACCAGAGCATCGGGCAAAGACAATACCAGCAAAAGTGGAATCGAAAGCCTCAGGTTCTCCGGCGGAACCCACACCACTACCTACACCGACACCCACCCCTCCGAAGCTGCGCCGAAAACCAAGCCCAATATCCATTCCCCCAGTGTCTCCCCACCCCTCGTTTCCCTTCAGCCACCCACTACTCCCCTTCCGCCATTCACCCCAAACATGTTGCCCAATATCCGCCCAACACCGGCCGCAACTCCTGGATCTGTGAATCGCAATCATAGCAAACTCAGCGCGCTCCGCGACATGGTCGATGCATGGCATCCAGATGATGAATCCGGAGAGAACAACGTTCCCGAGAAAGTAAACCCATTCCTAAAAGTCACATTCAGGTTCATGGTCGAGTGGTTCCAGTCCTCTATGGGACATCCGGAGGTTCAAAGAGAGATCTACCGGATCTTAGATATGGAGGCCGAAGGAGAAGGGGAAGGATCAGGGGCTGGTGAGAGCGATGTAGAGGACACAGTAGTGGGAGACGACAACCGGTCGGTGAGAATCGATTATGATGATGATATGAGCCGGAAAGATATGGATGAAGAGGAGGATATTGTGGTTGATGTGCTACGGTATGTGTCTTTACCTCCCCTTTTTATTGGCGTATATATGCGTATAGTTATACTAACTTGGCTACACAGAACACCAACAAGGAAAACGCCAACTCCGGATAGCCCAACACGAAAACTGACGTTGGATCTTCCCAAGAAAGCGCGGCGCTCAGTCCGGGAGTTGTTGAAATTGGGATATGGGACTTCCACCAGGGTGTTGAGCCCGATTGTTGAGTCTGCCAGTGAGAAGAGGAAAAGCACTGATGGTTCAGGAAAGAAGGGAAAGATGAGTCGTAGAAGTGGAGAGTCGGACAGGTGAGGACTATATATGAACAAACATTGATTACAAATCGCAGTAACTATCGGATTTTGGTTTTTTTGGTGGAGTTTTATCTTTTTTTTTTTTACTTATTTTTTTCTACCCTTTTTTTCCAGGGGAAGGGGATTTTGGACGTTCATGAAGCATGGTGATGTATCATTGGGGTATGAGGTGTGTTTTTTGTATACTAATTATATTATTTTTTTGGCTTTGGCTTTGGCTTTTGTATTTTTCTTTTCTTTTCTTTTCCATTCCACATTTTCCTTTTCCCTTTCCTTTTCCCTTTTTTTTATTTGCAAAAGTTGGTGTTCCTGTTTTTTGGTACTTTTACGGCGGTGGAGATAAATGTATTGTATTTTGTAGTTTTTTTTTTTTTTTTTTTTTTTTTTTTTTTGGTGTTAAGCTGTACTAAACTGTTGAGGTTGGTGGATTTGATTTTATGCATTATTGGGACACTTTTCTGATTGAACCTGTATCACTGTATTTAGAGTAACATTGTATGTCGTGCGTCTTCTATGGCAAAATAAGATGGAACTTGGTATCGATCCTAACGGCGGCCAATATTACAAACATATTTGATAGAACCACCTACAGTCGCAACTCGATATATATGCCGAAACTCAATGCACCAGATCCCCTCGCTGGTGGTCCTCTGAGACTATTATTTTTCCTACTGCAATATATTCAACTTGCTACGTATACTATACTTCGGATTTTCTTGCTATCCCGTACGAAACCCTTAGAATCTTGAAGTGCACGTCTGGCTATTCTGCTCTACGTTCCACCAAGGCACCACAAGCTTTAATTTGAATCATTCCGTATTCCCACCACTTCTAGACTCCCACTTCTGGTGGTACCAAAAAAGCAGAGTTGCCCACCACAACCGCGGAAATGATGGACAGTATCGATCTGATCGAATCTAGGGTCCGTAGTCAGAAATTCCCCCTTTCGGAATAGTCACTAGACTCCTTTACTGGGATATGATCAACAGCCCCCGGAGGCTGGGGGTAGGGACAGTCTTAAATATATGCCGGAGTGATATATGATACGCAGCTAGGGGGTTGATCGAATATATATACAGCCGCACCCCGCTATGCCGGATGGCCAAGATTCAGTCAATTTCGTACGGGATAGCAAATCATCCGGGACAGCAAATAAATCCTCAACAAATAAACCTAACTCTGGATTTGGTCCATTTTCACCTCTGAACCATTTTTTTTTTTTGCTTCAAAAGCTCAGCTTCTAATCGTATTGAGTGCTAGCAGTACTTGATGTCTGATAGAGCTTTTCTCCGCTTCAATATTGAAGGGGGGGAAGTGTTCAAAACCTCAGAATTCGACCCTTCAGTGAATGGGAAAATCTAGCTGTGTATGGAGTAGTGAGTCCGGGATATCAAATATTATTTGTATGGGGACAGGGGTCAGAGAGTTGGCCAGTTTCCCACACGGTACGAGAAGGCCAAAATCCGGGATAGCAGATTAATTTTGGTGAGGAATGAGGGTATCGGCCAAATCCACCCGGGATAGCAAGGGATCCGACATGTTGAGTTCTGGCATATCGAGTTGCGACTATACCGCTAAAACTCTATCTCTGTCGGCCAGGGATTACGTACCACTTGAGTGGTTGGTTGTATGAATGGCATCGATCTGCTTTGGGGTTTTTGATACATACAAGTAATTTTGATCTAGCCAATTTTTTTTTTTTTTTTTTTTCCCGAGTTATGGTGGTACCTAGTAGAGTCGAGTATGTACCTCTTTTTGGTTTTTTTGGTTCAAAACCTTGTGATTGACCACACCCCCGTATGCATGCATGTTGATCATACCCTAAGTGAAGGAGACTAGTAGAGAGGTTCGGGTTAAAACGGGGGTTGCTTTGCATAGGGATAGAGTACTCGTATTTCGTGACGTTTGTAAAAGGAACTCCTATTGCATACCATACAAATACGCGCCAAGTCCACAATTTGGTATGGTATGCAATAGCGGTTCCTTTTACAAACGTCGCGAAAGTACGAGTAGTGAGAGTGCTACATAAAGTCACGCACATGGCAAGTACATGTAGGTCAGTTTCCCCCACCCCCCCGCGGCCGCTGGATACTAAGCTAGCATCAGTACAAGCACACCATACAAGCGGAGCGGAACACAGCCTCCGGGGCCGGCCCGCAAATTCGCTATATAAAGCTTATCATTACTCTAAGCCTACCTCATTAAGAGAGAGAAATGATACTGTCCAATATATCTATGTATGTACGACCTCTGAGTGGATATTGCACTGTCCATGTACGATCGAATCCGATCATATCAACAGTCAGTGCAAGCTACTTACCTACTCACGCACCTAAGTACCTAAGTATGGAAGTATGGAAGTGGATGCTCGCGATCAGGAGTGGCTCCAGCTTCGTCCGCTATATATAGCTATCTACGCTCCATAGCATAGCATAGCAGTCATGATCAAATCAACCAATTATGCATGATACGTTACTTCCTGACCACAAGGATCTAGGATCGAGGAAGGTTATAACTATTTAGGATTTAGTATAGCTATAGAAAAGGCTGCAGATCAGGCATGCACCAGATAGTGCAAGTTGAATATTTGCGCATACATGTTACGTAGTTATTTGTGCACCCAACTACATACACCTGCAAAATCCCCACAGCACAGCAGAGTAAAGTAAAGTACATGTAGTTATGTAGAGTAGGTAGTGAATCCACGATCCACTCTAAGCACACACACCCATCGCACCGCCGGCTGGACTGCAAAGGAGCATACTGCACACTGCACACTGCCCACTATGTCGCATTCAGCGCCTCCGCCCTAATATACGAATCCTTTGTCCTCTCCGTAAGATAGTCATTCACCGACACCGGCGGATACTTCTCCTCCCCTCCCTCTCCCCCAATACCCCGGGGGAGACAGCGAACCACATACTCCGGATCCCCAGCGTGGAAACACGCGATCGAGTAGCGCGTGCGGCCGGAGCGGTTGATAACCTGGTGCAGGCCGGAGCGGTAGCGGTCGTTGGTCATGCGCTGCGTGCAGTCGCCGAGGTTGACGACGTAGGCGTGCTTTATGGGGGTTACCTGCGTGGTGGGGGCGTGGTTGTTAGTGGTGGAGAGAGAGGGAGGGAGGGAGGGAGGGAGATACGTCGAGCCAGGAGTCGGTGTCGTTATCAAAGACTTGCAGGCCGCCGACGTCGTCTTGCATCAATAGTGTTACAAACCCTATATACACCACAGCACACACAAAATTAACTATATATAAGCCAGCACCACCCACGTGCACGGAAACCTACCAAAATCCGTATGCGCATTAATCCCCCTCTCGCCATCATCCCCCCCCTCCCCCGCCACGGGCTCCTGCGACGGATAATACAGCATCTTGACCGTCGCAACAGGGTCCGTGGCAAACCCCTCGAAATACCCCTCCTGCAGCCCCAGGCCCAACGCCAGCACCCGCAGCACGTCGTTCGCCAGCCCCAGCGCCGCTGCGAGATACGTGTCGACCGTGGTGCGGAAGGCAGCGGGGTTCGTGACGCTCGCCGGGTACAGGTTGGGCCCACAGGCGGCGTGCTTGGCCTGTACGTAGCGGTGGTCGGGCTGGTAGTCGGGGCCGAAGTCTATGCTTTCTTTGAAGTCGGGGCGGAGGCTGCCGGAGAAGGCTTGGCTGCGGAAGGTTTCGTAGCCGCGGTGGTAGTCGTTGAGGTCTAGGTGGTGGTTAGTGAGTGGGCTGGGCTGGGCTGGCTGTGAAGTGAGGTGGGGGGCTAACTGGCATCGACTTTGAGTTTTTCCTCTATGGGGAGGGCAAAGAACTCGTGGGCTAGTGTGAACATGGCGTCTTGGAGGGTGGCGGGGACGGAGTGGTTGATGATCTGGAAGAAGCCTTTGTCGAGGCAGGCGGCGCGGACTTGGGCGACGAGGTCCTCACGGGCTGTGGGGTCGGTGCCGTAGAACGCTGTGGTTCGAGGTTAGTGAATTATAGTGATGTAGGCGGTGATGATGCACAGAGGGTGGGATTGGGAGACTCACGCGCAAAGTCGATAATCGGCGGTGCTTTTGCTTTTGTGTTTGCCATCTTGTCTGAGTGTAAGGCGGGTGAGATAGTTTGTTATCTTCAGAGTTCGTTTGAAGCCTGAATGAGAAGCATGGGGGAACTTGCATTGCTTATAAGTATGATGAAAGGGGTGTGGGCCAGCCTGTTTGATGCGTCATCGTGCGTCGGGCTTGACCGGAGAAGAGATGTTGTGTGGCCAATCGGTGGTGGAGAGACAGACAGACACGTCAGATAACTACAGAGGATTAATAACGTGTTCTATAGGGGTTACATGTGCGTATGCCATAGAAGCTCTGCGTTGGCAGGCGTGATGGCCGATCATCGCTGCCGAGTGACAGGTCATGATGGAGATGGTCATGGGCGATCACTCGGCCGGTGGATCCTTGCGCTTTCCTGGCTAGTGTGCTTGCAAGAGGCCTTGCGGTGAAAGATTGTAGTCCTCATTTTGTAGTTCAAGTACATACTTCTTGTCGTTGGGGTTGGTGTCAAGTGCAGGCCTTTTCCCGTGTGTGTACATACATGGGGGTAAGATGGAGGGGGGAGAGGGGTGTTTTGCGGGGGTAATTTTCTTCGGGGTGCTTTGCGAATAGATAAACTAGCTCTGAGATGCGTGATTGAAAATGAGATATGAGCTGCGGTTAATATATCAATTTCAGGAACGAGCACAAGCACCGAATATAAAGTTCCACTGAAGAACCTGAAGCGCTAATAACAGCGCAAACACGACAGCTATGTAATTCGATCTTACTAGACAACCCGAGTGATATTCCATGACTACATTTCCATCCAACGAAAATTACAATCCTATAAATCAGTCCTTCAGTGACAGGGAATACGTTATCTATACTCATTTTACTTTGATTGAAACAATTCGTACTTGTAAATCCCAATTTCGGACCCCTGTAAGCTACATGTAGCTTCATTGCGTGGAAATGACCGAACGGCATCTATAGTGCGAATTCTGTCACAAACGTGCATACATGTGTCTTGTTGATTATTGTCGGTCGTTGCTATGTTAAAGTTTCATTGCAAAAGCTAGACGTTGTTCTAAGCTATGTGTACTGTTGTGCTGGGGGAAGTTTGGCCTCTAGATTTCTAACTATAAAGAGAGGGTTTTCGCTCTCTCTCCTTTGCATCATTCATAATACATTCTTCGCTCTTCGGCTACACTCTTTCAAAGTATCTCAGAAAACACGTCTCACCAGTTGATCTCGCAGAACGTATATATCCAGGACAGGTCTCCTCCATTAAAGCCAACACTGCTACAATCTAATTGTGCCATCAATCACGGGGCGCGGCCTCCTCCTCCTCCTCCTCCTCCTGCACAATGTGACTACCTCCCAGAACCTGCTCCAACACCTGCATACCCGCCAGAACCTTCTCCTCCTGCAACCTCCTCCCAACAACCTGCAGTCCCACGGGATGTCCATGCATCAGCTCCGGGTCATCTGCCATCCATTAATCAGCACACGCCGTCTAGTTTAGCCACAGCACAATGGATCGGAAGGGCGGCATACACATCTCCCAATTAGTCCTATCCAACTCGCTCCTACCCTCATACTCCTGCACGGGATCCTTTATTTTATCCACAAAGCCAGCAGGGACAACACCCGCCGTATAATCCAGCACATTCCACACCTTCGTATACCCCACCCGCCCGCACCTTTCATGCGGCACCGCCACATGCGACATAACCGGGGACAAGACCAGATCCACCATCCTCCCACTTCTCGACAGTGCTGAGGAGGCGTTCCATTTGTCGAGGTAGGCCTTCTGGCACGCCCATTTGCGCTTGTTCAGCTGCCAGTACTCGTACACGGAGATGGCGGGGCCGCAGCTAATGAGCTTAGTAACATGCGCGATGGGCGGTTCGCCGCTAGCCTCAAGCGCACGCCGGATATCTTCGCCGCCATCGGCGGCATAGAATAGGTCCTGCCTGCACCATCAGCGTTTTTTTATCCCCGAAAGGACCCAGCTGGTTATACCGCGGTCGTCATGGCCTCCAAGTGGCCGTCGGGTGCCCACTCCACCACTTCGTGGCCTGCCGCTTGCAGACAGGCCACAGCGTGCTCAAGCACCCGCTTGATGGGTGGATGCACACGTATCACACCGTCGTCCCGTAATACGCCAAACACCAGTTTTCGCTGTAGCGTGTCCTGGTACACGTCCTCCCTCCATGGGATGGGGGCGACTTTGGGGTCGAGGTTCCATGGCTCGGCGTCGAGTACCGCTTTTGTGATCATCTTGAGCGACGATATGGTGCGTGCCATGGGGCCAATTACCGAGGGGATGTGTTCCTGCCCTTCGGTACTCACCACCACGCCCTGATACGGGAGTCTTGTGCTCTGCCCCCCCAGCCACAGGAATTAGGTCACCGCAGTAGCCATGGGGGAGGGGACAATATGCTATGCTCGAACACTCACACTAGGCTTCAACCCGTACGTGCCCATCAGCGCGCTCGGGATCCGTATACTCCCGCCAATATCAGTCCCCCACCCCACCAGGCCCCCACACATGAACAGATTGGCCGCCTCGCCGCCCGAGCTCCCGCCCGGCGTGAGCGCGATGTTGCGCGGGTTGAAGGTGCAGCCAAAGATGTTGTTCTCGGTCTCGCACCACATTATGCTCTGCGGGACATTGGTCTTTGCGAATATGATTGCGCCGAGGGAGGCGAACATCTCTGTGAGGACGGAGGGTGGGAGCGTGGAGGCGTTGCCGATATAGGAGACGTAGCCGATGGTGGTGTCGCTGCCGGGGACATGGAATTGGTCTTTGACGGTTATGGGCAGGCCGTGGAGGGGCCCGCGGTGGGCGGCGGGGAGGGCGTCGAGTTCTGCGGCGCGGGCGAGGGCGGAGGGGAAGAGGGGCTCGGTCAGTGTGTTTGTCTGAGGGGTGATCAATTAATTGCCTTGCCATTGCAATCGCTCTTTAGGGGGGAACTCACGAGCTGTCTAATGATTGTAGATCTTCAAAAAGTATTAGTCCCGACCGCATCAACTCTCACGATCTGAATATGTAGCCTTCACCAACAGCTTCACCAACTCACCGCTTAATGTACGCCGTCACCAGCTCTGTGCAGCTCCACTCTCCACGCCGCAACATATCCAGCACAACCACTGCATCAGGCTCCTCCGTCATCATCTTCTCACGGGCCGTGAGAAACCCATACGCTATACCACCCTCGTTGAAGATATTCGAGATGTCCGTGAGTAGGAGTGCTTTTTTGAACGTTTCGCGTGTGATCAGGTAGGGTTTGTATATTTTCAATAACTCTGCACGCTTGGCCTTGACGCGGTCTTTCCAGTTGGTGCTGCTCATTGCGTGGGATATATATGACTTGAGCTTTCCAGCGGGTGCTCGCTGCGTGCGATATGCTGTTTTCTGGGGCGTTTGTTTGTTTGGAGGTATTGTACTATGATAGCTGTTTTGCAGGATGAGGTGTGCTAGATATTCAGGGCCCCCTCACTTTTGACGCATTGATCGCACTGCATACATGTATGTACTCTAGCTATCCCTATCCCTGCGATACTCTACCCAGAATACTCTATTCACACGGCTATCCAAGGACGTGAGGGGGGTGTGTGTGTGTGTCTGTTCCAGAGCCATCAGAAAGTTTTTGATATAGAAGAATCGAGTCTCGAGCCTTGGAGAGGAAAAGAGATCGACCCTCGACTCATTCTCTTCCTCCCGATTTATCTTCCTCTTCCTCGCTTAGAGCCACCTAGCGTCTCTTCTGCCCAGAGGAGTGTGGGGGAGAGAAGCCTTACTCTAGTTAACTACAAGTCTACAACTCGGACGTGAGACGTGGGGACAGCCAGGGCAAGACGTGGGGTAGCGACACGCAGCGTTTCCCGCAACAACCCAGCCAATGGAAATGATTGATCCGCAGCTAAGCGTGCCCGGGTGGAACATCACCTTAGACAACAACCACAGCAGCAGAGATAGGAAAGTCTTTGGGGGATAATTAACAGCTCATGCGGGTCCCCGGGTCTTGTAAATTAATATAGTACCAGACTGACCACGTATTCTGTTCTGCTACAGACGTCCATCCCCGCTCTGTAGTTGCGGTTCGATATCACTTCATGAATTCAGCGGCGCCTGCTTCTTGTCTACTCTACCTATTCCATCTACATTTCTACCTATTCAGACACATTGAGATACTAGTACCTCTTACCTAGCCAGCAAGCTCCAAAACATCCACACCCCACAACCCCACCCGGCCATGACGCCCCAAACCACCGACGTCCTCATCGTCGGCGCCGGCCCCGCCGGCCTAATACTCTCGTACACCCCCCCCCCCTCCCTCCCCCTCCTCCACACACCCCATTCACTAACCCCCCCCTCAGCACGCTCCTAACCCGCCTCGGCATCCCCCTGGTCCACATCGACGACCGCCCACACGCCACCAGCACCGGCCGCGCCGACGGCCTACAACCCAAGACGCTCGAAACACTCTCCCAGCTCCGCCTCCTCACGCCGCTGCTCGAGCGCGGCGTCAAGATCTACGACATCTCTTATTGGAACTCGACGGCGCAGCACGCGCTGCGGCGGACGCGGCGGGAGTGCCATTTCCCCGGGGTCGTGGAGGTGGTGGAGCGGTTTATTTTGATCTGCCATCAGGGGGTTGTGGAGGGGGTGTTGGAGGGGGATGTGGTTGCGCGGGGGGGCGGGGTGGTGAGGGGGGGTGTGTTTGGGGGTATGAGCTTGAGGGGGAGGAGGGGTGAGGGCTTGGTTTGGGAAGGTGGGAGGGGAGGAGGGGAGGTGAGGAGGGAGGTGAGGGCGAAGTATGTGGTGGGGTGTGATGGCGCGCATAGTGCGGTGAGGAGGTGTATGCCGGGTGCGAAGATGGAGGGGGAGAGTACGGATGTGTTTTGGGGGGTGTTGGACGGCGTGATTGAGACGGACTTTCCGGATCTGTGGAGTAAATGGTGGGTTTTTTCTTGCGGGGTGTGGGGTGTCTGGCGGGGGAGAGCTAGAAGGCGCGAATGTTCGGGGCGGAGGTGCTCCGCGGCCTGGATACTTGCATTATGTGGCGTTTTGCGGCGGACTGGTATCTACTTGCTTACCAGCAAAAGAACCAGAAAATGCAAGTGACGGAGACAAGGATAGTTTGTATAAGAGAACGGCACCACCACTCTATGCAAACCATCCCTACCCGCCTCTACTGCAGTTTCTAGTTCTTTTGCTTGTAACCAAGCACCATGCCTGTAAGCTTTCGGGATGAATTGACTGACCTCCAATGGCCTGGGCCCACAGCGCAATCGCCACGCACGACAAAGGCACAATCCTGTGCATCCCGCGCGAGCGCGGCATGACACGACTGTATATCGAGCTCAGCAACGGGAGCAAGTCGGAGGCGACGCAGGAGTTTGTCATGGCGCGCGCAAAGGAGATCATGGCGCCGTTCAGCGTCGAGTGGAGGAGCGTCGAGTGGTTTGGGGTGTACCAGAGTCAGTTCTTGCATCCTCTCGCTGGTGTTTGAGATGCTGATGTAGCGGGTGGATGTGACAGTCGGACAGCGGATAGCTAGCACATTTAGTGACCGCGGCCGTGTGTTTATCGCCGGCGACGCAGCGCACACACACTCGCCCAAGGCCGCCCAGGGTATGCTCTCTTCTCGATGTCAATGATAATAGTAACAACAACCCTAACCCTACCACTCCAGGAATGAACGTCTCCATGCACGACACCTTCAACCTCGCCTGGAAGCTCGCCTTCGTACTCAAAGGCCTCTCCCCTCCGAGCCTCCTCGACACCTACATCCACGAGCGCCGCAAGATCGCCGAAGACCTCATCGCCTTCGACCACGCGCACGCCACCGCCTTCACAGGCAACGACGCCGCCGCCCTCGCCGCAAACTTCGCGAAGAACATCCGCTTCATCTCTGGCGTCGGCGCCGACTACGACGCAAACGCACTCAACCGCCCGCTTGCCAGCGGGCTCGTGTGCGGCCTCGTGCCCGGACAGCTGCTGACCCCCGCGAGGGCGACGAGGTATGTAGATGCCAACCCCGTCGACGTGCAGCGCGACATACCGTGGCTGGGGCAGTGGCGGGTGTATTTCCTGACCGACGAGTACCACGCCGCGCGGCCGCTGCTGGAGGGGCTGTGTGCGGCTGTTGAAGCGCCGGGTCACGTCCTTGCGCGGGCGGCGGCGGCGTCGGCTGCGGGGGGCGTGCTGCGCGCGGGGTGGGTGGCGGGCGACGAGTTTGTGCAGCCGGGGCGGTATCTGCCGGGTGGGCAGCAGGTGGTTAGTTATTCGCTTGTTACGAGGACGCCTCGGGCAGCCGTGGAGCTGGAGGAGATGCCGGGGCTGGTGAGGGGGAATCGGTGGGCTGTGTATGTGGATGATCTGGGCGAGGGCGTATCGCCGGTGGGAGGTGGTGCGGGAGGGTTGGAAGGCGGGGGGTTGAAGGGCGGGGAGGTGTTGGTGGTGTGTGTTAGGCCCGATGGGTATGTCGGTGCGGTGGGCGGACGGTGGGCGGGGGGCGGACAGGCGGCGGAGGCGGCGGAGTGGCTGGAGGCGTATTTTAGTGGCTTTTTGGTGGGGTGAGTGTGGGTTAGGGTTAGACCGTAGTTGACGATTTGTGTTTGAGTTAAGTATTGTTCTTTTACCGTTGTAGCGATTGGTCTTAAGCTTTCTGGCTATTCAAGTAGCGATTTGGGTTGGCTTTGGGCTAAGCATTATACTTGCTTTTTTATACTGCTTTTTTTTTTTTGGCAGGTTTTTGTGGGTAAGAATTATTACACACAAGCCGGCACGTACGATATGGCTGAATTAGACTATTTAGAGTACTGCACACAATCGTGATCTTGATCGCAATCGGTAATCTTAAATTTTGCATACCCCGGATTATTACTTGTAGCTATATAAAAGTGCCGGCCGCCGGGTGTACCCAGAGTACTGCGAGTACCGCGGGGATGTCTAGACGTACGGTTGACAAAAAAGAAATATAGATGACATGGTAGATCGAGGTGGGAATAAGGGGAGAAGAAGAAATATGCCTATGTGGTGAATTGGAGGAAGGGGGAAAAAAGTAAAGAAGAGGTAAAAAGTAAACCACCGGTAAAAGAAGAAAAAAGAAGTAAACCAGTAAAAAGATTTTGAAAATGAAGAAAAAAACGAAGTAAACCACCAACCAGTAAAAAGAAGTAGAAAGAAGTAAAAAAAAAAACCCCCCCACCCAAGAAGTCCGTAAAAGAAGAAACCCAGTAAGCAAACATCAAAAAAAAATTTAAACCCAGTGAAAAAAGTCATCAGAAGAAGCAAAAAAGTTAAAAGCCAGTAAAAAAAAAGTCATCATCATCAGAAGAAGCAAAAGTTAAAACCAGTAAAAGAAGAACAAACAAAAACACCAAAACGAGAAGAACCAGCAGATAGTTTGAAAAAAAAAAAGAGCCCTAGAGTAGCAAGTAGTAGCTAGCAAAGAAACCAGAAGTAATCCCCCCGAAACGTAGTACCAACGCCCTCAAAATGCAAAACCCTCATTTCATCCATTTCCCCAGCCCCATCCGAAAAAAGCCGCCCCCCATCCCAACCCAGAAAAAAAAAAGACGCCCCCCACCAGTACCAGACAAGGCGCGCAAAAAAACCACCTCAAAATTCAAGCAGCACCTAAACCATCCTACTCCTCGACTCCACCTCCCACGCCGCCACGCCCGCCCTCTTCTCGCCCCCTAACCCTCAAACTACCCGTCCACCTCGGCACCGGAACAACAACAAAGCCGTCGTCGTCGTCGTCCTCCGCGCTGCTCTCGTAGTCGTACGAGTCGCCGTAGAGCCGCTTCTCGATGTAGCGCCGCTGCAGCTTGCGCGGCGTCACGTAGGAGCGCAGCTTGCGCATGAGGCGCTTGGGGCCCGTGAGGTGGGAGTGTGGTGAGCGCGGGGAGCGCGGGGAGCGTGGTGAGAGTGGTGAGTGCGGGGAGGAGGGGGGTTGCTGGTGCTGGCGGCGGGGGAGGGTCAGGCTGAGAGAGACGGAGCTCATGCTGGGGGTGAGACGGAAGGACATTGTTTTTGGTGTGTTTGGTTTTGATGAAGGAATGGCGAGGGTGGTGATTAAAATGTTAATGGGGTTTGACTGGGCCAGCGCAGTCACGCTCAGTCAGTAACTCAGCCTGAGCGATGGATGGTGGTTGACGTTTGACCGTTGGTGGTTTGTGCGCGGAGAAAGAAAGAAAGGAAGAGTTTCGCACAGAAGATTCCAGTGAGTGCTTTTAGACCGTTTAGCGTAAGTTTAGGCTTTGTAGCCTTTCTATGTAGCGGGCTGCTAGCTGGGGGCTATATATAGCGTGTAGATGGTAGATGGTGGACGTACGTAAGTGTGAGATATTGATATTCTATGGGCGCTCAATAGAATTTATATCAACTCTTCTTCCATCCACTCTTCCTCCAGCCTCCCGTCTGCCCCGCCCTCTCGCTCGCCTAGCTAGCTAGGCCGTCTGCAGAGTGTAATTGCGCAAGATGGAATCCGAGCAGTGCAAGTGCAGCAATTCTAGTAGGCAGACGTTATAGATATTGGCAACGTTTGGCTGGGCTTAAATGAGGCGAGGTTTCTTTTTGTGTGCGCAAGCAAGGCGATGTAGTACCGTCGATTCCGATTCCCGGCGCCGATTGATGTTTCTTTTTTTTCTCTTTTTTTTTTTTCTTTCTGGATTCCGTGCCGAAATGAAGAAAAAAAAAATTTTTTTCTTCGGCTCCAGGTACAGTCGACAGCCATTTCTTTAAATTTGGGGGGGGGGGGCGGAATAAACTTTGATGAATGATCGACGCGGCGGTGTGCAAATTCTATTAGAGTACATGTATGTTCCTCTCTCTCGTACGTTGACGTTGTTGTTGTTGTTGTTGCTTGCTTGTATTACCCCAGTCCAGGCTGGCAGGCATTGTGACAGGCCGAGTGAGAGCCTGTGATTCGCCCCTACGTGGGCCAGTTTCAACGGCCGACCAGATCTCCGCGGTGGGAGAGCGACGCTGGCGCCATAGATCGGGGTGGCAGTACATCGCGGGGTGCGGATAGGCAGGTACGGCGCCGACGTTATTCGCGGTGGATAAATAATGTTCCGATGTAGATAATAGTCCGGGCCAACTAGCTAGATCTAAAAGTTGGCAAGTTTATACTAATAGCTTTAATTCTAGATCTGGAAAGAGTATAACAGTATTGATCGAAACTGTCCCCCTGGACAGCCAATCGCAGCGTGCCTTGGCGGGCTCATGTGTGCGTGTGCCTTCCAGGGTTGCTCTTTTCCGGGCATGTGCAGGGGTGGGGTTCTAGATCTCCAATGTACATGAGTAAACATTCTTTGTACGACCTGCATGCTGGCTACTTACATCGCTCAATCGCGAGGAACGTTTGACTTCATTGTTTATCCCTTTCTCACGACTTTATCTGACCACACCACTCGACGTCGCGGGGCTGAAAGGGGCGAAAGTATGGTGCTGATGCATTCATTAATGGACAACTATGCATTCTAGCTCAAGTCATGCGATTGGAGGAACGGGGGTCTTGCATGTGACTGGAGGGAAGGAAAATAGCTTTTAGAGTAATGGACATGCACAGGCTTTTCTGGCAACGTCATCAGCATCCGATTGACATATTGGGATCTCTCCACTTTCGAGCCACTTCAAACATCTTCGCCATCAGATTACGTCTTGGCCACCACCATTGAGGAGGCTTCTCGAATGTGGAAGGGCAGCCTTGGAGCTTCTCTGTTTGCAATATGTCCGTTCGCGGGGAGGTTCTATTGGAGGATGCTCAAAGATGCATAAACAGATCATAATAATAATGAGTATAATATAGAAGCCTAACCTATTCAAGATATACGAGTGCTGACATCAAAACTGAACAGGTTACAAGACTCACTTTCTCCCTATTACCCCTTTTCGCCATCAAACTCGCCATCAATATCAATGGGTCAAGGATTAATCGAGTCGAGCCGAGCTCCCGGAAATCACTCTTGACCGGCGGGAGAGTGGGCTCCGAATGTCGGGCCTTCTTCCTTTATGTAGATTTTCCGCTGAGCAAATATACATCAACCCAGCCTTTTTATTGGCAGTCTAATCAGATCAAGACAATCAGCAGCTAGTAGCTTATAGCTGACTCAAATCCAAAACGATACCCTTAATTGCAAAGTCGCCTCACCCCGGCTCAGATCTCATGGATCGTATTACTTGTCTGACAGGATTAAGGACAGGCGTCAGAAAAGAAAAAAGAGGACCCACAATGCGGGCCTTTTAAGGGCGGGTCGGCCTCTGATTTGCTCCCCGAAAATTGCCCGCGACCAACCCCTGCCACTCAGCTCACATATTCGCAAATTCGCCTTGTCAGGGCGTGGGAGGCTCTTATTAAGTGTCCCGCATCAGGTCAAGTGATGCTCATGTTCGAGCACACACTGTTGTTCTCATGGGTTATCCTTCCCTCTTGTCCGTACTGTGCGCATGCGCTTGTGATAACTATAGTAGCTACATAGCGGAACTCCATACATCCTCCGCAATCCGGCATATAGGGCACCGGCTACTACTAAACCGATGTCAGCTGCACGACGGCGGGTGGGGAGGAGGGGCTACAAGACTCCCCCGGATTCGCTACTCTGGCAATCCCAGTAGATACATGTTCTGCTTTAAAATCTGCCGCAATGTTGGCTATGTCTCGATAAGAGGTTCCACAAGGAGGAGACAATCAACAATTTGGTGGAGTTGATCCTGGCTGGTAAGGCTTTCCATGCTTCATATGTGTTGTGCGCAGGGTATGGTAGGAGCTATTGATGCATATATTTAGTGGCTTACAGTATAAAACCGTGTTATATAGGCCAGCGAAAGGGCTCTTGTTGAAGGTTTCGTCATGTCAAGCCTAAAGAAGAATGGTTCAGGGAGCGCTCAAGTACCACAAACCGGGTGCGGTACACTATGAAAAAATTGACAAGATTAGCGATTTTAATGACTAATGATGAAACTGGGGATAATTCAAGTGAAGAGAATCAAATAAATGATGAGACGTGGTAATTGTGATATCGGCAATTGCAAGTATAGCCCTTTTTCTTCTGAAGTTACACTTTATCCTATTCTCAGTACTGACAGATCAGCTCGCCCCTAGCTTTATCAGATTTACTTGGGCCTTGTCGATTCATACTGTCAGTCAATACGACACCGATCTGCACCCGAGATATCCATTGCCCGGGGGTTATTCGGGTAGTCTGTAGACGCCCTAGTCGCCCGTCAGCAGTAGTATTTGGAATCGGATATATCGAGTGATGTTTCGTGACTAGTCTAATCACGTTGGCCGAAAATTGATATATGTACCGGGTGTTGAGGGTAAGTGATCAGAATCTGATAAGTGAATGTTGCGGTGAATACATGTATTTGTCTTATCAGATTCTGATCACTTTTCGCTACACCCTAGTACAGCTATCGGTAAAATTATTGCAGAAACAGAGACCAACAATCACACCAAGAGCAGGACGATTTTCCAACGCCACATTTCCGCAATAATTCTACCGATAGCTGTATGTTAACCTTGTTCAGATATAGAGCGCAATAGTTGACCGGCATAACATGGGGGATCGACATCGTCTGTTGAAAACAGACCAGACCCGAAACCTGGGGAATTACATTAGGCAGGAGAAGTTAAAATGATATTCTCCAGCAGGCTTATCTGGACAGAAACATGCAAGCAACACCCCCGGGCGGAAGCGCTAATCTTTGCTGCCAAGAAGTACTAGCATTTGCACTAAGCTAAGTACACAGACTCCGACGAAAAAAAAGGAAAGAAACCTGGGGAAGCACGGCCGGAAACATATTCCATCTTCTTATTCGCAGGCATCTTTTCCTCATAAGGAGCTAGCTTATTGTTACACCACCGGTCTTGTAGAGACAGAAGAGGAAGGGCATCCCAATCTCAGTGGTTAAGGCTTTTTTCCACTTTTCTAGCGCACTATTACATAAAAGTCCCTTGAACGGTACGGGTTCTAGCTGGGTACAACTTTCACCTGTCGAGTAGTGTTCTCGGCGTGGTGTGCGGTGAAATTATATGCCGAAAACCTCGCTGCGCCAGTATCCTCGAGGAGGGGGGAGCCATCAACTCCGAAGCTGACCTACCGGAAGTATAGTTTCTCCGGCCGTCCGGTTGTTTTGAATTTGCTAATTGGGGTTAATCTCCTTTGTAAAAAGTCTCTGCAACGCACTGATGATGCTAACCTACTCTGGTGGATCATGAGTCGTACGATTTGTCGAATTCGATACGAGGCGTCCGTCACAGCTAATCCTTGCTGGGATTGGGAACATTTCAAGCCTTTACCACGTTTTCCTCTGCTAGGCGAATCTCGGCCCTGGGTAATTCAATCCACCCGGAGTGGTGGGTTTTATGGAAATAAAGTTTAGCCTTCTGAATAGAGTTCTGTAGGTGAGCTCAACGTGGACTGAACATGGGCATAGGTCTCTGGAATATTGATAAATTCAATTTCTTGTGGGGCCTATATCAAATCAAGCCGAAAGTTGATATGAATACCCATTGACCCCAGGTATCAGTTATATATATGTACCGAGCAGCATGAGGGGGACCGTAGGACGAGGATGAATCGGATGATAAAATAACAGTAATCCTCCCCCGGATAGGACGAATTCCTGGGGTTTCCGGTAATAGGGATGAGATTTGAGGGGGGGAAGCTGACTCTCTGAGAAGTAGTTATGGTCTGAGCTGGTCCGTCGTCTCGGACGGTATTAGCTCGGGCGTGTTTAGGATATCCAAAGAAACTTGCATAACATACACGAGTTCCTAGCTAGCTAGCTGCTAGGGAGGGAGACGAGCTCCGATGGCCTATCGTTAAGTGGAATCTTAGCAGATGTTCTAATGCAAGGTTTAGGCAAACCGTAAGATAGTAACAATTCGTGATCGTGATGAGGGGAAAAGGCAAGAAGTGCCAGGTAGAGAGATGGGATGTGTAATTGAGGTGTTTTTTCCTTGGCACGTGAGTTTTCGCTTTTTCTCGATAGTGGGTACCTTTACTGTCGGAGAATATCTGAGGGTGATACGTGCAATATAAAGGCCTATTAAGTGTAAACATGTACTGGAAGCCACTTCCCCAATCTTTCCCACCCCCACTTCCACATGCACCCCCCCCCCCCCTTTTCCTCTTCTTCCCCCAACCAAAGGGGCGGAGACCTGGAAGAATTGTATATCGATAATATAGCTCGGGCTTCTTCTCGGGCCAGCTGAGCTAAGCGACTCTGGGGAAAAAATGTTTCCGCTTGATAGCAAGTACGTATCGCGCGTGTGTTCAAGGCCCGTACTAGCTAGCCTAGGGACAGAGCAAATGCCCAGTCACTAAAAAAAACCCATGGTTAAACGAGCGCGAGGTGCATACATAAGACGACGACCCAATGCTCTGGAACAGTCTACGTTATGTGTCGTACCGTTAGGGGGGAAAAGCCACTTACATGTGGGACGGGGGTTGATTGGGTGGCCGGTCGTGGTGGTGGCCATGGGTGGTGGGTGACGAGCACAGATTGTCTAGGTAAAAGGGAAGGCCGCCAACTTACATGTAGAGGTACGGTAGGGTACCTATAAGACGTGTAGATCATCAATGCTTTCCCAGGGTCTGTTTTGTTGTAAGGACATGATATTGTAGGCTCTACTTACTTGCTCTCGGGGGTAGTAGGGATCGAGGAAAAATGAAGAGAGGGAACTTGCATTATAATTTGTATGCTGCCATGTATGTAGTACATACCTGTACCTAGTACATAGTAGAATCCCCGTTGAGTAGAGTAGACTACTACCTACTAAGGCAGTAGAGTACTACTCTCTCGCTGGAGTTGACTTTCTGGACACTAGCCACGCGAGCCCCACAATTTTTTGCGCATTTATCAAAGCCCGCCCTGTTTCGGTTACATAACTGTAACGGCCCTTTTGACCGTTCAATTTTCTTTTCTGGCAGCATCTAGCTAGCTTAGCAGCAAGCAAGCAAGCTCGCAATTGCCGGCCCTTGCACACACAAGCACCACCAAGGCAAAGAGGTTTGCGGCCGGGGGGATGCGTAGTTATAGAGTAAGAGTAAAAGTACCTCAAGATAGGTACTCGTAGGTAGAGTACTAGGGTGTAGCGAAAAGTGATCAGAATCTGATAAGACAAATACACCTATTCACCGTAACATTCACTTATCAGATTCTGATCACTTACCCTCAACACCCGGTACTAGGACCTTGTTATTCTGCGTTGACTATTGGCTGGGTGGGCGTATTTCCTTATCGCCAGCTAACTAACTTGCTTGGCCCACCACCACCGCCACCGCCGAGGTAGATTGCGAGATGTGAGTAAGTGAGCTCTGAAGGAAGAAGGAAAGGTTGCATCCACAACCCACAAGGCTGTGGAGGAGCAGGAGGGGAAGCCGGGAAATAATGAGGATTTGCACGGGTGGGTTGCTACTCTACTCTAGCTACAGTCCTATACTATACTGAGCTAGGTAGCTGGGTATCATCCAGCCAGCCACCTTGAATTACTGGTACTGTGCTACTATGTAGGCAAATGTAGGTACGTATTGGCATGGCATGGCATGGGGAGAGGAGGGGGAGGGGGGGCGAGGCTTCTCGTTCCTTTCATTATCCCTTCCTTTCCTCCTCCCCGTCCGTTGTTCCCTTGAATTCCCTCCGCCCAACGTTTACCCTGAATGTCATGCATGTAGGTATTATGTACATCTATGTAGGTGCATGTATGTGATTAACCATCACCTCCACCGTCGATGGGGCTTGAGGCTTGAGGGGGTGGTGCTGCTGCTAGGTTTATTGATTGATGATTGTGCACGCCTCTCTGAGTGAGATTTTCTCGGACTGGCTGCTGCTCCTGCTGGCTGGCCTGTCGTATATTATGCAGCAGTATCCCCGTAAAATTGAATATTATTTCACAATGTCCATCTGTACACCTGTCTAGTCCTAGATATTCCCGAGTCTCTGGTTCATGTCAGCCAAGTGAGTGAGTTGCTGTGTCTTGGTACCCTCTAGGAAAGAAGAAGCACGAGCAGCAAAACGGCAGCTCCGAGTAATCATTCGCAAATCGAATCGGGGGGATACGTACCTGTCAGTCTGTTTTACATGTACCCTATCTCTCTCTAGAGTAACTTCTGACAGCTCCTTTTTTCATTCTTTTTCTCTTGCTCACTTTTTATTTTTTTGGGCTCTTCTCTCCTCTTTTCATCCCATCCCCCCATCCCCCCATCCCCCCATCTCCATCCAATCTATTCACCCCCATCCTTCCATCCTTCCATCTACCCTTCCACCCCTACTCTAGAACGGTAGGAAATTACATACATATTACCATTAGCCTACAAATTCTCCTCCTCTACCTCGTCCACCACCACCCACACCCCCTACCCCCCCTGTCAAGAGGGTGTAAACACTACCTCCATCTTACCTACATACCGACATACCTACAGCTACCTCTGTATACCAAATGGCAGAGAATATGCAGTCAATATTCAAGCAAAGACCCCCACGGAAGTTCTTCTGCGACTTCCAGGACTGCGGAAAATCCTTCACGAGGGCAGAGCATCTCCAAAGGCATGAGCTGAACCACCGTGACTCACCAAACACCTGCGCTAGATGCTCCGCACATTTTGCCCGGCCGGACCTATTAGGTAAGCTTATATTTTTCGGAACTATTGATATTATTTATGATTTGCTTTGTTTTGTTTTGATAGACTGTATTTCCACTTGTTGAAATTCAGTATAACCTATCTAGACTAACTTAGGATGACCTTGGCCGGTGGAACAGAAAGACATATGGAACGGCATGCGCAGAAGGACAAGGAGGCAGGTGGGGAAGGGCTCGGAATCTTGGTCACGAGGAAACGGTGCTGGCGTGACGAAAACGGGAATATCACAACGAAGCGGCCGGCGTCGAGTATGGCCGCCGTTGGGAAGGCTCTTGAAGCTCAGCTGCAGAGGAGGGCCGACAGCAGTGATGATAGTTGTTCGAATGATCCGAGATCTCCTGCGCACGCTGGACCATCGACGTTGAGCCAAAAACGGAGGGATATGAGTGCTGCCCACGAGGAGAAGGTTGTCGATAGTACGGGCTTCCGGGGGTTTGAGACGTATGAGCAGCTGGAGGGGCAGGGCCGGAATTTGCAGAGTGGTAACTTCATCCTAGCTCCGGTGGCCGAGCAACAACCGGGTTATTATTTAGGTCACACTCTGCCGGAGGAAACCCCTGCAGTTATTGATGGGACCCTCAACCAGTATCATGGGAGTTATGATCCCATCTTTGAAGCGAATACAGCACAGAGCTTGAATATGCCTTTTAGCGGTGGTTACAATTGCGATTGGTATTATGAAGGAGACATAGGACAATCGGGAGAAGCTCAGGAGAACATTGACACGGCCTTGAATCGGGATATGAGGACGGGTCACATTAGCACACCTCTCCGAGTGGGGCCGGGCTACATCGAAGGCCCGGGATTGCTAACAACAACGGATGAACAATACACTAGTTTTTCGGCCCAAGTTCACCAAGCAGTCCACCCACCACCACAGCAACAGCAGCAGTTTATCAAACCGGAGTTGCCCCAGGGTGATGTAGTTTTCGAACCGCACTTCTGTTTCTCAAATGGCCCAACGATCGCCATCTCGGCGGCCCCGAGCGACCCTTGTACCGACGGCGCAATTCCTCCTCTTTTGAAACACCGGCGAAGTGCACGGGTTGCAGAAAATTCCCAGCTACTCCAACAAAGGCATGTTACGCCACCATCAACTCAATCTTTCCAAATTTATTCAAGTTATTCAGGACCTTACTGTACCCAGACCAATTTTATACCCGAAACCCCGACCATCTCACGGAACCCCTCCATATCCAAACATCAGATCAGCGAGGCCACACGGAAACGAATCCTCGAGTTCATAATACGGGCAACGACATGTCCTGACACCAAAGAATCACCTTTTCAATGGGAAAACCCACTGCTCGCTCTCTCCTCTCTCCAGAATTATCTAGACCTATCATTTAATCGGTTTCACCCATCAAATCCAACGCATCCACCGCTCTATCAGTACTCTTTTAATCCAAATTCGGCCCATACCATGTTATTGATTAGTATGATGATGTTGGGCGGATTAAACATTAATAAGGAGATACAATACTTGAGTCACATAGTTTATTACCTGCTGATAAGAATATTAGTAGATGTAAGTTCTCCTCAATTATACCATTGGAGATCTTTCCATTTGAAAACGGGCTCGAAGAACTAACCTAGGAGGAAAGTCTGGCTACTTTCATGCTACACCTCATGAGCCATGGGTACAGCATACAGTTTGGTTCCTTAAATCGTTTAGAGATGCGGAGGCTGGGTTTAACCAGTATGATCTGGCGCAAAAATTTACTGGAATGTTGATTAATCTATAGATCGTTTGTTTCTTCATTTGCTTTTTCCGTTTATTTCCCATTTCTTTACGGGGAGTGGGTGACTTTCGGCCGTCCGCCGAATGAAATGTGCCGAGAATTGACCGTAGCCGTTGAAACAGCTCGAAAAGAGAAGTAATAACCAGTCGAGTCGCACCCCTTGGACCATCTGATAGAACCTTGACCAGAGATTGGACCGTTGAGCGAAGGGAAAAAAGAAAACACAATCGTTCATTGGGCCAAAATATCGATCCTCCAGCGGCTGCTCATGTACGCCGCAGTACACGGGCACCGCGTACCGTATTCTAACACAGGGAGTGTGCAGACACACTATTTGCTTTCTTTTGTACAACATAACCTACCTACACATCTTACTCTACCTACTTCTCAATATTCCTTCTGCACGTCGGACTTTTTCGATCTGCCGCGTCTTCGTCGTTGTCATTGACTCCCATGAAACTCTGCAACGTGGAAAGAAATTCACCGACGGTATGACGCACCGCCAAAAAAAGGCTGGGCGGCGGGAGGTCATTACTACATGTATGTAGCCTTGAGCTGCTGGGCTGCTGGGCTGCTGCTGCCTTCTGCCTTTGTCCCTCCAGTAACTACTCTCTGAAAATTCCGGGGGCTCAACGGCTTATTCGGATTTCTTCTTTCTCACCACCTACCCGCCTAGAACATGCATGACACGGAACCATACCTAAGTAATATCTCAAACACTCCCGCATGTAGGTTTAGCCCAGAAAGGGATCTAATAAGCTTTCTCTCCTACCAGGTAAAAGAGAAAGGCCGAAAACCACTCCATCTTATCCTCCCCAGTAGCTTCCGCGTAGTCAGTCAGTCAGTCAGCGAATAGGTTCATTGAGAGAACGACAATCCTGCACCTTGGCGGCTACCATTACCGCAGCTTACGACGCCCCAAAAGGGACTCACCCCCTCCCATTAAAAGCCCCCACCCCTCCCCAACCATCATGCCTGCGCAGCCGCCTGCACTGCCGTTTTTATTTTATTTTATTCATGCATCTTTAATTTTCTCACCGACCGATCCCGTCTGTCGGAGATAGCCCTGTATTTCTCTGTTCCACCACGGATTTTTTTTTTGATTTTTTTTTACCATTGCCGATGATGACCCCTCTCGGCCGATTGCGATTCTCGCTCGGCCTTCGGGGTTGGTGAGGGCGCGGACCGATATAGCCGCTGCGGGGGACCGGGCTGGAATCCCGCTTTGAGTGATCAGTCCGTCCGATCTGTGACTGGGCTACCGCCCGTTATGCACGATGATGGAGTTTCCTTTTGTTTTGTTCTGATTGCCGATGCCTCAAATATTTGTGTGTATGTTCTGGTTGGTGGATTTACGTGGTGGTGGTGAAGAATAGTAGAGATGAGGGATTTTGTGGATATACGATGGGAGGTGTAAAATTGAATAGAGTGATGTAGTTGACCCATAATGAGCCGCGATGGTGCCTATAATAGTCGACAGTTCACTAGTGCGGTTTCAATTGCGGGGGAACCTGGTTAAGAAACAGTATGTGACAACTTTCATGTGGGATTTGGTTCCAACAGGGGAGTTCCATGAATTGTGAACTATGGTACGGGGTGTGTCTGCAACGCTTGGGGAGTGATTCTATGTCATTTGTTTAGTAATCCGTGTCAAACCCAAAAGCAATATATCGAACAACGGAACCTCTGCTTACTGTGGTAGTTATGGTGGTTGATAGTTGATCATGCATGTCGCTGGCGCGAGGGAATAACATTTATCCCGAGTGATATCGTATGACGGAGTGGTTGTCGGCTAGAGCTGCAAAAAAAGTATGGCTTAGCCCGTTAGCCGTTGTGAGGTTTCGATCTTTCCCTGGATGAACCAAATTATGACATGACCTATATATATGCAACCTGGTTTTATATCGTTCAACTGTGGAAACGAAAGCTTCTTTTGTTCAGCAGACAAGGCTCAACGTGGTACATGGATGGCTGGGGAGGCACGGTTACCTATCGATAAGCCTCAGAGCAGGGATGAGCGCACTATCCCCATTTCGGTCTCGAGACAATGCATAGCTGATTGATCCTCAACATGATAGACATCGCGCGGAGCGGGTCGATAAGAGAGGAAGGGGTAGTAGCGTTGAGTATCAAGAATGATTGGTATAAATCGAATCATTTTTCTCTACCTACCACAATTAGAGGGGTAGTCCGGAAGCCTGAGGTGTGTAGATAGTAGGTTCGTAGGCTGGAAGTGGCTTTACGAGAGCTGAACTGTGCAGATGATCTATGATGTTAGCCAACGCCTCCTGTAATGCCGTGCTGTGTTGTAAAGTCTCAAAACCGGGCATCATTTGAATTCCCACTCCCTCTTTATTCCCTTCATGCCTTCGTTTCCCCTTTGCTCAATCGACCCTCTCTAGGTTGTCTTTCACAACAACCATCATACGATACCAATAACTCACGATGTCTTCAGCAGGAGGATTACTGCTACCCATGCCTCCTGCCCCATCTACTGCAGCTTCAGTTCCATCCCCAAACACCGCCACCCCCGTATCTCCCTCCGCAGCTCTAACTCCATTGATCCAACGTACATTCACAAACTCCACACTGACCTTCTGGCTCAATGGCACTAAGCTTTCACTCAACAATGTCGACCCCGAAGCCACGCTTCTTGACTTTATCCGCTCCCAACGCGGACTGAAAGGGACCAAGCTCGGCTGCGGCGAAGGTGGCTGCGGTGCTTGCACAATTGTTGTCCAGCAGCGTAACAGCACCACTGGGAGGATTGAGCACCTGAGCGTCAATGCGTGTCTTGCGCCGGTTATTAGCGGTACGTAACGCTAGCCTCTTTGCCTCGTCGGTTGCTGTCTCCCATTGGCTGACTTGGTTGAATAGTCGAGGGTAAGCACGTGATCACGATTGAAGCCCTCGGAAGCGCAGCAAATCCGCACCCGCTGCAGGAGCGGATTGCGAAGCTGCACGGGTCGCAATGTGGCTTCTGTACTCCGGGAATTGTCATGTCGTTGTATGCACTGCTACGTAATGCGTACGATCCAGAGACTAGGACGTATAGGCTGAGTGAGGAAATGATAGAGCTGGAGGGCGCGTTAGATGGTAATTTGTGTAGGTGCACAGGGTATAAGCCAATATTGGACGCGGCGAAAAGCTTTGTGAAGGAAGACCTTGGTGGAGTTGTGGTAGAAAGCTCCAGGGGAGGGGTGGCGGAACGCCCTGGAAATGGGCTGGGTGGGAATTGGACGGCTTCTCAGGCGACAGGATCGTGTGGGCGACCAGGTGGGTGCTGTAGAGATAAACCAGGGTCGCCATCATCTGACACCTCGAGTGATGTCGATTCGGCTTCTACGGAAATCACGGAGGAATCAAATGGGGCACCAGTATCGGGATCGACGTACGGTGCCCCTCTAAAGTCTTCGAAACGCGAAGATGGGTGTCAGCTCTCTTCGGGGGCCTCAAAATGTGCCACAGAGGCCGAGGTACTCTCGGGGCCAAAAGGGGGAAAATATTCCTTCCCCCAGTTTAATTTCAAAACATACGAGCCACATACAGAGATCATCTGTCCCCCTGGACTACAAAAGTATGTTAAACAACCTATCTGCTTCGGCAACTCAAAAAAGATCTGGTTTCGGCCAACGACCCTTGCACAATTGCTTGAGATCAAGGATGCTTTTCCCTCTGCGAAGGTGGTGGCCGGATCCTCAGAGGTGCAGGTGGAGATTCGTTTCAAGCGCCTGCAGTACGCAGTTGCGGTGTACGTTGGTGACATCGAGGAACTCAATTCCTTCACCGTCGACAAGGGGTCAGGCACAGTAATCATTGGCGGTAACACCCCTTTGACCGTTATGGAGCATGGGTGTTTGGAATGGTACCGAAAGCTTGGTAAGAGAGGCATGGTGTTGGAGGCGGTTAGGAAGCAACTGAGGTATTTTGCTGGACGACAGGTCAGTCGGTCATTTTCCCCATGTCTGCATTATGTACTCTAGCTAGGTGTGGCATGCTCATGATTAGTATCTAGATTCGCAATACTGCAACCCCAGCAGGAAACATCGCTACCGCGTCCCCCATATCAGACCTCAACCCGGTACTGGTTGCCTCGGGGACCATCCTTACCGCCCAGTCTTTCTCTAGGGGATCGTTCGAGATCCCGCTGACAGACTTCTTCATTGGCTACCGCGAGACTGCCCTGCCAGCAGACGCGGTTATCACGCAGTTGGCTATTCCACTAAGTCCGGTTAATAGCCGCGTGGTTGTTAAAGCCTACAAGCAGGCCAAAAGAAAAGATGATGATATTGCAATTGTTACTGCAGGCATGAGGGCTAGTCTTGATAAGGATGGACTAGTCAAGGATGTCTCGCTAGCTTATGGCGGGTGCGAGACCAACCCTAACCCTTTCATTCGATCGAGTGCTGACTGGTGATGGTGATACAGTATGGCACCAAGGACTGTGACGGCACGAAATACAGAAGATGTGCTGAGGGGTAAGAGATGGTTTGACAAAAATGTTTTGGAGTTAGCAATGAACGCTATGGAGAAGGACTTCGATCTATCGTTCACCGTTCCGGGAGGAATGCCGACTTACAGGAAGACACTCGCCTTCTCGTTCTTTTTCAGGTTCTGGCATGAGGTCGCTGCCGAGCTAGACCTTGGAAGTGAAACCGAGCGGATTGACCAAGAGATCATTAGCGAGATTCATAGAGAGGTGTCGATGGGGTCACGGGACAATGAAAATCCATATGAGCAACGCGTTGTCGGCAAGCAAATACCGCATCTCTCGGGGTTGAAACAGGCGACAGGAGAAGCAGAGTATATCGATGATATCCCAAAGTACGACGGGGAGTGCTATGGCGGATTAGTTTTATCTTCACGAGCTCACGCGAAACTCATAAAGTGATTAAACCCTTCCTAATGACATGCAAGTGCTAATATCAGATAGAGTCGATTTCACCCCTGCTTTGGAACTCCCTGGTGTTCTTGGATATGTCGATCATCATGATATTCCTGAGGACTGCTCTCACTGGGGTTCTGTGGTGAAGGATGAGCGTTTCTTTGCCAGGGATGTTGTAGAGAGTCATGGACAACCTATCGGCATGATATATGCAGAGACGGCTGCGATTGCACAGGCCGCTGCAAAGGCGGTCTGCATTGAGTATGAAAATTTACCCATGATTCTCACCATCTCCGAGGCGATTGAGGCAAACTCATTCTATCCCCACGATCACCAGCTAAAGCGTGGTAATCCAGCTACGGAAGCTTTCAAGGATTGCGATTTTGTCTATGAGGGTGTGACGAGAATGGGCGGACAGGAGCATTTCTACCTTGAAACGAACGTGGCACTCGTGATTCCACGACCTGAGGATGGTGAGATGGAAGTTTGGTCCAGTACACAAAACATCATGGAGACACAGGAGTTTGTTTCCCAAGTGACAGGGGTCCCGAGTTCTAGAATCGTAGCGAAGGTGAAGAGGATGGGTGGCGCTTTTGGTGGCAAGGAGAGTAGGTCCGTTCAGTTGGCTTGTATCTTGGCTGTTGCTGCGAAGAAATCAGGGAGGCCTATGAGATGTATGTTGAATCGTGACGAGGACATGTGAGTCATCCCGGAATTACTCCACTATTAGGCTTTTTTTTACTGACCCTTCAGGATGATGACTGGCCAGAGAAACCCTTTCCAAGCTCACTGGAAGGTTGGAGTCTCGAAAGACGGCATGCTTCAAGTGCTCGATGCGGATGTCTATAACAATGCTGGATATTCTAGGGATTTGAGTGGGGCCGTGATGGACCGTGCTCTCACCCACATTGATAATAGCTACTGGATCCCGAATGTTCATGTTCGGGGCCATGTCTGCAAGACTAATACCCACAGTAACACTGCATTCCGTGGATTTGGTGCCCCTCAAGGGCAGTTCATTGCCGAGTGTATGATGTCCGAAGTAGCAGACGCTATGGGAATTTCAGTCGACGATTTCCGCCAAAAGAACTTGTACAAAGAAGGACAACTCACGCCGTTCTTACAGAAAATCGAGGACTGGCATGTGCCGCTTCTCCTTGAGCAGCTGCGGAAAGAGGCTGACTATGACCGCCGTGTCAAGGAGGTAGAAGAGTTTAATAAGACTCATAAGTGGAAGAAAAGGGGAATTTGCTTGATACCTACCAAATTCGGCCTATCTTTTGCCACGGCTGTTCATCTCAATCAAGCTGGAGCTCTCGTTCACATCTACCACGACGGCTCTGTCCTGCTCGCTCATGGTGGCACTGAGATGGGACAAGGACTTTACACAAAGATGTGCCAGATCGCTGCGCAAGAGCTCAATGTTCCAATGGACTCGATATTCACCAGTGAGACAGCCTCCAACACAGTGGCAAACACCTCTCCAACTGCTGCTTCCTCCGGTAGTGATCTCAACGGTATGGCTGTCCAAGATGCCTGTAGGCAGCTCAACAAGCGTCTCGCACCATACAGAGAAAAGTATGGCCAAGATGCTCCAATGAAGCAGCTAGCCCACGCCGCATACCTCGACCGCACAAACCTCTCCGCTAACGGTTTCTATAAAATGCCAAGTGTTGGCTTCACCTGGGGAAACTATGTAGACCCCCGCCCGATGTACTTCTACTTCACACAGGGCGCCGCAATATCCGAGGTGGAGCTTGATGTCCTGACAGGAGACCACACCGTACGCCGTGCGGACGTCAAGATGGATGTCGGTCGTTCTATTAATCCTGCGATCGACTACGGGCAGATCGAGGGGGCATTCGTGCAGGGTCAGGGGCTCTTTACTCTTGAAGAGTCCCTGTGGTGTTCCCGCAGCGGTCAACTGCTCACCCGTGGTCCGGGAACTTATAAAATCCCCGGATTTGCTGATATTCCCCAAGTATTTAATGTGAGTATATTGAAAGGCATGCAGTGGGCTGCATTGAGGTCAGTACAGTCGTCAAAAGGGATTGGCGAGCCGCCATTGTTTCTAGGAGCCGCGGTATTATTTGCTTTGAGAGAGGCGGTGAAGGCGGCAAGAGAAGAACTGGCAGTGGAAAAGGGAATTTTGACGTTAGGATCACCAGCGACCGCGGAAGAGCTGAGAGTAGCTATAGGAGATCGGATTGTGGAGTGGGCGAGAGTAAAGAAGGGGGAAGGGGAAAAAGGGGCGTTTGCAGAGGCCCAGGCCTAAGAATGGTTTCGTGCAGGGTTTATTGAACTCCGTTTTTTGTCTTCTTTTCCTTTACACATATAATACCTGTATTCGTAACATTAAGCAGTATTTTTTTCTTTTGTTAGTCCAATACCAACACAAGTTGCACATGTTAGGATCCCACCTATAGTGTGATCTTGATTTCTGATATCCTAATTCCATCCCTGTCTCTCCTGTAGCACAAATCTGTGAGGAAAAGTCTGGCTAGATCTGAGCATCTAGTTGAGCTCATTATACTATAGTCATGATCTATCACTCGAATTCAGAAAAATGTAGCCCAAGTTGGGATCCCTTGGAGTCTTTACCTCAATGTCGAAGAACTAATTTGGTGCATGAAGTACAGGCCGATGATGTACGCCTACAGGAAGAAACCATAGTCCATCAGAGCAAGGTTGTGGTTGTGCCTCAAATCATTACACGTGTAGACGATTAAGTGTCAGATAGCAGAAGAGGTCCAGCTCCTTAATCCACTGATATATGGCCGATTAAATCACCATTGGCCGCACTTTTCGATCCTAGTGCCAGTTTTGTAGCCTGTATGGGTGAGGGTGTAATTACGCACTAGAAACTTGGCATCCGATTAAAATCAAGCTTGAAGAGTGAGGTATTGGTTGAGTTCCTAGTGGACGTAATGATCATACGATCGAGTGATTGTAGGTTTTGAAGATATGTTATATAGAAAGAGAATCAGTGGGGTTTCGATGATGAGAGCGGATGAGGACAGAGGGCAGTGTATGGTTGGGGCTAGCACCTGGGATAAACACGTCTCTTCAACTCGGTAATTTCAGATTTGGGGCCCGTTCGGACAACCCAATAATCTAGATTATTGGCGATAATCTGACGGATTATCGACTTTTGGATTATCACAATAATCTATGCTGTTCGTGCAATTGAATAATCCAACATTCGGAACTCCTGATTATCCCAATAATCCGCCAAGAAAACAATCACCTTCGGAGGTAATTATTCCCATACAACATAGATATCCTGAGAGCTAACGTTATCCGGACATGTAGATTATCCACTTATTATGAGTATTATGATTATCACTTCCGCTACCTGATAATCCAGTCTGTCCAATAACCCGAAGAAATAATCTAAGGTTGTCCGAACGGGCCCTTGGTCTACCCGGGCGACGAAAAGGGCACTTCTTGGCGTCAAGAAGACTTAAATTAGAGTGTCCTGTGGTACTACATGTACTTGTATGTATACATAATCAGTCTAGTTCCCGCTCCTGTACTCTTCTTGTTGCTAACACGTAAGTTAGTTCTAGACTTTATAGAGAGACTTTCAAAACGATAAAGACTTGCTTTTTTGTATTCCTCATTTCCAATATCAACTCACCGTTCTCTTTGTCAGTTTCTACTCCTATATTAGTTTGAATCATAGGTGATCACTCGTCACCTAGCCGCATTATACCTACCATTCTTAGGCTAACTCATGATCAGGTACATAGATACTCACATCATCTGGAATACACTCGATTCATATCCCACACATCCTATCTACATTCATCAATTATAGGTAAAAGGCATGTGGCGGCGGTATTAATATCCATTCTGGAAGAGGAATTCTTACGGCGTAGGGGACGCGGCCTACATAGTATCTCATCAGATATTCAGTTTTGTTGTGATTTAAATTCACCAGATTATTCATCACCCTCTCATATTACCTTTCGATCTTCCGCTTCCCTTATGTTTATGGTCGACAAGGAGAAGGTGGTAATGGATCCAGCTGACAGGTGACCATGGCCGGAGCTATATACGTCTTTCAGGTGATGTCGCTAACGAGTAATGCGGCTTACTGGGAAATCCCAACGCATAGTATTATATTCGAGTCTCGAGATTATGTATGTTTATGGGTCACGTCATCGGCGACGCAATCATCTTGAGTTGCTTGTCATACTATGTTCAATCATGGTCCATGATTATTGAATAAAGACCTATCTCGGGCTTCAGTACTTCTATACGTCTCTACCCCTACGTACTCCCTTTCACGCTTTTTATTTACGTAGTAAAGACCCGGTAACCTGTGAACAAAGACATCATAAGCCCGACTTTCTCATCTGTTACTACTTACTCCAAAATATATCTCCACCATATTACACCAATCAACATTTCACAGTCCCACGTGCACTCCCCAAACAACAAAACTAGCTAATTTATGGTTTTCACAAGAAAAATGTCACTCAGAGGTCGGTGGGCGGGGATAACAAACACCGTACGGTGGCTCTGGTTTATGCTCTTCTTAACCACCGTCGCTCTCATTGTTGTACTCGGTCACATCGCCTTCTTTGCCAACAAACACAAAGACACATCCGACTGGATGATTAACTGCATCCCAACTGATGCCAGTCCCTTCATCTCCGACGCCCAAGCCGCCATCACTGAGCTCAGCACCATGCCTGCTGAGCACTGCAGAGCGCTCGACCGCACCACCATCATCCTCTGCCACGGCACCGCCTGCATATCGCGTTTTGAGCCTATCGAGGAGCGCCGTTTGAAGGAGATAAATGGTTACAAGAAACACCCCGAGTCGGAGCCTACGTGTATGTTCTGGGCGAATTGGCTGAATAAAATCGTTGAGAGGTCGGAGTGCCGGTCACCGGGCGGATTAAGGGCGGAGGGGAGGATTATAAGAGGCAATGAGGGGCAGTATTTGTCAGATGTGCGCTTGTTTAGCAATACCACACTCGAGTGGACATTTGGGCGGTGATTTTATGGGCTTCTGGTTCAGATTGGGGGCTTAGAAGGGTGAATATTGTGTGTTTATCCGCTAGTTATTTCAATAAAAGCTCTTTTATATGTGGTGTTCGTTTTTCGCGGTTCTGCAATTTATGCTTGGATGCATGTATTTAGTGAACAAAAAATAACCAACGAGGCCTTTGGACTGCACACAACTGGTGCGTGTGATTTGACCAACAACCGGCGAAGATATCGAGTGATAGTCCGTGATGGGCACATGAATTCGAATTCTCGGATTCTATCTGCCTAAAATTTGGAATTTCTCCATACAATTCGTTAAGCCGCCTATGGCCATTGTCACAGGTTTAGGGTTCACGACATTTATGCCGTCCTTGAGCCACAATTGCAAACCTTACTTAAGATTTACCTACTCTTCATACTTCTACCAATCTTCCAAAATTCAGGCTTGTTAATACCGCTATTCTTATATGCTTGCCCGGAGTAATCAATAGTGCATGACTCCAGTTTGTCGGGGCCTACGTGCTAAAGCACATATCTTGTAATCTCCGGGTGATATGTAGTGACTCCGACGGCCTAAGCCACATCTTACGGTCAGAGACGATATAGTTTAGCCTAGTTGAAAATGTTGGTCTTATTCCTCCTAAAATCAATACCAATCGGGGTTATTCCTTATAATGTCGGCCTGTTCCGTCTAGTCAGCTTGTCCATCTGATATACTAAACGCCATCTAGCAAGGGCTCATACACCACACGTGTAAGGTAACGAGCAGCCAACTACATGGATGTTACAATACATATACTTGCAGGTCTGAGTATCGATTGACGCTTACCTGTCTACTAGCCCTGCGTTCGTTTTTGTCGTAGTATTAACCTGCCGCTTTGTCGGAAATATCCCTTTCAAATACAAGTAGCCATTATATATATGCACGGGCCCCCAAGTGCAAATATGGTACTTGAGTGGGTTCCATGCGGCCATCCAGAGAATATTACTATTTGGTGGATTTGCTTTAACTAATAGCAGTGCATTACCCTTCACCGGGTGCTTTAAGACGTCTCACCTGCAGAATATATGTGTGAAATACGTATATACATACAGGATGGGCAGATAGTACAGCGAAACTTCGTAATACTAGTCCATCGATCAGTTGGCCACAGGAAATGCATAGCTATAGATGAGTGTTTGGGGTAAATGGTGAGGTTAAATGGACGGATGTGAGCGCATTTGATGCGAAGTACTGCATGAGCGGGTGTCTAGACCTAAGATGAGCCTCGGGATGAAGGAGTACGGATTCAATTTGCTTACTTTGGTTATATACATTATTTGACAATTAGTATACGTGATTGAGACATTCTTCCTTGGCACTTCCCACCAGGGGGACCCCTGGAATCTGGATTTGTCGTCAGCCAGCAACTCACTGTCACACGGGATCCCGAGAGTTGTTCTACAAGAGCACGGCAAACGGGGTGCCGACACGCATTTCACCCGTATATTGGATCGGCCTATATGTCAGCCTGCGCCATTTATTTGTCAACTTGGATAAATCTGTTCATGAACTTTACAAGTGGGCGGTACACTGGTTTTATTCACGAAAAGTCAAGGCTGATAAATAAGTCAAGTATATGGCTATACCTGGATTCTCCTGGCCTAGGCGAACTATTGTTTGGTTTTGGCTAGCCTTCTTAAGGTCGTTTCGTGTGACTGTGGTACAAGTTGTGGGTTGGTGGTGGAAAACAGCAGGCTGACAGCCAGCGCAGCCCGTATCATTCTTCATTATGCCGACATCTGGAAGGACAGAGCTGCAGAGCTCCTCTTTCCCACTCTGCAGCTACATTCGCATCTACACCCCCCGCAATCCTCGCTTCTACAAGTACAGGAAGAAAGACAAGCTCAAACAAACCTTCGCGGTCCCTTTTACGTGATACGGAAACTGATGAAAGACTAGAAACAGATAAACGGAGCCTTCTTTACCCATCATATTATGGGATCAAGTCACTGCTGGTCCTGGGTCACTTCTTTTGCCATGTCCGAAGCAAACATATCTTTTGGTGAGCGTAAAGCCTCCGATGATCTGGGCTTAAATGCCTGTCATGAAGCATCTGAGGAGCCAAGGCTTAGATTTCAGAGGTTCGGATTTGAGGACAGGTAGAAAGAACTTTCTGACTAGAGACTGACAGTTATGGGAAACTAGTACTGGGACAGAGGTGTCTTTACGATGAAATTTAGTGATTCCTGTACAAGAATCAAATAGAGAGGAGAGCAAAGGTTATAAACAAGCTAGAATACACTATCGTTACTACATAACAAAGTTAAACACATGTTGGGGGTCCCTTCAAATACATCCTTCCATTAACTTGCCAATAACCGTCAATAATCATTAACACAAGCATTAGGGGCGCAAAAATCGTCACAATACAGACCTCACCGCAGCACTCTCATGCGGCATTTCCGCCTTTGGCCAGCACCTATCCACCTAAACCACCCGCCTGTCAGCAAACCTCATCTCACCCCGCCCGCACATAGAAAACCCACCTCTCTCTCACACTGCCATCCCAGCAACCACGGGCCCATCTCTGGATCTCTCCACGCCAGCGCCTCACCGGCCTCCGTCGGGAACATCCTCATCTTTCGATCCCTCTCCCGCTGTTCCTCGCCATCATGCAGATGATATAATTCCTGCTGAACGTTTCCCCTCTCGACCACTCTGGCTGTGCGCTCCTTCCTACACACTTCATACACGGCCAGCGCCGTCAATACATCCTCACGGGATCTGATGCGGCCTAGACACTCTCCAAGCACTGCCGCATCTTCGAGCGCCATGCCAGCGCCTGAGGCTAAGTATGGGAGTGTTGCATGCGCGGAATCACCGAGAAGGACGAAGGTCCCGCTGGGGTGATACCAGTGCTCTGGGGGGTGCCGAATCAGCAACTTCCATTTATGCACTTGTGTGCAGAGTGACAGAAGTTTGGGGATTCTGGGTGGGTTAGTATATCTTTGAGAATGTGGTTAACCAATGATATAGAGAAATTGGCGTTATTTACCGGGGGTCCCAGTCTTTATATAGAGCCCGCATTTCTTCGACATTGCCCTCAACCGTTGTGGCACCACCGTCGGGAATGTCGTCAGGTACTAGGAGTACCATGTTAAATTGCTTACCGCCCTTGAGTACATAATTAACTGTCTCGCGATCATCAGCGTGTCTCCCATCCCACTAGTATATCAGAAAAACCAGTTTTTTGATCATTTACCCCGCCCCCAACCACTAGAATACATACTGGAACTCTAACTAACGAACTTACCAGCATGACAATCCGGGCCCAACCAATAATTAACCTGCGGATCTTCTACAAACCCCTTCAATTCCGGATCTTTCTTCATCTCCTCCGTACTCAATAGTACTCTATATGCCAGATCTCCCGTCCTCATCGGGGGATCAACCCCACCCATCAATACCTCTCTCATCCTACTGGCAACACCATCGGCCCCCACCACCAGATCAGCATATATCTTGCTTCCGTCCTCTAGCACCACCGTGCTTTTATCCCCCCCAATCTCAACATCCATAACCCGTGCCTGACACACCACCCTCGCGCCCAGCTCCACCGCGCGTTCCAAAAGACACTTATGCAGCCCGGCCCTATGGAAATCCCAAAAGGGCGAACCGTACCGCTTCGCAGCCTCGTGGAAGTCCATTGATGCTATGTGCTCCCCTTTCCAGCTGATCATGTTCACCTGTTTTGGCAGGGTAGCATGTTGCATGAGGGAGGGCGCGAGGCCCCAGGAAATAAGGAGGCGCGAGGCATTGGGGAGGATTTGGATTCCGGCGCCAATCTCGCCGATGGTCGTTGCGCGCTCAAGGACTGTTACATGGTGGCCGGCGAGGCAGAGCGTGATGGCGGCAGAGAGGCCACCGAGTCCCGCGCCGACTATGATGATCTAAAAGGCGGTTAATGGGTGTGTGGAGGGGCGGAGAGCGATAAACATACGTTGAGAGAGATGGGGGATTTGCTGTGTGACATTGTCTTTTCCTTGTGGTACGGTTACACTGCTAATGATGGGGTACTTTTCAACGGCGCTCTGGAGCTGGAGCTGGAGCTGGAAACAGGGTGTGGCAATGGTATTTTTGCAGAATTGAAAATACTTGGTAACAGGCAGAATAAGGCGGGAAGGCAAGTATTAAACCTCCAAAGCCTAAAACTTTAAATACGCAGAGATGACCCTTTTCCTGTACCCAAGGGAGGCAAGAACAGCAGTTGATGGACTTTCCCCAAGTGGCCATTGATCTTGCATCTCGATAGAGTAGCACGTCGCGAATGGAATCGCAGGGAGATAGAGTATCGCCCATCATGCGACAGCTTGCATCGTGTACTTTACGAAGCAAGTACCATCCCCACCGAAGTGCTCTTCTTCTCGCTCTGCGTGAATACCAATACTTTACATCATAACGTATCACACACCTCCTTAGGCAGTCGAGATGGCTATCAACGGATTACTAAACGTGGCAGTCAATCCGTCGTCGCTTAGGGACGGAGGGGGGGGATGCAGACGATCGAGTCGAGAACGAGGCGAGGAGCTGCACATGTAGGTCTTTGGAGCTGTCAGTCAATCTATGCGGGTATTTATTAGGTATTCTAGCATGCAGAAGGCGTCTACTATTGCTCTCGAGTACTCGCGGTAGGCATGAAGAACCTGAACATCGTTTTTCTGGTAACAACCACTTTGACCCCTGCTAGCGCGTTTTTTATGTTCAGGTTTTTCATGCCTGCCGCGAGTACTCGAATCCCTGTTGATGGTATGAGACTCGTTGAGTACCGAGCAAAGCACGGTCCAGTTTTAAAAACGTCAGGTCTTAGGAGCACTTCAATTGCGCCGTTCGGGATAAAAGTTCCCTTTAAGTACTCGTAATTTCATAGCGTTTGTGAACACAGCTGGGTCTGCTGCATACACCAAAATCTGGAGCCTTATGCAGGATTTTGCGGGTATGCAACCCAGTTGTGTTCACAAACGCTATTATATGTTAACATAAGGGATAAATATAGTTTATTTGTGCCGCAATACCACATCATTTGTTTTAGGAAAGGTGCTTGGCTTAAACCGGTCAACTAATCTTTAGTTCAACCCTAACGCTATGTATTTCAAGCAGAAATTATTGGTAGGACCTCTCATTTGCCCAACTTATAAACACGCGCTGAAAAAATTGAACTCTGTGTAGAGCTTTCCGCCTGAGGGACTAGAAAATACATGATTTCGAAATGATTTTATTTTAACTATCTATGTAGCTATGTGAAATCCCAATTAAGGTTTCACTTCCAGCTTTGTCAGTACCTACGGGGGCGGAGGTTTAAGGTCTTCCTTTGACTTGGACATCATCTCACCAGCGGGACTAGGCAGCAGCGCACCCGCGGGATATGGGTTCTTGCTCTTAAAGTCGTCGCAGATCTGTTCCATGGTGACCCATTCCACGCCCTCGTGCTTATTGATGTGCTCGATCAACCTTTCCCCACGTTAGACATCAATCAAGTCAGACCAGAAAAAGGAACAATACCTCTCGTGCATCAAAAGTACATGCGGCCGCCCGGACACATCGGGTGTATTGTCATCGGGAAGATAAACTCGTCATACTCGCGATAGAAGTAGTCGAAGTGGTCCCTCCAGATGTCTTCGACGTCTCTGGGGTTGGTCCATCCGCCGCCATAGCCACTCCCCTTGATGAACATCATAGGCGGCAGGTCGTCAATGTACCAGCTCCCTGGGATCTCGACAAGCCCGGTCTCTTCGCCCCTAACGAGCGGCTTCATCCACTCGTCAGCGCTCTTGGTGTAGTCGATCTTGGTCCACGAGTCGCCCTTGCGCAGGTAATAGGCCTGACAGTCGTGGTGCGACATCGAGTGGTCGTACTCGATCCCGTATTTGAGAAGCAGCTCCGTGCCCTCCGCTGAGCACTCCCACCACGGGACGACGTTGCCGCGCGGCGGCTTACCGCAGAACTCGGTGATGAGGCGGAACGACTTGTCGAGGACGTCGCGCTGCTGCTCCCAGCTCATGTCCACAGGGTTCTCATGCGAGTAGCCGTGTAGGCCGCTTTTTTTTTTTTAGCGCTTCATGTTAGCTCAATTGCACACCATAGATGAGTTTGGAAATGGGGAGAGGAACATCTCGTGCCCGGCATCCCGGATCATGGCGCATTCCTCTGGAAACGTCTCGAGAGAGTGACCGGGAATGAACCAGGTGGTTTTGATGTTATATTTTTCGAAGAGCTTGAGGAGGCGGCGAACACCGATGGTGCCGGCCCAGAGACCGCGCGAGATATCGCTGGTGGAGTCCTCACCGCCGTAGGAGCCGAGCCAGCCGGCGACGGCATCAATGTCGATGCCGTAGGTGCAGAGAACGCCTTGGATATGCTGGTTAGTAAGATCTAGGAAGGGGAGTATGGAAGAGATATACGTTTCTTGCCCATTGTGGAGTTTAGAGAGGGGAAGAATGGGAATTGCGGCGCGGGGAGCTCTCTGATCGACTGTAGGGGTGGGGGACATGGTCACGGTATTTATACGCAGGTTACGTACTTTTCTATCCACTCATCTCAGGTCAAGCTTCAGCTTTCAGCTCTCATTCTCTCTTCGCAGATACGAGATGTGAGACTCAATGGGGGGAGTGGGAGAGCTTCCGCCATGTGCTGGGGTGTTTTAGCTATCACTTATCGGCTTATCGATAAGAAGAAGCAACCCCCGCTGCGCCATGGAACGTCCCGTGCACTAGAGTAACTACCAGCTGGCCTTGCCGAATGGAGCTCCGTACGCCCAGGAAGACAATGTCAACCGGAATCTCTTCTCTTTCAGTTGACCCGAATTTTCAAAGGAATGCTCATGCAGCTAAAGTTGTGTCTGCTTCTGCAGCTGACATGTCACTTTCTGATAAATACCCAATGCTAAATATTCAGTCCTCAAGTATTTCTCAGTCTGCATCTTGAAGATGCCCTTTTTATCAATAGTTCAACGCGCTCAGGACAGACTCTTAGCTGCAGGAGTTTCCTTTTCACTTTGAAAATGGAAAACGAGGATCAACTGAAAGTCTCTATTGTCGACGGGTTTTCAAAAAAATTAAGTCGTAGACTGCATCTGGTTCAATTGATAGGACATGGAGAATACCGATATCTGCCAAGTAGAATATCTACTCTACATTCGGAATACAACCCAATCACCTTGCATCGATTGTGGCCGACCGAGCCAGTACTCCTTCTATCGCTCACCTTTGATGGGTGGAGTACTATATGTACAGTACGATGCCAGTCGTGAGCGTCAGGCGCAACAACCTTTTCACGGCGGGTTGGTACACAAGATATTAAATGTCAAATTATTGTTATTTATCTACTATTTCACAACTATACAAAAATTCAGCTCTCCAAATGATCAATTGTGGTTGCTGTGCTGGTATCCGTGATGGTTCGGGGGGCGTTGCGACGCCGCGCCTGACGTTCACGACTGGCATCGTACTGTACATACCTACATGGCTGGGTTTGAACGGGGTCCACAAGCGCGTACCGTGCAGCGAGTACGTTCCGACCTATTTTCACGGCCCGAACGTGGAGCCCGTTCAGCAAATCATAAGATTTCAACCGTGCACAGTGTACCTACAGCTCAATGAATTTCCCATATTACTCATATTACTTTGGGCCACCCGCTCAATCCAGCGCGACCTCGTGTCCGCCATCTAATCTAATGGTAAAGTGGAAGCCGAAGTGGCCAATTGATTGTGCTGGTGTAATTATGGTCTGGTATCCCGAATGCAATGAACTCTGTAAGCAGCGGTAACTATGTGGCGTAGATAATTAGGTTGGCCTTGCTGAACAGGGCACGCAACAGTAGTGCAAGCCCGGATAGTCTATGTAGATGCCCAAACCGTCTGGAGGAGGGTGAGGATACGACGGGATTGGGCAACCAATTGATAGCAATTTTTCAACGCCACACCTCCGCAATAATTCTACCGATAGCTGTACTTGTTTACCACGAAACGAACCAGAAAATGCAGTTGCTCGGGGCAAGGATTATTTGTATGGAGTGGCGGTGATCCCTCATACAAACTATCCCTGTTTCCGTCACTTGCATTTTCTGGTTCTTTTCGTGGTAAACGAGTAGACATTTGCATTTTCTGGTTCATACCGCTAAATATCGAGTTATTCGGGGGGTTGCCAAGGCAAAAAGCTGAGGATCTTCACCTTTAGAGGCAGAGATCTTCAATAAAACAGCCCTCTTCTGCAGGATCTAAACTAAATGTAGTTTAGCAGCTGAGCTTGGCAACCCCCCGAATAACTCGAGATTTAGCGGTATGCTTGTAAGCAAGTAGGAGCGGAAGGTGGGGAAGGCATCTCACAACGGGAATATATAGCGACCTATCTCTTTTAAATAAAAGAAATGAAATACCTTCCCCACTAGCTAGAGTAGAGTCCGCTCACTCGAGTATCAATACCTCACCGACTTATCAATCCGCTCAAAATGACCTCCAGCGTAAGTATCTTGCACCCTCCCACTGCCTTCCATACCAGCTAAGACCCGGCCAGTTCTCCCTCAAAGACCGCACCGCTCTCATTACCGGCGGCGCACGTGGCTGCGGCCTCTCCTTCGCCGAAGGTCTCGCCGAAGCCGGTGCCGACATTGCAATCTTCGATATCATCCCGCCCTTACCGTCCTTCCACACAATTGCCGCCACGTACAACGTCCGCACCGCATACTACTTCGTCGATGTCTCGTCCCCCGCCTCACTACAAGCGGGCTTCGACCAGTTCGTGAAGGACTTTGAAGGCCGCCTTGACATCTGCGTGCCGACCGCGGGGATCAACAAGAATGTGAGCTTCCTGGAGACTAGCTATGAGGAGCACCAGAAGCTGCTGGGCGTGAATGTGCTGGGTGTGTATCACACTGCGCAGCTGGCTGCGGGGCAGATGGTGAAGAATGGGACGAAGGTGGGGTCAATTATTGTCGTCGCGAGTATTGCGAGTTATATGGCGATTAGGTCCCAGAATTCGAGTGCGTACTGCGGGACGAAGGGCGCAGTGAGGGCGATGGTGCCGCCGATTGCGGCAGAGTTGGTGGAATATGTTGGTTTTCCCCTCTTCTCTTTTTTTTTTTTTGTAGATTTGGATACTGACGGCAAGGGGCGGAAAAGGGGATACGGGTCAACAGTATATCGCCAGGGTATGTGCGCACCGAGATGACGGCACCTTTCCCGCATCTGTTGGAGAGCTGGAAGGGCGAGATTATGAACGGGAGGGTGGCGGAGCCTGAGGATATTAGGGGCGCCTGTATATTTTTGGCCAGTGATGCGAGTAAGTATATGACCGGACAGGATCTGTGTATTGATGGCGGGGTTACGAAGTGGTAATGAGTGTACTTGTTGGAGTTTTTGTTAATGGATCGGCACTGAGAGCTCATTTATGATGTTGAATTGACACTGAGTGATGTTTGACTACTTTAAGCCTGAGTGATGTTGGGTGTTGAGTTATCCTTAGTCTCGTACCCAGCCCGTTACTTGCAGCAAGCTCTGGAAGCATGGAAGCAGACGGGACGAGCCTGAGTTATCCTCTATGACCCGGAATGCTGTGTGACCCTATATATTTGCGCAGACTAATGAGTGATCCGTTATTGATTTGGAACATAAAGTGACTCATTATGATGTAGAACCCTTAAGAATGAGCTTTGGCGAATCAAAGAGCTGAGTGCTTCTTCGTGATATAGAACACCGGCCTCATGACCCTTTATGACTTAAAATTCGAGTGCTCTTCTGTGCCGCAGAGCGCCGATGAGTGAGCCCTGGTGATTCAAAGCATTGGGTGACTCTCTGTGATCGAATGCTGAGTGCTCATTTATGATGCGGAGGAATGAGTGACCCCTTATGATGCAAATAGTGAGTGAGTGAGTGAGCTTTGGTGACTCGAAATACTGTGAGATCCTCCATGGCGAAACGTTCTTCATGGCACATCGACTGACTGTGAGACAAATGTAGGAGATGACAAGGGGACCCCGTATTCAAAGGCCGGGTATTCAACTCTCCCAATGACAACGAGGTTGAACACCTCATATTCTAGCTTTATAACGAGATACATGTATCTCTCATGAACCGGCCGCCATCTTCCCTGCATCGACTTCTACAATGATCCTGTCTCTTTTAAAGTTGGCGCAGTGATAGTGGTTCTCTTTCAGGCTTAGTTGGGGCATTCAGCTCATTGGGCAAATCGTCACTCTTTGTGCCCGACCTAATATGTACTTCGCATATCTGTTACCCGTTCAACCATCACACACGAGCATCGTTGGAAAGGAGTTGTATAAAGAGCAATAATCCAAGTTCGATTGGTAAGTCATTAACATAATCATCATACAGAATCATAACTAAATACAGGATATCCGGCTAACCCCACAAACAATAATAACACAAAGGAAAGAGAAAGATAGAATAATTGACAAAGAAAGTATAAAAAAAAAAAAAAAGTCCCGACATGTTATTAAATCTACCTCCTCCTACTCGTACTCCCACTCCTACTTCTTCTTCGTCTCCTTGCTTCTGCAATCTTTCTCCTCTCCCTCTCATCTTCACTGTCCTCACCCGCCACCGTTGTCGGACTCGTCACTCTAATCTCTGGGTTCATCACCGCCTGGTAATGAACACCGTTCTCCTCATCCGGATACAGTGGCTTTCCCACCTTCGGTGGCTTTGGCGGTGGTGCCGGAGGCGGCGAGAATAAGGGCTGCTCGGCAGGATGTAAGGGATACTGCACGATCTGTTCAATAGGCGAGAAAGGTCGCTGCGACGGATGCACCATCTCCTTCTGCCGTACGTCCGTCCATTCTGCCTCTGCGCGCTGAATCTCAGCACTAAGTTCCGCGATCCCAGGAGCCTCGTCTAGTTCCTTGTTCGGTAGTGGCGGAGGCGAGTTGAAGGAGGATGAGGACGACGATGAGAACGTCGGCCGCATAGGTGTTAGTGCGGTGTCGGGGTTGTTGAGCTTCTCAATCATTACCATCTTACCAGCACATTCACGCACCAGCTTCGCAGTTTCCCGCATGCCTAGATACCGCCGTGTATTCGTTGAGACGTCCGCAAGCCGGTTCCACTCATTCAGTGCAAACTCGCCCACGCCGACCTCGACGTTGAAGCGGTAGTAGTCTTCGCGAGATACTCCCATCTTCGCGAGGCCTGGGCGACCGCCGTCTTCAGGGTCGATCAGTGCCCGATGGACACGCTCGCAGTCGTCGAGCTTAGCCATCAGCTTACGCCGTGCTTCGGTAAAGTCCTCAAAGGGCGTTGCGATGATGCCCTCCCACCATGGCTGTCGCTCACCCGTGCTATGGGCGTGACTGTGATGGTGGCGGGAGGTGGATGCGGGCGTAGGACCGTCGGGGCGTTTTCCGGTCCCGATAGAGATAAAGACAGAGATCTCATCGTCAGGGTACTCGTGCAAGTGTGCTTCCTCAAGGACCTGCTGCGCGGGGTTGTACCGACCGCTGCCTTCGTCCAGGAATGTGTTTTGTCCGACAGTGATTGGTTTGAAGGCACTGAGGGTTGCGGAGGTGGCACGGCCAGCTTGCCAGATGGTGCAGTTATAGCTGGGGACAGACTCGCCGCGGGAAGGGTATGTCCGCAGGAGCGCTGGCGGGTTTGAGCTGTTGGGCGGCGTTCCTTTGTACACGGCTGTTACGAACGTCTTGCATGCGCCTGGTCGGGTATCAAGAAGTGGTGCCTCGGCGTTTCCTTGTCCCCGAGTCCGTCGTGATGGGTTACTTGGTGAGCCGCGGCGTCCACGTGTCGGCTCTTCAGAGTCGTGCGAGGAACTGCGCCGTCCACGCCACGAGTTTGTGCGCTTATTCTTGATATGCGGTGGGGGCGGGCTCGGCGGGGGCGGCGAGTGCGGGATGATCTTGTCAAAGTCGAAGCGTGTACTCTCTCGGACACAGTGCTTGATGGCATCCTCCAGGCGTGAAGACTTGAACAGTGTCTTGCCGTACGGGACCCCCATGACGGTCTTGTCGGTGATGAAGACGTAGCGGGTTAGCTCGACATAGTATTCCTTGCATGACTCAATATCCATACGCATGCGTCCGAGCATGAGCGCAATCAGGCCGCCCGTACCCGTTCCCCCGATGATGTCAAAATAGTCGCAAGGGCGAGGAAGCTCGGACGGTGATTTCGGACCCTTTCCGTTGTGCGTCTGCACGTAGATCTGGTGCATCAGTTCGCCCAGGATGACCAGAATAGAGTATCCCCTAATACCACCGCCATCTAATCATTTCCAATTCACCCGTCACGTCAGTACAAGCACATTCCAACCGCCCCATGATCATCTTCTATTTTCACCCACCAATCGGAACATACCTAACGACAATATGCGCAATTTCCTCTTTGTCTTCACCGGAGTGACTATTTTCGCTGGCTTGGCTCCCTTGTCTTTGCGCTTCTCCTTCTTTCGTGGCCTCTCGCCGCCGTGGGAGCTGGTGGTGGTGGCCGATTTGTCATCGAGGCTTACGCGCCCGACGTCCGACGAGTCTCCCTCCAGCTCAGCGAAGCCATGGTGTGTCTCCTTTGTGATGTTGTATGCTCCTGCCTCGATCTCCTTTGGTGGTAGCGGGGGTGGCGGGGGATGCGATGGCCGTTTTTCGATGTAGTATGAGGCCGTCGCGGGGTTGTAGCTGTAGCCGTCACGATTTGCGGTGCTCATTGTGTTTGCAGTTCTTTTTGATGGATGGCGTAGATACAGAGATGGAAGGAAGGAAGAGAGGAAACAGAGAGAGAGAGAGGGGGGGGGGGGGTGGGTGGGGTGGGATGATGGGAATGATATCTACTCTATGACAGTATGAGTACATGATAGAAGTACCACAGTAATTAGGCCGAAGAAGCTGCAGGTGCTGGCTCGTGAGACATTCAAAACCAGCAAAGCCGCCCACCACAGACAGCACTGGCAGCATAGAGTAGAGTACATGTAGTTTGAGTCGCACAAGCGCTGACGACGTTTGCAATCTAGCTTGTGAGTGGACCGGGGACTGGTGGCTGTGTTGTTGTGTCCCTGGGTCCAAAAAGGTTCTCGGCGTTCGTCATTGGTTGCCACACGTGGCTACCTACCTAAACGAGCCCTCTCTTGCTCACAAACCCCACCAGGGTCGATGCTGTCTGCCCTACCGTACTGGGCTGTGTAAAATTAAACCTGAAGCTTCTTGCTCTCCTCTACCTATCTACGCACTCTACTCTACACACTCCTCTGAGTACAACCTAGGTACACCAACACTTCTCACACTTCTCAGCTGGCTTCTGCACTTGTTTTACTCCATGTCCCAATCACTCCCCCCACCCCGGTACCCACTCCGTCATCATCACTCCCTCACGATCCCCCCCCCCCCCCCCCCAACAATCATCAAACCAGATACTCAACCACCCCCTACCCCTTAGCTACATATCCAGAAACAAAAACAAGCAGGTACCAAGCTCGTTTTCCTGTTTCTCGTCCTCTCGCTCGCTCGCTTGCCGCCCATCCGCCCGCCACCAATGCAGCAGGGGTAGTAGTTAAAGTATGATCGCCGCGCACCCTACACTCCAGGGAGCGCAGGATTCAAATCCTTGGCGCATGGCGTGTCACTCGCGACTGGGTGATGTAAGCAGCAATCCGGGCGATCGGGGCGAACTGAAGTTGAAGTGCACTTTAGATTTCATGCGGTCAGCAGAGTAGTTAGTCCCTGCAGATTTGAAAGAGGGGCCGAGGCCGGGCGAATAGGCTTTGCGGGAGATGTCTCCTGCCCTGGAAAAGATTTGAGATAATGGTGAGATCTCACATAACGTGTGGTGGCTGACTACATATATCATGTAGATTGTAGATTGTAGAGAGATAAGACATTCCCGCGGCTGAATAATGTGCGGGAATTGAGGCAGATTAGGACCCGCGTTTAACTACCATCGATTTGGGGATTCCGAGGAGTAATAGTAGTAGTATTAGTATTAGTAGTACCAATGGTGACAATTAACGTGTAGGGCGGTGTCTATAGAAGTACGGTTTGCAATTGGACCGTATACATGTTACAGGTAACCTCCCAACCAATGCCCCCGCTCTGTCAATCCAGTACACTTCCTAGTGAGGTCCACCACGCGCAGCGCACCACCACCGATTGAGGGCCAAGACCTGACTTCTCAGAATTCTAGAGTTAAGCCCTCACATTGCGGCTGAGTGGCCCCAGCGCCAAGCGATCCAATCAGCGGGGGTTATCGTTGACGGGGGATCCCCAGTTGAGGTTGATTTTTTAAGGTTTTGCTACGTCTGACCATCTCGTCGAGGATTAGAAATGCCTTCCAGAATAGAGCCCTTACTAGCCACAGCAGAAGCAGAGTTAATGTCGAACACGAGAAACGGAAAAGGGCACTCGAGAAAAAAACTTCACTTACTTATTTCAAACCCATTGCGCAACCGAAATACAAATACCACGCAACTCTCTCTCTCGAGCTATATATAAATCTCATACGATATCTACGTATCCCATTACGAATCTCCCCGAATATAGCATCACGACCACAAGGCACCGCGCTGCCAACGTTCCCGGGGGTTGCACGTGACGCGGTGGACGCGCGTATGAGTCGAGTGAGGGACCATGATTCTACCTCTCGCGGAATACGGGGTCGCAGTCTAGTTTGAGAAGGAGTTCTGTACGGTGTGCTAGAGTTATGGTTAAAAGCTAAAAGTGGCCCCCTGATCGGAGGAGTGTCCGGTTGTGTAGTCACCCCCGGTCATATTACGTGCCCGGATAGATCTGCGCCGGTGGTTAGGATTCGGCTAGACAGACGAACAACCTCCGGTCGTACATAAGTCAAATCGGGACAGTGATTCAAATTAGTGTACTCAAAGGCCCCGACCGGCCTTAGCGCGTGGTCAAATGAGGGGTGGATTTTTGGTCTAGTCGGACCGCGCAGTGTTGTATGTAAAGTTTTCTGCGATAGAGAATATATTTCGGATGCTGTTATAACCATGAAGAACCGCTGGCGGCTGTCTTTAATCCATCTGGTAATGTTGTCGCTCTAGGACCAGACAAGTGAACGTTATCACAACATTTGTCGCTCGTTTATGTGCCTTCTCTGCCGGTGGGTGTTGATAACGACTGCCAGAAAAGGTGCCGCAATCGTGATCTGTGATTATTCCCAGGCCGTGGCTGATGGGTAGTTGCATTCCTTAATGGCCTGGGCCAGCTAGTAGATAGACGGTTTCAGGCGCTCGGTGTTCTGATTAGCCCATCGTGGATCTGATTCTCTTTCGAGGACTTACTCTTTCTCTGATGGGAGTATTTAATTGATAGATTGATTGATAATTCATTAATTGTTTGCAGCGATAGGAGGATGGAAGGATGATGGTTGGATTTCTCGGTTAACTTTTATAATATGTCACAAACGAACACCTATCCTCAAATATTTACAGCCACGTAACCTCTGCGACGTGTTTGATACCCAAACAAATAACAAGACCTCAATCTATAAGATAATTCGCAGCTTGGAAGTACAAGGCAACAGAGCGGAGAGACAATTGCATCATAGACCATCACTCGACAATGTTTCTTCGCGTGGATAAGCAACCAGATGCAAGTCCCCCATAGTACATGTCGGTGTGGCCTAAATAAACCATAAAAAAGCAGAATTAGTTAGGCTCGTAGTTTAGTTCAAAGCACGCAGTAGGGCATGCAATCAACTGTCAAGACTCCCAAACCGCGAGTGATACACTATGATTCCATTGTCACAGCAAACCAAAAATTTCAAAACTCAAAACCTCAAAATTTATTTTATCTCCCCCAAACTCTCACACGTGTATAACCAAACTACGCTAAACTAAACTATTCACTCCAACCCCCACATCTAACAAGTGCCCAAAGCCGCAGCAGTGGTGCTGCCCAACCCAACCCAAGCCCTCATGGCGTTGATAATCGCAATATCTCTGTGCACTCTGGTGTATTTTCCAGCGGTCAAAGTGTACGAGCAGGCGTTAGCCACATAGGCGGTATCCTTTGGCACACCCAAGCATCCGGAGGTGCTCTGGGAGCCAGTGTACAAGGAGCAGTCAGAGAGACCGTCGGGGAAGCCGGCGGCGCCGTTGTCCATGAACATGTATGAGGAGAGGACGAGCTTGATCTGCCAGTCAGCGTCGGTGCGGGAGAAGAGCTGGACCTCGAAGGCGCGGTGCTTGGCGGCGTCCTTGTCCTTGATGAGGACGGAGCCCTTGTCTTGCATGTCACGGGATGAGGAGCCCTGTTTTAAGATAATGTGTTAGTACATCTCTCATCACATGAGGTGCGGAAGAGGGGTCTTACGGCATTCTGCTGGTCATGGTCATCATTCTGGATCGCGAATCTGGAGGCGGGGATAATCCACGAGCCACAGATGGGCATCTCCTTGGGGTAATCGGAACTCCAGATCTTGACCTTTGCGACCTCGGCATCGCTGAGACCAGCGGCCTTCAACTTGGTATCAAAGTTAGTGTACCACGACCACTCTCCGCCATCACAAGCCAAGAGTGAAGCCTCTCCTCCGAGAATAACCTCCAACCAGGTGATCCAATCAGCTGGCATAGAGCCTCCGAGTTTTTTCCTGACAAGGCCGAGGATTACGGCTGTAGAGGCGGGACCAATGTGCTTAGCGGCATCCATACGGAAACCGGAGAAACCGATTGACATGAGGTCGACAAGATAGGTTGCAATACGGTCCTGGACGTATGGCTTCTCGGTGTTCAAATCAGTGAGACCAACAAGCCATCCCTTGGTAATGATGTTGCCGTCGGTCCAGGAGCTGAGGGATCGCTCGCAGTGGAAATCGGTGGGACCGTAAGGAACAGAGGGGAACTCGAAAGTGGGGCGGGTGCTGGTGAAGGGGTTGATGAGGAAGGTGTTTCTGGGTATGTTAGCGGAGCTATTCGTCTAATGAACTATGAGAGGGGAAAGCGTACCCAGAAGTGAAGTATGGGGAGCCATCAGTGGCGTTGTGGCCGCTGTACAAGTTGCAGTCACTAACTCTGTGGTTCTGCATGTCTACAGATTGTTAGTCATTATCATCAAAACGATACACGAAAAGACTGTTCTTACCAGTTCCCTGACCAACCATGTGGTTCGCCACAGCATCGGCGTAAACTCTGACACCTGCGGTTCTACACGCCTGAATCATAGCTCTCAACTCAGCCCTGGTTCCCATTCTAGAGTGCAATCTGTACGAAACAGGCTGGTAAACAAAGTACCACGGCCTGAACTGGTTATCCGTCTCGTAGTAGTTGCTTCCCCAGACGTGTTCAGTGGGGGGCCAAATCTTGACACCCATGTACCCAGCCTTTCCAAGGAACGAACACTCAGACGCAATATCATTGTATGGCCATCCAAACAACTCAACAATACCACCCTTTTGTCCGTTGCTGAAGGTGCTCAATGCAGCGGTCAGTGCCGCATTCTGCCAGATGAAGTTCAACGGCTCAAGCACGAGCTTCTTTCCACTGGCGGAAGTGACGGTGATAGCAAGAGTAGATGTAAGAGAAGAAGAAACCTGGAAGGAATTGCTGGACTGCGAGTTACCACCGAAGTTATAGGTCAGGGTCTCTCCTGTCCTGCTCGCAGCGTTGACGACAACCACAGCAGCAGTGCGACCGGAGTTGTACTGGATATCAGCATATCCAACCAAGTCCCTGTAGTTCTGGAAAGTAGAAACGTATGTGGAATCGCCCTCAGGGGGAGTCTGCCAGCGGCGGTTCTCTGAAGAGTCGGCGATAGTGTAAACGCTGTCTCCGGAGCAGCTATCAAGGCCGTTCCAGTTTCCGCAGCCTGAAGGCGAAGTTGGAGCGGCTTCGCTAGGAACGGAGCTGAGGGTGATGGCAGGTGGCTGGGATGGAGAGACGGCGCCGGTGCCAACGGGGACGGTGGTGGTGGCAGAGCTTCCCGCGGCGGTAGTGGAAGAAGAGCTGGTCACGACCGGTGCTGCGGTGGTTGTGGTGGAGGAGGAAGCTACTGCAGTTGTGGAGCTGGTGCTGGAGGTCGCAGACGCGGTGCTGATCGTATAGTTGATCGAGTTTCCAGGGTCGTAGTAGCTATTAAGTTGTTAGGTTATACAGACCACCCATGCAAGGCAATGATCGACTTACCTGCTACCGCTAACGTCATATTTGATATAGAACTGGGTAGCCCCTGTCGCGGTTCCCGAAAAGGTCCAGGTCTCGTAACCACTGCTACCGGCTGCAGAGTAAGACGCGGAGATCACCTGGGTAGAGGTCCATGAGCTGCCAACGGCATAGACAACTGTGACGACTTTGGTGTATGCGATATTTTGAATCTGAGCTTCACATCAGCACCTAATATCATCACCCAGAAAGATATGGAAGAAACGTACATTAATAGATCCAGCAAGAACGCCATTTGTGTAGGTATAGCTAATGAGCGAAACCTGAGTAGCTCTCTTCTCGAGTAGCGGTTTCCCGTCAATCACGAGGGAGAAAAGAGCGAGGATATAGAGGAACAAAGAGTTCCTGAAAGCTTGACCAAGCATGTTGATTTCAAAGTCCTGATACGCTCTTGAAGTTGAGATGCTCGTGGCGAATGGAGAGCACTGTTCTTCTGGAAATCCGTCCTGTTATATAAAATTCCAGCGGTCAGAAATTTTCTTTGATGCTCATCTCTACCCCGCAAGCAATAGCTGTTCACAGACATTTCCCCACATGCACATCTCGCGCAGGTACTGAATATGCTCATGTTCATCATGCTCCATCCCTGGTCCCGGCCGGCCGCTTGCTACGCGATGTTGGTACATAATATATATAGCGTAGGGTAGAGTTGAAGGTTATTCCGGCTCCAGGGCGGGGGGGGAATAACTTTGTCAAGGGAGTCGGAGAGAACTGGTAGTACTCACCAGTAACGGTGTGCGCCGAGGCTTTCACTCCATTTAGCCGTAACAGGCTTGGCCTCCCAACAATCCCTGCCTGCACTCCAGGTACTTTAATACGTTATTCTCGTTTAAAGGTTTTGGTACCTGCTGCGGTTAAGTTATTAAGGCGCCATATGTACTTTCGTGTGTGAAAACCTGGTGGTCAAGTATTCTTGGCTGGCAAGCTACGGTAGTACGCGGCAGGGTCCATACATGCGACGAAAAAAACAATCACATGTGCTGGTGTTATGTATGTCGGAGTCGTGCGGTGGGGTTACAGAGGGGACGCCTCCATCACGCTGTCACATTTAGCGTGACAGGTCACAAAACGCGGGGGGAAAGCAAGGGGGAAAAATAACGTTGAGATCCGAACCAGGTCATGTCACTTCGGTCGAGTTCCGGAGGCTTGGACCGCGACTCCGTAAAACTGACCTTTATGACCCCTGCAGGAAATATATTGCATTTAGATTGCGATGCTGAAGAGTCTTGGACAGCAGAACCTTAGGCACGGAGCACGGAGTTGGGACGGCGCGACGGAGTCTGGATGTATTTGCTTTGCTTGACCGGGGATACAATGCATACAATGCGGAGAAGAAGCTTGATTATGTTGCACAGCAGTGAGCTTCGCGAGATGAGGATGCGATGAGGATGAGTTATACATTTGCGGGTATTCTCCAGAACCACAGTGAAGTTGGAGCACCCTGATGGTCAACAATGCAATTACTAAACCAGGATCAGGTTATTTAGTAGCGCACAACTCTAATGATTTTATCCACCCGGTACTGCGCCTTTCTGAGGAATAACGCACTTGCAGATGCCAAGAATTAGTACGCCTGATCTGGTGGGCCGAGGTTACACGCAGGGGCACGCAATATATAAAATAGTCTGACCGGGGTTAATACTTCTGAAGAAACTGAAAGCCCGGCCGGCCTCACCTCTACGAGTGATTTGAGTACGTAGTCTCATTAGTAGCTCACCCTTTGCAAAAAAGGTGGCGTCCGTTGGTGAGGACATTTACCTTCATTTCATATCGGTCTGGCCCGGGTATTTTAGCTTTATCGTGATCACGATCGGAGTATGATTAGAGCTCATAAGGTTATTAATTCCAATAGTATTTGGTCGGAATATAATATGAATAGATCAGCTATCATAACAAATATCCATGATATGCTTATTAGACTGCCGTTTTAGGTATATATTGGAGTCCAATTGCAGTTGACAAGACAACGCCTCACATATGGTCCATATATAGGGCACGTGATCGATGGTATTGCTTTGTAGTAGTTTATCAGATTCGTTTCTAGCTATATGTGATTCAAGCCATGATCTTCGTATGTATAAACGTTAATCGTCATAAGATGCTGTATTAATCAATTTATAAATCCCCAGATCATTGGTCGAGCTGCCTCAAACGACTTCCGATAATACGAGCCAGTCATTGGCTCAACAGCCGGGAAACCAACTCCGCCCCCGCGATATAAAAGCCCCCAGGTGCTGAAACAACCCAAAATTATAGGAGCTTGATGTGGAGTCAGACCCGGTATGAGGTGTTAAGAGCCAGGTTTAGCTTAACTGGCCTGGCATCGTCCGTTCCTGCAGCTGGATACATGGTGGTGGTGTGGGGTACACGTGGCGTAACCCCTCACCCACCCTACATTTCTATCCCCTTTGAGTCAAAAGGAGGCCAAGAGAGGGACGAAGTATTCACTGACATGCATGACAGATAGCGGTTGTGAGACCATGTCTAACGACGGATATATAGATCGATCTGAGCTTTTTCGATTAGCTATAATGCCTGTCTTCCTTGGATTTACTTCCGTGATACGTTACACTTGCGGACATTCGATCCATGAGTGTTATTTTTCTAGGGGGCGAACAATGCAAGATCGCGAATATTCTGAGGCGTGATTTAATCGAGTCGTAGACCTTCTCTATGGTTCATAACTAAATCGCGCAAGTGTGCGCTTAGTACATGACTCTCGAATTTAGAGATTCGATGAACATGTTGATGGTGAGATAGTTTTCTGAAGTGGAGTGAAAATGGAGTAGCTTGATGAGACGATGAGCTGTTTACGCAGTCTCTAGATCTTGCTGTGTCGTTCACATTACACGTGCCTTCAACAACTTAGTTTAGACGCTACGATCCACTACCTATGGCTACCACCTTTCTTCACATGGTTTTAGGAACATATCGAGGGTTGTCAGGTTCTGTGATCCACGCTATTATACGAACCCGCCCATGTTAATGTCCGAGTGATATCTCATGACGGTAGTTTACCACTGCTGAGATACTCTCAACGAGTACTCACGATACCAATGGTTGTCGGGAACGGCTTTTTTATTATACGAGTTATCATCAAGTCGATAGAAAGAAATATAGTGGATCGTTCAGTGGCGATATTATTCTATAACCAGCTGTCGCTCTTGTCCTCACTTTGCATCTCAGCTAGTAGCCGAGTGATATCCCATGACCAACAGCTTGTCTTCGCGTCGCGGGCTCTAGAGTAAACTTGACTCGGAATCGTGAGCTGTGTTCAGTTATGCATCAGGATAGTAACAGTTGAAACTTTTTTTATGGAGCGATTTTGATCATGACGGATGGGAAGTACTAATCGCAAAAGATATACATATTAACTCAAGTGGTACATTTGGGATGGGGGTAGGTATCGTTGAGTATGGTGACAGTTCAGCTGTAAAGTTAAATACTTGGTGTTTGGGTGAAGTGGCAGGAGTTAGAGAACGATAATTATCAGGGGTTGAACTAGTCTCGTTCCCAGACTGTTTTGTTGTCGCACTGCGTGGATCAAAGCAAATACAGCTCTACTACGGTGGGAAATGTCTCGTTATAATGCATCGGTAAATGCATCCCCCCTTTCACGCCGTCATGCCAGAATAATGCATCTCTATAATGCGTTAACTAATGCATCCTCAGTCCCACTTTACCATTTTCCTGATTACTGTATCAATTTAAGTTTTTAGAAAATTCGTCAGGCAATTCATTAGTCAATTCGGTGGTTTATTGGTCAGTTAAATCGTCAGTATATATATATGTAGATCAGTAAATGTGTTCCACAACACATTAAGTCAAATGAAGAGAGCGCTAGATCAGATCACAATGGGTTGCATGTGCGGAGGACTGAATTATTGACAACCCTTAAGGAGTTTGCAAAGAAGAAGGACAGCATGATGTTCCAAATAGTTGGAATTGATAGAACTATTCTTAGTGTCAATAGAGAACTACTTCAGCTAGATAATTAAATTCAATACAATTACTCTAAACTATTTACAAAAGTTTTCGAATCTGATTTGAGTTGATTCGTGATATATTGCGCGAGTGCGCGTGCACGCGCTGCAGCCCTAGTGCACCCCTGCACCCGTTCTCAACAAAGGCACCGTGACCGAAACATTGTTGTATTGTTAATGTAGATTTGAGTGCACTTGAAGAAGTTCGTGGAGTCAGGGTTAGGTCTATTAGTGGCAAATGTTAGTGGAACCCCCAACCTAAAACAAGGGAATGGACATCATAGAGTAGCTAATACTTGCCAAGTAGGTATAGTTGTAGGCCAGTCGTGACGGTCAAGCGCGGCGTCGCAACCGCCCACCCCATAACCCGCCCCATAACGACTACCACAACAGCAACCCCAATTGATCCTTTAGAGAACTGGTTTTTTGTATAGTTGTTAAATGGTAGATAAATAAAAATAATTTGACATTTAATATCTTGTGTACCAACCCCTTGCCATTATAACAGCCTCAATTCTCCTAGGCATACTTTCAAATAGCCTACCAAATAACTCATCAGATAACAGTTCCCAACAATGAATAAGAGCTTCCTGCATGAGGGGCTTAATTACTTGAGGTGATCTAATATCATATACTAAATGGGGGTAGTGCTGATGGTAGATTCTATTGAGGTGTACACAAACATGCTCAATTGGGTTTAAATCAGGTGAATAGGCATGTCAGTCCTCATGAACTTCAACCCCATGCTGCTCCAACCATTGAGTTGTAAGGCTGGCGGTATGTACTCTAGTATTATAATGCTTAAAGATTGGTCTGATACCCTTCTCTTGTAGCTCTGCCAAAAAATCCAGGAGACAGAACTCAAGAGTCCTGACATATGTTTCTGCATCTGTCCTCCCCCCTTCTCCCACCATAACCCTATTAAAGGTCCCCTTCAATTCCCCGGCAAAACATGCCCACATCATTTTAGATACACCTCCTGACTTCCTAGTGTAATCTGGACAGTCTTTCCACGTATCGCTAGAATCCGATAGAAAAATATGGCCGTTCAAGATAGAAATCAGGTTTATATTATTCAAAGATTCTTTCACTAAAACTCAATAATCTTTAAGGACTCTGCTACCGAGTAGAAAATACTTAAAAGCTCTCATAAAGACTGGAGAAATCGGACGGTTGGGCGGGGAGGATACTGAGTACTTATACTCCAAAGGATTCCGTTCCACTGCTGCTACTTCCTTACTAATTTCCAGTCCTGCATTCTAGCGGAAGGGAGGCAATACCACTGCCACCCTGCTTCTCTAACTGTTAGTGGGTATTTCCAGTTCCGAAGGCAACCACCCTTAGTCAAAGCCTTTTGTAACACCTGCAGTCTTGGCTGTTGCATAACCGGGACCTGCAAGAATGAGCTGCCGCTTATGTGTAAGCTTAATTGTTGCTGTAGAGCTCTTCGCTTATTGTAGACTTCCCAGATATAGTCCCTGCTACTACCGGCGGACTTATCATGCTCAGAGGATGTAGAGAATCGCCGAGAACTCAGGGCTTCACTCTGGCTGGCCTTCTAGTAATTGGCGAGGCATAGACTCGTCAGTCATTACTCAAAT